GAATAGATCTGTTAGATTTCTTTGTCGATTAAAGGCACATTTGCTTGATTCTGCAGCTCCTATAAACAGGCCTATACAAGGTCCTCGAGGCAGGCAGATTTAGGGGCGTTCCCATATCTGGTGTACAGCGCACTGCGGAGCAAATTGTTCAGACGCTCTTTGTTGCGTGTGAGGCGCGCATCACGCTTTCGACCTGAAACCAGAAAATGTGCTGATTTTGTTCACACCAGAGGACGCGAGTGACGGCGAACCAGAGCGGGCATTGAGCGAAGGATCAAGCGAAGCGAATACCTGTCCAGGAGGCGTCATCCCTATGGGGGTAAATGCGGTCTCGGGAAGCTCTGTGCGCTTCCCTGCGAGAGAAGGCGGGAGATCTGTCACAGTTTCTCATGGCTTCAATACCTCTCTGGCCTCCCAGCGGGGCCCAGTTTGTACCTCTCGGGGCCTCCGCACCGCGTGGGTAAAGGTAACTGATTTCTCTGCCTCCCGGCTTTGGACGCACAGGAGCTTTTCCAGAGCTCAGGGGGAGATTGAGCACCAGCACTTTGTGAAGGACATCATGGGTGCAGCTAGAATCACCCCGTGCTACCGCATACAGACAAGATACTACGGAGCGCCAGAGGTGGGCAGCTGCATTTAAACCAAAAAGGGCTTGGAAGGCCCCGCGTAAACTCCTAGATGCAACCTGCTGCGCGCTCAGGACGGCTGGGTATTGGGTGTAGAGCATGTTGCCTGCCGAAGTTGCTGCTTGCTCTTGCAGCAGAAGATTTTAGCACATGAGCCCGTTTTTGTTTGATTTTCTGCGTAACAGGGAGTAGCTTACGGAAATCTGCTCCTTACATGCGTTTAGAGGTCCAGTGATGCACTGTATTCCGTAGGGTACCCTCGTGTACATGTACTGTATGGATTTCCCGCTCTTTCTAGCTTACGCGATAAGCCTGTTGTCCACTCTTTCTCTGCTTACATAGGACATTGTGTGTCACTGCTTCTCGAAATGCTTCTCTGATGGGCTCTTCCCTGGTCTCTAAATTTCTTGAGTTCAGTATACTGATCTGTCCATGTGAATCGTCCCTTCGCTGTACCCTTCGGTATGTTTCCTCTTGTTCGCGCGTGTTTCACAGAAGTCTCGCGCCATCTCTGGACGCCTGTCTGTGGCTAGCGTTCCCATGTGCCAAAATGTATGTGCTGCAATCTGTCTTTGCTGCACAGTGCCACTTAATTGTGTCGCTTGCTTTTGTCATGTGATCCCTATATGTGCTGTTTGGTTGTCGGGGGCGGTTCTTTATCTGCGCTGGCGTGCATTGGTCGCTGTGGTGTCACCTTTGTCTTAGTTGTTGCTGGGCATCCCTTACTACAAAGTGATGGACGTTTGGAGCCTCGGTTGCATTCTTGCGGGGCTCTTTCTTGGTGTCCCGCTCTTCCCAGGTAACAGATTAACGACAGCGTCCCTTCAGGTATAGGACCGCCTTGAACGAGGGGCTGCCATTAAGGGAGGCTGGTGGTCGCCACCTTTTCAAACCAGGGTTCGGCAAGCGTAGCTGGCGCGAGTGCGGTTTCTCCTTTCTTCAACTGGTGTTATTATGACATTCTTTTTGTGTGTTCCCCACCTCCGCTATTACTCGTTAATGTTTGTGTTCACAGGGGCCTCCCACTTTGACCTCCTCCGCCGCATTACGCGCTTCTGCGGGTCCGTTCTCTTGTGGATGTTGGACCACGGGAGCTGCGTTTGAAAATTCTTCGTGCGCGACGCTTGCCTTCGCAGATTCCAATGGATCATTCAATGCCTGGCCAGCAGAAATACGAGCACAAAGGGAGAGATGGAGATGAGGATATGGATTCCCCTTCCTAAGAGCCTTCGAGTTGTTCCGAAGGGGGATCGCGGTATGTTGGAGGCCTTAATAGTAGTTCCTCTCTTGCATCTCTTACGTCTGAAGCATTTGGAGGGGGCAAAAGACTCTGGGGCTCCCGGCTTATCAGGGAGGGGCCTCGTCAAGCAGGCCCGACTGGAGCATTAGCACACTTTGTTCCTGCTACGCACTGCCGTGGTTTGTGCAGTCGCGCCGCATCAGAAGGAGTTGGAGAAGGATAGGTGGCAAGAGGTACTGACCATGGATCTCGGGCGGCTGCAGCCCAGCAGCTGGTGCGCTGCTTTGGCAGAGCCTCTGAGGGTGACTGTGTCCGGTACGCTCTGTCTACGGCAGCTTGAGCTGGAAACACAAATAGCCTCTTCTCTGCAGCGAACGACCGCACTAATGGGGCTCGCAGCGGAGGAAGGGCCACTGTGGGTGGGGAAGGCTTCAAGACAGAGAGAGTCCGTGATGCAGAACACGAGGAGACGGAGAAGGGATGGCGGATGCTCACGGTCTGTGAATACGAAGCGAAGCACAAGAAGTAAGCCCAAGATTCAACGGGCGTGTGGAGGAAGTCTCGGCCTTGTGCTGTTTCTGTGTGCCGGTGCAACTAAGCGCGCAGCCATTTCAATCTGCTCATTTGTGTGGTGGGCCGTCTCGGTTTAAAACTGTTGGCGTGTTGTGTTGTGGTTTTGTAGCTCGCGTTCGGTTGCACCCTCTGTTTGCGTGGGTGTCGTCCTATCTCTCTCTCTGCTCCTTCAGTTGCTCTCCTCGCTCGTTTTGCTGCTTCTTGTGGTAGTATAAACCGAGCCAGCTCAAGCGGATTTTTTAATTATCGAAGACCTACAAGATCTGGTCCGTATGCGAATAGACAGCGTATATACCTCAAGAGGTTTTTGCGACGTTTGTGACCAGCGGCAACTTTCTACGGATGGTGATTCTAATGAACTATCGATGCAGCAGATACAGATAGCTCACCAACCGCTTCTGATAGCAGCAGGAGCAGCAGCACTAAGGAATGCAGGAGCTGCCGTGCACACAGAAACACGAATGAACGCCTCGCCGAGGACTTTTTAGATTTCTTGAAAGTGCGTTTTGATTTGTACAAACACCTAAGGCCCCACGGAAAACACTTAATAGTACATGGCTCCACGGACCCCCTGTTGTGCTCGTTCAGGGGACTATTGTGCTACCAACAGCAAGTTAGATTGAGCACTAAATGCAGGAAAATGTTGTGCTGTGTGTGCGGCCGATTGTGTCGTAGCGGTCTCTTGTGATAGATCCACTTCGCCGCATGACACCACAGGAAGCAACACAGCATCCTTTTATCACCGCTCATGGAGGACTGCGGGGAACGGAGGCCGCCGAAATTCTCAAGAAGACTCGAAGTGCCTGGCAGGACCGCGCATTGCAGCGGGTCCTGGCTGACATGGAAGCGCAAAAAGAGGAGCTGTTGCTTCTAATTCAGCAACAGCAAGGGAAGGAAAAGGACCTACCGAATGCAAGAGTGACGAGCTCCCCACATTCTGCATTGCATGAGCCTCCTCGTTTACTGAGTGCACCAACATGGGGGGAACCCTCATATGGACCTTGGGCCCCATCAACTGGGCCATCTTCGTATCACTCATCGCAGTTGCGGGCATCCCAAGCAACAGCAACGGTGGCGGCAGCGACAGCTGTCGCTGCTGCTGCGTATACTACATCCTCATTCTCATGGGATATCCCTACGCCCCTGTCCTCAGGGGGAGCCCCGCTGAGGCCCCCCGCTCCATGTAAAAGCCTCACGAAACCGCGTGATGTGGCTGCCTTGGTGTTGCAGCAACCGAGGGAGGAGCCTTTAGTTGAGCTTTTCCTTGAGTGGCCACCAGCATTTTCCGGTGGTGTGTTCTGCAGCCGAAGTTGCATGTGTCGTAGGCCTTCAGTAGGAGTGGCCGCCCCTTCAGTGGCCCCTATGGGTGTGGCCTCTCCAGTGGTGGGGTATAACAAGCCGAGTTTGCACTACAGTCCCGAGTTTTTCCCCATCTCGTCGCTTGGTGGGGCTCTTACGCCTCGCAGTTTGTTTGGTGGTATACACCTGTTCAATGGAAGCAACCTCCCGTCAACGCATCACCTGCTAGGACCAGCACCGGAGCTCGCTCTGCAGCAGCAGCAAATACAGCAGCGACATCGCCTGCAGATGAAGCAGCAACTGCACCAGCAGGAGCACTTGCGACGACAGCATCTGCTGCTGCATTGTAATAAGTCCCTTCAACAGATCACTTCGTTATCTTCGCAGCAGCTGCTCCAAGTACACCCAGCTGCTTGCTGCTACTGCTTCAGGTACAGGTGCACCAGCTGTGTCTAGTGTTCATGGGGACATCTGTCGACCTCAGAGGAGGGTCAGCAGGAAAGCATGGTCACACCAGCAGGAGCAGCAGCAGAAGCAGCTCTTGGCCACAAGGCAGCTTGCCCATTTACAGCAGAACCCTGTAGGCCTAGGAGACTTCGGGCACCGTAGGGGAAGTAGAACCAGGCCCAGTGTCTCTTTATCAATACGGTGCCTCTTGCAGGATATGGGGTAATCTATGACGCCACCCCGTTCACAAAGTAATGGCAGACAGGGCATAGGTGATGCAAGGCGGTTGTCCTGGGTGGTAAGACACGGGAATTATTATCGTGGATTTGGGCCCACCACTACGCAACAGCAGCGACATGATCAACCGGAATCGCATGAGCAGTTTCTATTTGGTGGTTTTAATAGGTAGCTGCATCTTGCATGTGCCCCTTCGGGTAAACAAAGATCTCATGGACTGGAGGATTCCCTCAGGAGAGGGCCAATCGCGCACTATACGCGCGTTCTAAGAGACCCATTCATCTGCTTTTAGATGCAATCTGATCAAGAGAGATGGATCACCAGTAATTGTGGCCTCACCAACAAGGCATCATCACTAGGGGGGCCATGCCGGCCGGCAGGTGGCCAGCTCACTGAAGCTATAAGCGAAATAACCGTCTTTTTCCAGGACCACCGAATGCTCCTGTCGGGAAAGTTTTCCGAGCTCAGAGGCCCGCAAAGAGTGGCTTCAGACGGCAGATAGAGACTGCTGAGCAGAACCTAGACTTTCAGTGGACTTGGACGTGGGGGAAAACACAATTGCTGGATTTTGTGCTGCATTAGGGTCTTGGATTTGCATGATAGTGCAGCACTGATTTACTGCTCTTGTAACCCCCGAGCAGAGGCATGGCACGGGGCCCGAAGTTGTTTAGAAGGACGTAGGCTAGAGTGCTGAGAGGTTTAGTACAGCGGCGACTATGTGCTGTTTTTGCGTGTAGCACAGCAAATCTACGGTTCAGTTTTATAGCCTACTCCAACCAAGTAATACTTTGCTTGCTGAACTGTTTTTGCACAGCAGCAGCCTAAGTTGAGTCACCCCAGCTTTCAAACCGTCAAAAGCATGCGATTTGGGTGAAGGTCGCCAAATCTCCAAAAACCACAAGTCCTTAGCATTCGCCAGCTTTGCCATACCAGTGTATAGAAGCGGACATATTTGAGCTAGGCGCTCGAGGTTCTAGGGTTTGACGCTGGGAATGCCCTGGAAGTTACAACGGTTTGCGGTATCAGGCCCAAATAATCCCCAGAACTGAGGGGCAGGGCCCCCATCAGTTTTGCTTGATGGAGGATGTACAAGCCAAACGCAATGCAGATTGCGGAATACAGGCACTTGTATGCCCAGACATACTTCAGTTCCTTTATATCAGAGAAGGGCCTGAACTGCGCCGACACCCCAAGAAGTGTCCTGATGCACGAATGGAACGCATACACCAAAATGAGCACCCCGAAGATCCCGCTGCCCCCGCCCATGTATAGCATAAGCAAGTTCATTGCAAAAGCCTTTCCTGGGGCGATCGCACTGTCCCACAGCTTCCGCTGCAGCAGTGCGACCGTCTCGGGGGTGGGGGGGGGACCGCTTTGTTCTTTTATTAATGCTGGATCTGCTGCTGCTTGCTGCTGTTGCTCTCGAAGGGATGAGAGGTACTCTATCTCCTTCTCTATCCCATCTGCGAGAAACTCAAACCCTGGGGGAGAATCAACTCCGTCGGAAGACCCCAAGGTAGGGCCTGAGACAGTGAAATCCCAGCACCGTGGTGGGGAGGGCATTGTGGCAGAGTGGAGGCAGAAACGACCTAACTAAAGAGAGTGCGCCAAGACACTGCTGAGGGGAGGGAAACGCGAGGGAAAAGACTGAAGTGGCAAGTCAAAAACTGCATGTGTATACGGGCGGCAACACACATGCTAGGGAAAAGAAAGCAAGGCGCTCTCTCCACACTCCATGAAGAACACAGCAATTACTGCTAGCACGCTCAGGCGCAAAGCAAACTTCGACCCAGTATTTTGTGCTCACGACCTAGGTTGTGCGTCAACAGCGCGACGGCCTGGTGGAACACGTGCGCCTGCAGCTCAAGGTCCTGTGCCACCGTAGCCGCGACCAGCAGACGACTATGATCCCCTATGGTTGACTCTCGAATATAGAGAAATGAAGTTTCAATGAAATAACAATTTAGTGACGGAAGTCCCATCCGGAGCGAGGCCACCCTTAAAGGCGTTGGGGGCTGCATGCTACAGGGTTCGTGGCTTTTTGTAAGGAAAAAGGGAGCTCGAAACGGCTTCTTATTTGTTCTGTAAGAACTTTCACAGCTCTTTAAATACTGAGTAGTGGAGCGATGTGCGGATGCCACTATTTACTTTAAGCTGCAGTGCTCCTGTGTTCTTACGTCTCTGGGGTGTCTTCAGTTATGCAAGCTGCGCAACCAACTGGGCACCACCGATGCTTCCCACCTACTTAATAGACTCACACCGACCAATGCATAGCTCCTGCAAAGGTCCTCTAGTGCAAACGGGGTAAAGGGGAGGATCTCAAGGTCACTTGTAACCACTGGGGACATTAGGTAAAATAAACGGGCTTAATACTTTGGAGGGATGACCAACATGCCGCCGAAGAGGTAGCCAGAGTCATGTTTAACGTGTTCGCTACTGAGGACTAAACTTATCTAGCTCGCCTGCTTTACCCCAACGGCTTTTGATGCCAGCACAAGGAGACCGATACTTTTGAAGAAAAACCCAATTGTGTTTCCAGTCAAGCAGGCCTCTGCGTACAGCTACCAGTCCTGACAGAAATCAAGCTACAAATAGCAAAGGCAAAACCTTAGTCCAGTTTGCTGCACTGCGGTTCCATTATCGGTGTACCCAGGGCAACACACAGTATGCCTTTGCTGCCGGTTACTCTTGCACACAAGAATTTCAGATGCAGCAAAGGCACTAGACTTTGTGTGAGCACCGCGAATTCTGTGTTTCGCCACTAACCCATAACAAAGGTTGCAGCGTAGCTGGCATTCTGGAAGTATGATTGGCGAGATTCCTGGCTAGCTAGGGTTTTACGACTTCCAGATCACTTAATCAGCTGATGGCCCTTAGGTGTGTTTGCAATCCACATGTACTTCTTGGTGACAGCACTAGCCCCGCCTTCAGAGGCTAGCTCTCGCCGCAATTCCCTTTACAAAGCTTGCGTGTGCCGTGGTAGTCCGAATATAGAAGGCCCGAAACTGCTTGCTATGTTCTAGGGGCTTCTGGACCTTTCTGTTAGAAAACGCTTATGTATCTGCTGCTTCTGCATGTTACTCAAAGAGATCCATTGACGACCGTGGTGTATCGAATCCAACGTATTTCCGCCTGATCTCTCTCATGGAGTATCAGCATGCCTAGTCCATGCAGTCCACCAGCATACGTGTCATTCACAACCTTTGGCCCACTGAGAAGCGATGGATCCTCCACTGTCTTCCCTATGCCGGCATGTTCCTGGCAGCAGTAGCTGCAGCGTTTGATCCAGTCAAGAGCGGAGATCAGAGGAGAAGGTCCATTGCAGCCATGAGGAAAGCGCCAGCTCCCGCAAAATCAAATGCAGTGAGACGGATGGCAATCAGCAAGCTATATATTATCTAGCAGCTACGCTAGCTATCTGATAAGTATAGTCGCTGGCATCATAGCAAATAAGCTTAGACTTTGATACGTGATGACAGACTGAGCCACCTCGCTGATATATGTGGCCCACACTTTTTGCTTTGACAAGTCCGTTTGTTCACCTAGAGAATCTATTGCTACGTTGCGCGCTGTTCATGACCTTACTAATGAGGGGTTGCCGCCACAAAAGGTTTTTATAAATTTCGGAGTTTTGCACTGCTGTTGCGATACAGATGGCTGCGTTTCGTTGAACCTGCGGCTGTTGCTCGAAGTCCAGTGCCTGTGCTGCTGCTTGAAGTAGCGGCAGCAGCATGTCACTCGATTGTTGGTCGTACTGCTTCTGATCTGAGTTGAGCTGCATGCGCAAAAGGCTTGTGCTAAGCACCATGGCATTACCAAGGGCGCTAAATACATCTCCTGGTACTGGTTGTTCGACTGCATCTTGTACCGTTGGCGCTGGCTTTACTGACCGCCACCCTTCCGAGATTAACAGCTCCAGCAGCCGCTGCAAGAGTGATACTAAGTCTTTGAGAAGCACCTGCTGTGCAAACAGCGCAGAGTCCTGTTTGAAGGGTGCTGCTACTGTTGTTGTTTTGCTTTCTGCTGCTGCCCGCTGTAGCAGCTGCTGGTGCTGAGCAGACACCGAAAGTGCCCGAACTGCAGCGGCCGCTGCAGCATTCCAGCAGCCGCGGCCAACAGCGTCCTTCAAAGTCAGTACTGCAGCTGATTCTATTTGAAGAATGGCTGTAGGGGTGTCAACTGCCGTCGCGGCTGGAGCTGATGTTTGTGGTTGCTGCTGCAGAATACGCGCAGCGATAGAGAGGGAACGTGCCAGCAGCTGTTCAGCTGCTGTCGCAGCATCTGCATCGCACTCCAAGCTCGTTTCTGCTGTGAGTGATAGTGCTGCTGTTGCTGAGACGGCTACAGCAGTGGTCGATGCGACCTCCAAGAGGGAGAAGGCTTTCAGGAGTGCCCTAGCAGAGGCCGCACTATTGGCAGCAAGGGACGCTTGTGATGCTGCAGCTGCTGAGGTTGCTGCAGTAGCGTCAGTCGTGACATTGAGAAGGAGTCCAAAAAATTGGTTTAACAGCAGCAGCCGGTAGTGGCCAGGGGTCATTAACTGCAGCAGGAGCCTCGAAGCAGGTAGTTCGGTGTCAGCAAGCACAGTTTCCTGCTGCGAATCCTCGCCGCCCTTCTTAGTACGACTGCTGTCACTAACAAAGCTGCTGCTTAACGGGCTGGTGAGCACGCGCAGTAGCAGCGTAAGCTGATCTGTCGCTGGCTTGCTACTGCATATCTCTTGCCGTATCTTGGGGTGTTTGGTAAGGTTCAGCAGCACATCCAGCTTACTGCTCACTGCGTGCATTGCTGCTACTGACTTGTCTGCTATTCTTAAGGCTAGTTCAGCTTCTTCTGCCGTAGGAAGCAGCGCAAGCAGTAGAACGGCGTTGCACTGTTGGTCCTGTTGCACCAGGTGTTGGTGCAAGACCCCCCTCATCGCAGCCTCTAGGGAAAAGTTGCAGAGACACCTGCGGGCCGCTACCAGCAATCGCTGTTTCTGCTTCTCGTTTTGCTGGTACAGCACAGAGTTAGCGCGGCAGCAGATTTGAGGATGCAAAGCCAAAGCGCACCGCGACCCTTGGCTGCAAACAGAGCCGCCTGTTGTTACCGGCGTGGCTGCTGCTCCCCAGTGAATTATCAATCCCGCCATTGTGTCATCTGCCGCGGCAACACGCGCCATTTCCTTCCTGATCTTGGAGTGTACGGACAGTTCAGCGAGCAATGACGCAGTCGTGCAAGTAAACTGTGGATCTTGAAGTAGCAGCAAGAGGTTGTGTGTCACAGGCAGCATGAGGGATTCATAAAGTGCCGGGGGGCTGTTGCTGCTGCACAGCAGCCAGAGCAGCTTTAGGGCATCTTTGCAGCATGTCGTGCTGTTGCTCGTGCTTTCACATGTTTCCAGCTGCTTAGCTTCTTCTGTAGCATCGGATGTTGCCTCAAGCCCACGATTCAGATCCTTCCTTTGCTGGTGCGGTCTTTGCTGCTGGTCGTGCTGCTGCAGCCTTTTCTTCAAGCCCATTGCATACAGCCTAATGTCTTGCAGCGCAAAGTCGAGAAGGCACCGTGCTGGCCCCCTGGGCATTTGCAGCTGCAGCGGTGCTGCCGCTGATGCTCCAGCACCAGTGGTTGCACAGGGCTCCAGCGTACACAACAAAACGCGTGCCTCGGGAAGCGTTTTGATGCGATGCAATAGGGTGGAGAGAGTAGAAGGTGACAGTTGACGTAACATACAGCCGCATTGCTGCAGCTCCTGAAACACAGCAGCAAACGCTTTCTCTAATGCTGTCGCTTGGACCGAGCCTCCGGCTGGTTGCGCTGCTGCTGCCCCTGCTGTGCCTTCTGCATTGCCTGCTTTTGTTCCCGATTGTTCTGTCGTCGTTTGTGAGTTTTCTGCTAGCGTGCTTGCTTTCGAAGCTACTGCTGTTTCGCTTGTTGAGGTAGCGGCTACAACAGCAGACGCAGAGCCTTCGTGATCCTGCCAACTTGCACATTGAGGATCCACGGTTTCCTGCTGCTGCCTGTGCTGCTCCGGCTGCTGCTGTTTTGACTGTTGCTCATTTTCTATCAATTCCATATTCTTATGCTGCCGCTTTTGCTTTTCGGCCTCTGCTTCCAAGAGAACCTTGAGTTCACTGGCTAAAGCATTTGCTTCCGTTGGGTTGGGCACTAGCTGCCGCGCCACTTCTGCATCTTCTGCTGCTGCTGATATCTTCAAAAGTTGACGCCTCACAAACGCACGACGTATCAAGGCCTTGTAACACAAGCCTCTGGATTTGGTGTACCTGTATCAGCAGAAGTAGCAGCAGTCGCAGTGAGGGCGGCATCCACGTGGATATTGCGAGCGAAAGGGGAAACAGCAGGAAGCAAGCAGAAGCAGGCAGCACATGAGTCGCCAGGGCCGCGAGGAGACACAGCGCTCTTGAATGAAAGAGTGAAGGAACAAACCCGTTTTCAAATAGCTCGCAGATTTCAAGGATTTTTGATGCCGTAACTTCTGCTTCTTTCCATTTTTCCCTCTTTAGCTCCGCCAGGCAACGATTGTTGAGCGCTGGTAGGGAGTCCGGCTTTACTTCTACTGCCGCAGCGAAGGCTTCCTCCGCTAAAAGCCACCGACCAGCTGCAGCATGCACCCGTCCAGCGGCAAGGAGAGCTGCGGCACGGTGTCGCTGTCCTCCGCGGGCCTTTTCCCTCCGCTTTATGTCTTCCTCCAACTGATGCAGCTCAGGTGTGTCTGGAGGTGCCGTGTGCTGCAGTAATTGCTGCTGTTGCTGCTGCTTCTCCTCTTCGTCGCTCTCAGGCTCATAATACCGCCACTTCTCATAGTCGGTTGGCTTGATTGCTGCCACTTTTGCTGAAGCTGGCGTTGAGTGGCGGCGTACAATTGCCTTTGTGCGCTGGAGTTGATGGTGCTTTTGCCGTCGCCACAGCACCCGCTGCTTCTCCTGTTGTGCCTCAGCCAGAAGACGCTGCAGCACCTCTAGCCTGTTCTTGCGCTCCTGAAGCTCGCCACCGCAGCGATAGCACCGCAGCAGCCGCTGCTGTTGCTGGTCTTTGTGTGTCTGCTGTTGCTGGTCTTTGTGCGTCTGCTGTTGCTGGTCTTTGTGCATCTGCTGCTGCTCTTGCCGGCACGACTGACCCTCTTGATGCTCTTTTGTTGCCTTGTACTCAACTCTACAGCGGGGACAGTACCAGTCAAAGTTGGAAGAAGGGAGACCCCATCCCTCCTTCCCGCGGCGTTGTTGCTCCTGCTGCTGTATCACCCTCTCCTGCACCAACAGCATCCGCAAGAGCGGCGACAAAAAATATGCAAAGAGTATTGCAGCTTTCTTTCTTGCCACAAAAACAGCACAGTAGGGATCGAAATGGAAATGCTGGAAAGTGCATGGGTGCTGCGGCATTCAGATAATATAGGTCTCCAACGTACTTCTGCAGCTATCTCTCTGGCTCGCCTCTGCAGCTGCCGTCGCCGTTCCTCTTGCTGCGTTCGAAGATCTTCCTGCTGCAGCTGCTCAGGGGTTAAGTCGCCCTTAAGAATGGCCTTCACCTGAAACAAGGGCAGCTCATGACACCACTTTACCGCTGGGCGGGTGCTCATGCAGCAGCAACCCCAACACGAGCGCCTGCGTGTGTGCAGCCGTGCGATCGTCTAAGAAAGCATGGAAGCGATCAGAAGAAGTGCCGGCGGGATGCATATTATACTAGGGGTGGCGGCAATTGCAAGATCTGCAGCACAATACCCGTTCTGCCACTTCTTCGGCCCTCTCAAGGAAGTTCTCTGCATCTTCAGTTGTTGCAACGTATTCAGCAGCAGAAAATACTGCGTTTGGATCCTTTGGCGTAGCGGCTACTTCCGCTGGGTGTGCTTCTAGATTCGGGGTTGCTGCTGCTGCAGTATCCTTTAGGTGGCTGCTGAGGTTAGTTTCCACCATTATCTTAAGCTTAGCCGTTGAGGTGAGCTTCCATCATATGGTGCTGGTTTGCGGATACTACGGCAGCGCAGCCTCAGAGTCGCGTTTTGGGTGCCCTTGCGTATTTCCCTGTCGGCGACAACAGACAGGTGACCCTGTGGAGGCACCAGGTTGAGTGCCCTGATGAGGTCACCCGCCCTACTGCGGCAAGAAAACGGCCAGTAGTTAGTGAGATAAAGGTAAAATGTCAGGAAATTTCTGTGTACGGACATAGGCAGAGCCAACGTATAGATATGGAGCTATGCGAGAACGTCGAGTCCTTCTGCCTGGCCTACAGGATCGGCTGCAGACGCTGTCCTGTGCCTAATGACCTTCTCTCCATAGGCATTTCTCATTTCTGTTCTCAATACAAGCAGACTGTGTGTTTTAGCCCTTCATATGTGTTTGCCATGCCGTATTATACCTTCTTCCTCCCTCCTATTGGAACCGGGCCAGGCTCCCGCTGCCGCCTCGTATTAATTTGTGAGTGGTCTAGCTTCCTGCCATCATTGTTTCCTATTCTTTTCGAGGTTTCTCTCTCGTTCAGAAGGTCCTGAGCGTGAATTTCTGGTTTTTGGTATACGGGTTCGTGCCGTGTGTCGGCTGTGTCTGTGGTCACGTAGTCCCCCTTGGCCGTGCGCCTGCTCCATGGCTCTGCGCCCCTCTACTGCCCCTCTTCTGGACTTTTCTGCCTTTTCATGCCTGCTGTCTCGCCATCAACATCTCTTTGCCTTCCGTAGCTCATGTAGCAATGCACATCTGAACAGTCTCGCATGAGTGATGACCCTGGAAAGGCCACCTAAAGGCTTTTCTGGAGGACATGATAAGATTTATACCCTTGGCCCGAAAAAAGAGAGCTCTCCACTTGAAAAAATGGCTGCAGTCCTAGCATGGTGCTACGACTTCCTAGGGGGCATATGCGCAGTTTACACGACCATTACGTTTCGGAAAGACTTCCCCTTGGCTGTCCCTTATGGCTCTTCCAGCATCGATTACGGAGGCTCGACTACAAAGCTGATCGCCATGTATTCGAAACTGACTCCTCTCAGGAGAACCCTTAACCCGTAACGCCAAACCTGCAGGGTGCACTCGATGGTCAACATACCACCTGTGCCGCCCACTTGGGCTTTAGCTAGTGTAACCGCCCATACGGCCCCAAACAAGGCATAATGCCTTTCAAGGTCTAAACTGTTTGGTTGTTTAATCCCAAGGTGTGCAGGACGAGATTGAAATCTTGAAACTGCAGCAAATAGATGCCGTTTGTAAATAAGCAATAACATCAAGTGCTGCTGCTGCAGCGTGAGCTGCTACAAATTCAAACAGCTAGCTCACTCATTACTACTCTGCTGGAAGCCACATTACATTAATGCGGCCGGTCGTGCCGCGTACGCAGTCGTAAAGAGGACTGGGGATGCCTGTCATAATGCTTATCTGTATTACTCCCTTGGAGACGCCCACTTCCTTTCTAGTTTTACCTCTACTTCCGTTGCTTCTGCTGCTGTTGCTTCTGATGCTGCTTTTTGGATTGTTGCTGCTGCTGCTCGTCTGTTGCTGGCTCTTCGGGTATTGGTTCGAAAAGGACTTTCTCTGGGGGGTCAATGGGAGTCCCGGGGGCTAGATTTTCCATCCAAGGGGAGAGCTCGTGTATGAGTTTTGGTTTTGTGTTGAATTGCTTGAAAACAGTGGACATAGCCTCTGGAAGGAAAGGTTCCAAGAAGTGGGCTAGGGTGTACAGGCACTCGAGGCACAGTCGGATGTCCTCCTGTCTTCTTTCTTCATCTTTGCACGCCCAGGGTGCTGTGTCTGTGAGGAATTTGTTAAGATCCCTCACGGCCTGAAGAGGCAGCTCTAGGGCCTCCCTAAGTGCCGTTTCTCTAAAGGCGTCGGCCACCTCTGCGGTGAGCAACGCCAAGTCGAACGGGGGATGTCTGGGAGGCACTGCGGAGTTTCTCGGGGGCACCTTTCCTCCACAGAATTTGGCAGTGAGGCCAACTAGCCGCTGCAGGAGGTTGCCTATAGTATTCGCCAGTTCGTTGTTGTGTGTCGCTCGCATGGCACTCATGTCGAAGCGCATGTCGCAGCCGTAGCGGGCGTCTCGAAGCAGGAAAAACCGGAAGCTGTCGGCAGGACAGACGGCCAAAGCGTCTTCTGGAAGCACAACGTTTCCCAAACTCTTGCTCATCTTCTCCCCCTCAGGTCCCAGCACAAACCCATGGGCGAAGACGCGCTTTGGGAGCGGCAGGCCCGCAGACATGAGCATGCACGGCCAAATCACACAGTGAAACCAAATAATGTCTTTGCCGATCAAGTGAAGAGACGCTGGCCACAAGGAACGGAATTCGGGGCTCCCCGATACCAGCGGGTTCAAGCCTGCAAGAGACACCGACGCGCAGAACAGCCTGTTTCGCCATGCTGCATTCCTCAGGAACGACAAGAGGGAGGGAGACGGGGAGACAGAGTGGTGCACGTACACATGCACGACTAGACAGTGCGTCCTCGATGAAAGGGGACTAGGAGAAGTGCAATGGGGGAAAAAAGCAACAGTTATTACGATCAACAACAACGAGGCACTCGAGAAGAGGCAGCCAGCCACCATCAGAAGAGTAGCTGTGTGTGCTTCTTCGCTGCAAGTTTCAACGAGGTGTGAAGTGTTAGTGGACGCGGACTGACCGGTGAGGTAATTTGTGAGGGCGTCGAACCACACGTACATCACATGTCTCTCATCGTCTGGAACGGGGACACCCCAGGTAAAGGATGCACGGGAGCAGCTCAAATCGTGGAGAGGCTCCTGTAACCGCCGAAGGATCTCGTTTTCCTTCTCAACAGGGGCGACGAATCCAGGGTGGCTCTTGATGTGTTCAATGAGCCGCTCCTGGTACCTAAAGAAGACACAGGGGCACAGACCAGCGAGACACTCCCTGCTGACCGCTGTCTAAGACGTATAAAGTAGGGCAAGCGGCTACCGCCTACGGGAGAAGTCACAACACGAGCCGCAAAAGGCGTTCACGAGAGCTTTCGTCTCTAGCGATCGAGCTGCGCATGTTCCTCTAAGGCTGCGGTTTGGAATTGTCCATCAAGAGCGTCGGATAAAGGGCCAAAAACCGTAAACCTACCTGCCCATTTTGAAAAAGTAGCTCTCTTCTTGCATTCGTTCTAGGGGCTTGTTGGTAACGGGATCCTTAAAGTCTGTTGCTTTAGCGTCTCTTTCCGAAACGAACGCCTCTTCCCTCCGGTTGTACCACCCCGAGTAGGTGCCTAAGTAGATGTCTCCCTTGTCCCTGCAGGCCTTCCAGAGCCACTGGGAGACGGCCTTGTGCTCGTCGCTCGAGGTTCTGACAAACTGATCGTGGCTACTATTCAGCTTCCTCAGCAGCTCCACAAACTCCGCGGCATGCGCATCCACGAATTGCTGGGTAGGCACCCCGGCATTTGCAGCCGCATCAGCTATCTTCATTCCATGTTCGTCCGTCCCTGTAACATACTTTACATTAAACCCGGCTAAACGGTGATAGCGAGCCAAAGCATCCGCGGCCAGGTATTCGTAAGCGTGGCCCATGTGCGGTGTGCCGTTCGTGTAAGCAATCGCTGTCGTGATGTAGTATGGTGGACGTTCTGCCGCGTGTTTCAAAGTGCCTGTAGAGTTCGCTGCTCCTCCTGGGGAGACACACAAATGAGTCCTAGTCAAGAGCTGGGGGCCTGGGGGCGGTGGGGGGCTCATCGCTGCTGCGGCTGAAAAGGCTCCACTGAAGGCCTTTTCTGTCTCTAGGAGCGCCTTGGACAGCAGCGGGAAGTCGGGCATAGCCAAGGCGCCACCTCCTAGGGCTCCCCAACGGTGGAAACGAAACGTGGCATACAGCAGCATGTCGCTGAGGGAGGCCGGACCGCCACACAGGGACCTAGCTCCGGTTGTGGCTGCAGCAATGGGAAACGCATGCATGCAGGGGAAGATTCATACTCCGTAGCAGTGAGACAATCAAGCATGGAACACACCCTAAAGGATCCCTGAGGAAGGCTTTCGGTGGGCTCACCCACACACGAAGACGCCGGGCGCCGCATTGCACCGCGGGGTGAACACCGACTTGCACTCGACTAGCGCTTTAGGCTGCTTCATGCTCACCGAATGCAGCTTCAAGGCTTTCCAGCAGATCCAGAATGCGGCTCTTGTCCAAGCCGGCTAAGGCGGGTTGCAGGGTGAAGAGCACCCAGTCAACCCACTGTTGTTCTTTCCAGTAGCTTGGGGCGGCCCCCTGCGGGCCGTTGGGAGACTCGTTACGCGTTGGCGGTATGGAGAGGGGAAAGGTTTTGGACGCCTGCTTCGGATTTGCAGTTATGAGGTATTGAATGATCGCCCTCAGCCCCCCAATCGCAGTTTCAGGAAGACATAAACAGGGTCGCTGATCGGGATGTACTGTCAACGCAGGATGAGCAGCAGTCCCCAAGAAGTCAGCATCTAGACCTAGTGAGTGGCAGAGAGACAAAATACAAAAAGAACCAAAGCCACTTCTGTCCCCGAACACCCGCAAACCAGGCTTCGCATTGCCGGCAGCCATCTTGGGACAATCCTATAACATAGGCTCCAAACACCACACCCTTAGCCCCAATTCTGATAATAGGCTTTCCCCCGCGGAACCGGAGCAACCAACAATGCCTCTCAGCGCAGCAGTGTCTCTATGCCTACGTCCTAACCCCCAGCGGCGCCCGATCGAGATGCGCGGAAGGGTGGGAAGGGAGAGGAGCTCCAAATTTAAAAATGGAGAGAAAAACAAATTTCTATAGCAATAAAAAGACACGGTAAGACCAAAGCCGCTAAACTCTAAATGCTGATAGCGTAAAGCCCATATTGCAAAACGATAGCGCATGCGGCCACGCGTGGGTCGAGAGCAGTCCGATTCGCCTCCATGCAAAAAGGCTTGGAAACCCCTAACTCTTAACACATGTCACACCAATTATCGCCTCTCAGTGGCGCCGTCTGAATAAATTAGATCTGATGTTTGTGGTTAGAGAGCTCTATGCGAGTGCTGTGTCGCTACATTGCCCTTGAGTCGAGAGCAACACCGTGGGGTCTCATTAGTATACTATGTGTTTACTTCAGTACATGTCTCATAGGCCAAATGTGTCTGCATGGCTTTAAGACTGAACGCGGGGATCAGGTAAAGGTGCCCTTATCAGGCTTACCTGAGCAAGGTAGCGACGGGGAAAGCAGCTCTACCGCGCGACGCCACACAAAAGCAGCACCTCCTGCAAGCACCAGATCAAATTTATTTGAGTGATAAAGGCACAGTTGGGTCTCCACTGCATACAATCTCTTGCGGGGCCGGGGAAAAGCCAGAGAAGGCTGTGAGAGTAGCTGAGCCTGCCGAACTAAAGCTCTATCAAAGGTGTCCTTGGGGATACACTGGATTCCTGAGTTAGTATAAACGTGATATAAACTTCCTGAGTGTTTTGGGAAAAATATATCGCATCTCCGTGCTTGCGCGGCTTAGATATGCCCACATGAGGATAGAGCGATACCCCGGTTGCGCACACCTGTGCCCTCCAAGCACTCCGAGCGGTTACATTTAGTTAAACATACCACTTAGCAAGCTAAATGAATTTTCTCATATCACCCTTCAGTACCTTGAAATAAACAAGATGCACGAACATCCAAGACAAAAAAGTGAGCTCTGTACTACTTCCTAGTTGAACACAAGTAGTGACGTAGAAAGTGCTGAAATGTAGCTTTGCCCGCTAAACCTTCCCCAACCCGTTTCTAAACGCATACCATCGTTTTCCATACTTGTACGTTGAGCCCAACTTCATGGAGGACACCGGAAGAGTTAGCGCCCAATCGCCACCCCCTTTGCAGGCAAACGCGCAAACATCGTGACAGGGGAAAGCAAAGTGTGCGTCAGCCGCTGAAGTGAGATTGACTGAAAGCGCAATTGCACACACTAGCCAACAAAGACACAGGGAGCAAACAAACGCTACAGTAGGGGAGCGATGGCTAGATGTCATTGGAGGGTTAAAATATGTGGACCTCATGCTCGGAGAATTCACTAGAGAAGTAGCATTTGAACTAGTTCACCAGCGCCTAGACGCTTGATAGAGCAATTTTACATGCAAATATAGCCGGTTCATGCAGAATAGTCTACTTCTAAGGAAGTCATACGGAAGAATGTAGGGACAACATACGTGAGAACGCCTGCATAAAGAGTGGGCGTAGAGAACACCTTAACAATACTATCTGGGAACTATTCAAGATATAGACGCAGATCATTGTAGCTTTTTCAGGCACAGCATGCCACAGGGAAGGACAAGTGTCAAGGAACGCGAGAAATATCATCCGTGGCGACCAGGGTTGTTTACTAAAAAAAGCCACATACTCGCTCGTAGGCGAGGAAGCTCGCAACTACTCTTCCTCGATCCCCACCGCATTTTACTAGAAAGCTCTGTCTAGAGTCCTCGGCTCTCGACTGTCCTAGAGTTCAGGACATCTACTGCTCCGTGGGGACCCCGCGCCTCCATAGTGGTCGCTTCCTTGCGCCGCAGAAGTCTGCGAATAGCTTGGACAGCTGTGTGATGATTTTGTGGCATCTCTTACTTTCATGGAAATCGACAGAGCAAGAAAGCATTGATATATGGCACGAGGTCAAATTGCAAAATTCCCATGTATGTCAGCCTGTGAGTTACTTCCTTAAGCCTGCCGCTCCACTAGGGCCAAAGCTCTAGACTAGAAATACACAGCCGACCGCGGCCCATCATGTTTCCGTGTTAGTCTCTCTCGAGTTTTGCCCATACACTCGAGTGCACTATCCAGCTGTTCTCCACATCTCTACGCTGCAAAGAGTGCCTGCTGATCCCAGACCTCCAGGTTTAGGATATAACGAAAATGGGCTCCGCAGTGTCGAACAGGAATGCGGGAGAGCAACAGGTTGGCGAGTGTATGGATGTATTATAAAGTCACTGAGCACAAAGAAGGAACTCAAGCAAAGAAATGAGAGTTGTGTATGCGTAGAGTCGTAAATTCCGCCAAAGAGCGCTATTGCGCCATAGCTGCCAATCTGCCTTGGAGTAAATCGCAGTGGTTGTATGATGGGCATTGTGTAGGCGGAACATAAGGGCACGCCAGAACGCACACACGAAATTTGGGTCCTTCTTCGCACTGATATATCTGGGTAATTCGTGATTCATTTCTTCATTATTAGAAAGTACTTAGTTTTCGGAGCCGTTAGAGAGCTGGAGTAAGGTATGAAAAGGGCGGGTTTGCAACACCGTACATCCTTTCGGGCTTTATTGGCCTCCAGAAGTCCATCAATAGCGTCCGTTGTCATATCAGTTCAACCAGTTTAAGAAACCTGAAGGCTTTGCAAAAGCGGATTTAGCGAAATTCTCTGGCTTCAGCTGACAATCTGAGCATGAGGGTTCACAGCCCTCAGCCATAGAAAGCACATAAAGTCGCCAGAAGGACATCGAGAGCTTTCCTATTATGAAGTGAATACCGACTTGGCCAAAAACAACACAAGCATGTGCTTTGCGCAAAAGTTATTTCTGAGCGGAGTAGGGACGTACAAGCGACGAAAACATTACTTTTTTTTAACCATAGCATAGGCCATCCTCGACTTGTTAATGCTTCACCATTTTGTCATTCTTGACTTTGCCTACAGTAATAAATACCTGGGTATTAGAGTGATATGACTCACGCAGTTTTGTTCGAAACCGCGATCATCACAGACAAGAGTGCTTACGCTGGACAATGGTGAGCCGCTAGGTCGTCGAAAACGCGTGTCTACGACCACATTTGGGATGTCCTTTTGATGCTTCCCTGTAAATTCATAATGCAGGAGGAGCGCAAGCCAGTTAACAGCTCTAGAATTCTTAGGCCCTAAAAAATCTCCTCTAGCTACATTGAAGGCAAATAGTGGACCTGGACAGCAAAGTTATGCCCGAATAAATAGTAGCTAGGTTTTCTACACCCCACACCACACCGCACAGCGCTTCTTTCCCCGCGGTAAATACAGCCGCTCCATTTCGCTTAGGCTGATAGAAAAACAAACATCCACTCTTGCATTGGCAAACCAGTAGGCTGTTGGGAGAGTACAGCACCAATCACCACGTCGCTAACACTAATTGGCAGGAAGAAACGACGCTTATGGTTGGCCAGCGGAAGTACCGTAGGAGTTATGAAGCATCCGATAAACGTTTTGGCTGCGGCATTAGCCTTCTCTGTCTACCAGATTGCGTTTTCCTTAGCAGCAGTCAAGAGAGCGACACTTCGAGCACATTCAGAACTAGAACTTTCTTATAAGATACAAACGCATAGACCGTTGCAACGTCCGTACGGGTGCGTAAAGGCCACACCTTAATTGCTTCACTTTTCCGGGTCGGGCCCAACTTATGCAGCCAAAACACCGAGCCCCAATTAATTATAAATGAGCGTTTGCTCGTTTTCACATGTTACAACTTGTACCGCAGCAGCTGAAGCGCATATCATACGTCCTGTATGTGCTCTTGGGCGTTCCGGTGCAGACCAAGCCGTGGTCCATGTAATAAGCGCTCCACCCTTCCTTGGCATACTCACACAAAGCCCAATTAACCTGTCGCTGCGATTCGGCTTCCGCAACAACTAGCCCAAACGGCATTGAGGTATATTATGGTTTGGAGGCGTTCTGTGATGATTGTGACGGTGAATCGGGACTTTCAAGAAGACATTCGTGAAGTCAGATATCGAGAATAGTCGATTCACGCATTTTGTGAAGTGATACGCCAGTATAAAGTATCAGTCAAGCTCCTATTTATACTGTGAGGTCATCCGTTGCAGCAAAATCTGGCTTGGTCCAAACCCAAAGGATAGCTCAATACGGCGCGCTGGACGACCACCACATGCCCAGCCTGCTGGTAGCTCGTCATTATTCTTCACGTCTGCAAAATTGCTTAAATTTTGCCCACTCCTCCTATTCGTTGGCTGAGCGTTCAGTTGAATTTTCTAATACAAAACCAGTTGCAGAGCCACAAAAACGGAATGCATGCTCAGACACCTATTCTCTTCGTGGGTTGCTGAGCTGCCCGTCTCTAAGTTTGGTGAGGCACCAACTCTACTCTGCTCCCCATAAGTGAAATAATGATTTCTGGGAGCATTACGTGCTGCTTGTTCCTAGCACTTCTTCGCACACTAACCTGCACAGCGCGCACGTGCATGCTCGTGCGCGCCTTTTGTTGGGTCACGCATGGTGCATATAGGATTGCGTCTTGGTGCACAGTTCCAACATAAACATCATGGACGGTGCTGATAAGAGCCATTTCCAATTTGAAATGGCTTCCAATGCCTGAGCCCAACCAAGCCGTGTGCCTTATTGTCCAGCAGTAGACGTTATTCTCGGGGACTGTACGGACGATTGCCTAGACAGTTTGCCTTGTGCACCAGCGTCAAAAAATAGATGCACGATATATCTAATGTCTAGGAGGGCAAGCAGTTCTCGACCATGTGTATAAAGTTGTATTATAGGAGTAGTGCTCTGTAGTGGGCCTCAACTGCATCTCTATGCTCCTCGTTGTGCTGCATCCCTGCGTCGGGGCTTTTCTGTTTCCTCTTGCACTTTGTTTGCTCGCCACCCAGTCTGATTCTGCTGGTCCCAGGTCCTATGTCAAATTTCTTTGGTTTATATATATGTATGCATTTGCAGTTCCGGTTTATATGACCTGATTTCCCACGAAAGAAGCAGGTACGCTGGTGTGGAGCTCTCTGGAGCTGTGTGTAACGCGTAAGGCGTTCACCTTAGATTGTAGGCGTGAAACGGTTAACACCGGCAGCCCTCCACAGCTTCTAAATCTAGCTTAGGATGTTAATTTCAAACTAAACACGCAGTGGATGCTCTCACATGCGCCTGAAATCTCTAGTAGTCCCTCATTTAACACAGCGTTGCCGATTGATTGTACCGCCGGCTCACTGCCCGTGCAACCAGCTGGTTTGAATATCTGAGAGATTCTCAGATAAAGCACTTTACAGCAGCTATTCGGATACATTGTAGTTTTTGAAATCAAGGTTCCATATTTCTCGATATCCTGATCTTGGGATAGAATCCATTTCAGCGTTTGCAATAAACCGAAAACTTGCTATTGAGCTGACACTGGCAATACTCAGCGAGTCCGGACATGATTGAAGGATTGAGCTATGTAATTGCCTGCAGGCGGACGGCTTTCGCCATTGATTCGCTTCTCTCTGCTATAAACCATGCCACAAGTAAAACGCGTTTCCGTATATTTTACACCGCCTGCCTAGATCTTCGGGGACTTGGCCATCGTGAGAGCCTTTGTACTTTTCTGATAAGCAGAGCATAACCCCGTCGATGCACAATATTTTATCTACTCACAGATAAGTTCTTTTCAACTGCTGTGGAACTGCTGCGTCAAGCTCAGCTGGCAAGCCGGCCTGAACCACCACACCAGGCGTTGTGCCACCATCTACTTTCGTCGCGAATTTTCAAACTGTTGCCACAGATGGTCAGATTACTGAAACAAGTTACTTAATCAAAGGCGGATAGCAGGTTCCAAGAAACCTGACATCCTATCGCATCAACAGACAGTGGACGAGCCGTAAAGAGCTGCCTGGGACGATGCAGTGCTACCAATAGTCACGCTCCATCCAAGGTTTCAGTAGGAAGGTACGTGACTCCACATTCCAGAGCTTCTGATAGAAAGCTGTTGAGCCTTACAAATGGCTTCCTTCGTCTCCTGCCCGTTCCCCTAATAGTTCCCGACATGAGGGGAGAGCAGCAGCGGGGTACGCGTAGCTTCTGCCCCTAAGCATTCCAAGTATTCATAGCTTGTTTTAGATGCGTCCAGCGCATGCGCATACAACAGTGCCCCGTATTACATTTGAATAGCCTGTGCAATAATACGATTTTCGAGCAAACAAAACAATTAGTCAATTCTTAGCTTTTTGTTAAATATGACGAGTGTAGTTGAGAGTGTTCAACTATAACTTATTTCGCTACAACACGCACTGCACATATTGTGGTGGCGTATGTGAATGCCGCAGTATTGCTCAAAGGGTGCGGCAACTTGCAAACCAGCTGAGCCGAGCGGCTTCACCACAGCGTGGAGCCCTCGGGGGAAAGGGCAGCGAGGGGATAGAACACCTGGAAAAGAGAAATGTCATTTCCCCTAGGTTTCCAGTAGGAGTTCGCGGCCAAGTTTACTGTAAAGACACCTTGGGGGAAGCGTTATACGCTAGTACGCAACCCGGTGCTTAACATGCTATGCAGGCAGGTGACAGCAGGTAAGTTCAGAGGCTCAGTACCAGCTGCTCATCGAGATTACCTCATGAGTTGAAGAGAGAGATGCTTACGGCATTTTCCGAGCACCCCTAAGCCAAAACCCCCGTTTTAGCGAGACGACGTCGTTGATGGCTTCTCCTATTATGCCCCCTTGAGACACATCTGCAGCTGCTCACTGCACTTTTTGGCTTTTGTCTCCCGTATGTCAAATTTATTGAGACTAATACCATGTTTCTTGGGCAAATACAGATAACTGCATGCTATGAAACAGCCGTTTCTCAATATAGGAGAATTTTGGGGGTCCTCTGTTGCTTCTGCCATCTGTTTCGGAATTCCAGCTTTTCATCTTCGGCGGCCTCAAACTCATGAGGACACTCTACTGTCGAACGGCTTTGTTCGTTTATTGGCTCAAGCATACTCGCGGGAAACACATCTACAAATGCCCTCCCCACACAAACTCTGTGCCATAGGGATATAATGGTAAACCGAAACTTCAAGTTCACCCATATATCGATACAAATACCTTTATACAGTACACTCCGAATCTCCTAATACACTTATATCTCAATGCAAATACAATGTTGCAGTCTCATTTCCTCTTTTCTGCATGGCTTTCGGCCACAGTATTCCTTTCCATAAATTCTGTACTTGGCCAGGGGTCACAGGGAGTGAAGCCCTACTCCTGGAGTCGGGGTGTACGACTAAGGCTTGTGCATGCGCCAAAGAGAGCCTCCAGTGTATCACTGTGCACTGGATTGCTAACTAATTCAAATAGAACTACTACTGGCCCACGCGCCTCCGACCATGTGACCAGGGCCACAATCCGATCTACGGAGAGCACACCTTTTAGGTATAAGGCTCCACCTAAAATCTGTGTAGGAAGACACTTCGCAACAGATCAAACACAAAACTGGTAGATAAATACTGTGCATCTTCCAAAAGAGCTCCTTTCCTGACCTGCCTGCCCCCTGCAGGGTTCTGATATGAGTAGAAAGCGATAGATAGGAGGCCTGTAGCTGCGCCTTCAAATCAATCCGAGCACTTGAAGCCCAGGTACAGATAGTATCTAGCACAGAAGCATGCAATACTGGCCTTATAGCAGTCAGTCAAAAGCACTTTGCAATGAATAACGCATACGGGTATTATCACCGATTGGTCAGTAGTTTACCGATACACAAGCATAAATAGTATACCATAAAAACGCCCAGATATCGGCTTGGCTGGCTAGTTCAGGGCTACGAAGCCCTGGGATTTCATATTGATATTTCTTGCCCGATGCCGTGCCGCTTCTGAAGCCTTGTCCAGAAACCCGTATTCAGAAGCTTTGACTAACCTTTTTGTGATACCGTTTAACTCAGAAAGTGGACGTAAAATAAATTGTCAGTGCACTTTTGACAGCACTTTGGGTGCTGCGTTGGCACATGTGAGTCGAGCTAAACTTAGAGGAATGCAGCCACAAGCGCCAGACGGCCCTTTCAACTCCACATGGTCATCACTATGCATGGTGCCTGCCTTCCAAAGAGCAGCATCAGATGTGTTCGCCAATGTTCTGTATAAGGTGTAGAGGCGCACACGCCGGCCTGTGCGCCCCTACATTAACCCAACGGTAGAGGTCTCCAGAAAGGGAAGCGCGAGAGCTCCTGGAATATGGCAACTGCGTCCAGCAAACTATGCCAGCGCTATACGAGAAGCTCGGTCAACACATAGCAGAGTAACCCTCACTTTTCTGAAACGAAACCTCACACTTCATGCACTAGGCCCTCCCTAAACGCGCATCAGAGCGCTACTCCCGAGGGAGGTGAAGTAAGACCAGCACGTAGCTAAGGGTTTCCTGAAGTACACTGTAACGTGAGGCTCCGAGTTCCCGTATTCAATGGTTCAAGGAGATAGACTCCCTCAGCTAATGGCATGCGCTAGTTACACGCAGTCAAGAACGACAGCAGAGGAAGAGTCACGTCTGTTGCCTTCTCGAAAAAAGTGCTGCAAGCGCCAACAGCATCTGCTGCTACGGTGCCCTTATGCAGCAGTACGGGCAAGCTGTATGCCCGGCTAATAAACTCTTGGCCCTAGGGCTTGAGAAACAATTCGTCCATAAGAGGGAGCTTGACTGCGTTGCACCTCCCGTGCAAGAAGCTGAAGTACCCATTTGTGGGGGCTCTAAGTAGATCTTCAAATTTAGAAAAGACAGCTGTGGCGAGGAGCATGCGCTCCCTTTCTTGCGCTTGTTTTTTGTAGGGGCTTCTCAGGGGAGAGGCATCGCCATGCCATAGAGAGGGGGCTTTCTTCTCTACGGTTTTTTCTTTGAGCGCATCCGTGTCGCCCGATGCTGGTGCAGCGAGAACTTCTTTACTGATAATATTTTTCTGCGATACTCTCTTGGGGGTCTTCGGATCTTCAAGAGCGGAAGCAGCTGCAGCAGTTGCGACTGCAGCTCTCGTTGCAACAACTGAGCTTTCTGGTGCTGTTCCTGCGGGAACCTTGGCTACTTTACTTTTGGAGGCGGTCCCAAAGTGCAAGTTCTTGGCAGCATCCATTTGTGGAGCGACGAAAAAGTTCTTGCGGATGACAGCGTCCCTGAGAGCACAGAGCCTTGAAGACTAAGGCGTGGGTGTCAGGCAGTCAGCATCGCTCCCGATGTTTTTGTTCTACACGCTGTGTGCTGCATCGCACGCTCTGCGCCTCATAGATCTTAGCCCGCAGCTGCGAAGGCCTGCATCCGGCAGACTCTGTGAACTGTGTGCGACTCAACGCGCTTGAGAGCCTAATGCTAGATGGTCACTCACTTTGCGATGGCGAGGGCAGCAGTTTGTTGAGCTTTGCAGAAGTCCTCTCTGCTGAGGGCAGCGAGTGCAGCCGCCACGGGGTCGTGTACTGCGGTTTCCTTGACTGACTGCTCTTGTTGCTGCTGAGCGTTGGTGATGCTGCTGTTAGCAGCAGCCGCCTCTGATGCATGCAGCGGCATGCTTTTTTCCTGCTTGCGTGTGAAGCCCCAGAGGGATGCCACGGCAGCAGGGAGTGAAGGCCCGCTGCCCTTGAGGCTGAGGAGTCTCTGTGTTTCCGAGAGGAGGCGACATGCAGCATCCGAGACGCCGTACAGGGGATGTTGCAGCACTGCGTGCTGTTGCTGTTGCAGCGGATCGCTGCTACCTGTGCTGCTGGTGTCGCATCGACGAAAGGTGGAGAGACCATCTCTGAGGCCTCGCGCTGCCCCCGTTGCAGTCAGCTGGCGGCTGGTGGCATAGCCAACGTACCATCTACTGCTGCTGCTGTTGTTGCCGTAGCGGCGCTGAAGCTTCTGCTGCCGCTGCTGCTGGTGCTGGATGCGACAGTCGCAAAGGCACACCAGCAGATGCAGCGGCGGCTCGAGCCGGTAGGAAGTGTTGACGCCGGTGAGGCTCTGCAAAGAAACTCCGTGAAGGCCCTGCAACAACACACGCAGAGCTGGAAGGGGTGCAGTTTGGCGGGCATGTGGAAAGAAGATACGGCCATGGCGAAAAACTGAGAAGCAAGAAAGCCCCTTTTTGGCAGGTTGAGCGAGGATGAGATGTCCTCAGGGAAAATAAACACACACACACACACAAAGAGAGAGCGACCCTAGGAGTCGTCTCCGACGCAATTATCCATTTTGCTCACAGTCTGAGTGTCTGTCTCCTGCTTGTGCTGCGTCAGCTGCAAGCCATAGGCCGTCAGGAGCGCAGCCCTCTGGGCAGCAAGGCGGAGAACCAGCGGCTCGGAAGCCTTGGTGTACAGACGTCCCACAGCAATGTCACGCAGGCGCTGTCTCTTCTCCCCTATGCGCGCGCATGCAGTGCAGCAGTAAAAGCAGCGGCAGCAGTAGCAGCAGCAGTAGAAGCACGTGGCGATACAGTAGTCGCTGCAGCAGCAGGCCACCTTATATCAGGGGAGGTATATTCCCGCCCTGGGTACGTCCAGCAGCAATGCTTCGTGAGTAGTAGTAGTACACCTGCGGAGTTCAGGGGCTTAGACTTGCCTGTGAGGAGTCTGGACAGCTGCTGGAGGAGATCTGGTCCTGCCAAGCGCGTGTGCTGTCCGTACAGTTGCTGGTTGCTGGTGTTGGCATGCGGGGGAGCATTCCTAAAGAGGATCCCTGCCTCCGAGGAGGGAAGCGCTAGGCGGACCAAGTAGGGCACAGCTTCCACAGGAAAGGCACTGCGCAAGAAGAGGGTGGCTGCAGGTGCTGAGGCTGCTGCTGCCGCTGCCGCAGCGGCAGCAGCCGAGAGGCATGCTCTACGTTGGTGCTCAGTCGCTGCTGCGAGGCGATACATCAAGAGGGCTGGAGGGGGGCAGCTGTAGAGGCACTGGGAAGGTGGGGGGGACAGGCAGAAGCAGCGGGCAAACAAACACGGGGGTAGCAGAGAAGACAACAGCAACGCCTGGTCCTGCGTGGCAGCGGCTGTAGCCGCTTGCTGGTCAGTCTGCGCCAACAGACCTGCAGCAACAAAAGAAATCGTAAACAGCAGGAAATGCAGAAGAAAACGGATAACGTCAGCCTTGGCAGGGGGCTGAGAGGTGCAAAGCAGTGGGGCAGGAGATACCACCCTCCCGCATGCCTGCCTGACTGCTCAACAATAGGGCGAGAAGCTCCTGCATCCAGGGAGGCTGCTTACGCGTAAGGTGGCCTATCTTGTGCATTCGCGTATCTCCGAACATGAACTGCAGGGATTGCAAAGGCACGGGAAAACGAACGGGGAGCAGAAGGAGAGTACTTTGTCTCCGTCTGAATTTGTACAAATAGCAAGACGATCGACTCGCCTAATCGAAGGCCTCCCCACTCAACAGGCATGCCCTAAAGATATCCCCTTGTCGTTCCCGCCTTGTGCGTCTTTCTGCCATTGAACAGCCAACAACGCTCTGGCTCTCCCTGAAGCTGCCTCGAGAGGTTTATCCAGCCTCCAGCTAATACTCTGCGTCTTACGGCTCTACTATGCCTGTCTGTTTCCGTTCTTCCTACGCGCTTCCCCGTGCCTGACACGCTGCGAGACTACTGCGTTGCTGCCTCTAGGGCTGCATGCGAGCACTAGCTAGGCGTTCAGAGTGTGGCTCACGTTTGCTGAAGCTTCAGAGAGGAGCGCTGCAGAGACTGGCAAATCAAGAGAAGCGGCTCGTGCTGAGTACGAGGCGACCAACGAAGCGGCAGGACTGCCTTCCTCCCTGCAAGCAGCAAAGCACTCAGCATGCGAGTTCACCACAAAGACAGAAGCACAAGCACGCTCGCAGGAGACGGAGTCTGCACTATCGGTCTCAGTGGCTGCTGCTGCTGGGTTGGATGCAGGAAACAAAAAAAGATGCCGGCAGATGCAGCGAGGTCAAGGTAACAACAGAGACCATGGGGACGCCTGGATATGTGTCTATATATATATTTATATATTTATATGGAGCTTAGGGTTTGCCACCAGTTGCGCGCACGGGTGGGAAATGACGGAATCAATGAAGCGCTGAGGAGCTACTTCAGTGTCCTTGCGGAGGCTGGAGGCTTCCAAGTCGTCGAGGGAGATAGCTCGCCTTCCTTCGGAGCAGGCAGCCCTAGGTAGGCACCGACACGATACAGCAAAGAGGGTTCTAGATAGCGCCTATGAGACAAAAACCTCTGGGAGAAAAACATCGGCTTTTACACAGAGAAAAGTAGAGAGTGACCCCGCACAGCGCTAGTTTTCGGCCGTGTACAGGGCGAGAGCAGCTAAGTAATTGTTCGCAGCCTACATCCCTCTCCCCGAACCCGCCAGTCACACACATACCATTTGACAAAAGGCCAGACTGCGAACGAAGCAAGCAACAAGGTCGAGGAGGAGACGGCCAAACGGACAGCCACAGACACAGAGACACACAGAGACAGAGAGAGAGAGAGAAGCGCTGCTGAGTGCAGAAAAGTGGCGTGTTTCAAAGGACGGCAGAGGCGCATACCGCGTGAGGAGCTGCAGAGCATTTACCGCTGCCCGGATGTCGCCTTCTACGGTGTCCATCAAATTGTCGAGTACCCCCTGCTCCGCTGTACAGCCGTTATTTCTGAGGATTTGTTTAAGACGAGCGAGGGCCCCCTGGCGCGGAGGGGGCCCCAAAGTAATGACTTTGCAGAAGGGGCGCAGCGGCCGCAGCACTCGGGCATAGAGGTCGTTACAGATGCAGACAATCGGACTGCGAAATCATCAGAATAGACAGGAGGGGCACAGGCAGACACAGACAGAACTCCTTCTATACGAGACGGAAGGACGGCAGGGGACAGACTGCCAACTGGAGGGAGCCTCTTGAACAGAGGCCTCCGAAGCGGTCTATCAAGGAGGGGAGGAGGGGATGCGCCGCGAATCGGCATGCAGCCCGCTGCGTCTACCGCGTGGTGCGGAAATTTTTGCGGCAACAGTGCAAGCTTTCTTAGCCTGTTTCTGTCTTGGCCTGTTTGCGATCGACCCTTTAAAAAGGCACTGTCTCTCGCCGAGCCACTGAACGCTCGCTTTGCCCAGCGGCCTCTCTTCCTCGGGAATGTCGGGGTGTGCACTCACCGTTTGAGAAGGGGCTTATCGTTGGTGTCACGCTGCTGGCTAAGACGCACAAGGGCTTGGACCACAGTCTCCTTGTTCCCTGCAGTCCCCTCCCCCTCCACGGGAGCCGCTGCCTGATGCGCAAGGCCGTCCACCTCGTCTATCAGGAGCAACACGGGCTTCTTTCTGCTGCTGCTGCTGCTGGTTCCGCTAGGCCTAAAGTGGCAGTCTCCGCTAGAGGCCACACCCTTGATGAGCGGCAGGAGGGTCGAGGCACTGCGCGCCTCCGAACCATTCACTTCGAACAGCTCAAAGCCGAAATGCCGTGCAGCGACTTCTATCAGGGTCGTCTTTCCCACGCCAGGGGGGCCCCCCAAGAGCAGCACCTGCAGAGCACTTGCAGAGGCACCTGGAGAGGCGCCTTCTTTCCTGCTTCTCTCACGCCTCCGCATCATCGTCATGCAAGCGGATAGATGCATGCGGATGCATGCATGCATGACGTGTCTGGCTGCCAACGCGCTTCCCCCGTGCTTCACTTCGTCGAAGCATGCTGCCAACCTAGCGCTGCGCTCATGCTCTAAACTTGTTTCCTGCAAAGTACCCCCATCCCCTCTCCCTGTCTCCTCTCCCCCTTCAGAGCTGTCTGCCTCTGGGCATGCACCGCTCCACTTCCCAGCAAACCTGATCCTGCGACTTTTTCGCTGCCACCGTAACCGCATGCTTCAGTCCGTGCATGCCTCGCTCGGCTAGAGACTGCCTTTCCCCCTAACCTTCGAGCCTGGAGCGCTGCTGCCCATGGCGCCTTGAGCTCCCGCAGCGTTTTATTTTACATCAAAAAACCTACCTTCTGCTGGGGTTCTTCAGAAAGAAGACCTTGCGGCGTTTCCTTCTCGTTCTGTCTCGACGCTACCTTCCGTCCAGCACCCAGGATGCGCTCACGCCAGGTGAGTAGCCACCGGAAAACAGCGCGATTTTCCGAATCTCCGCTCAGCAAGTCGAGAGGCCTAGTGGGGTCCCCACACAAAGACACACACATGTACACGTATATATATACATATATATATACATATATATATATACATATACATATATACATATATATATACATATATATATATATATACATATATATATATACATATATATACATATACATATATATACACATACATATATATACATATACATATATATACATATACATATATATACATATACATATATATACATATACATATATATACATATACATATATATACATATACATATATATACATATACATATATATACATATACATATATATACATATACATATATATACATATATATATATATATAGACAAGACGCAAGTCCAGCCATGGGCAACTGGGCACATCCCGGTGAGCGGCCTTGTATGTCGGTGGTGTATACACAAAATGGAGCGAGCAGGCACGAATGCGCATGCATGCAATCGCCGGGAAGGGGCTGCTGCCTGCTGCACACAAGCGATGCATGAAGCGATGCATGAAGCGAGCAGGGTCGAGGGGCGCTTAGTGCAGCACCTCGGAAGCTCAGTCACGTCTTTTTTTTCACGAAGCGGTAGCAGTCCATACATAGGGTTCTCCTTGGAAGGGAGAGGCGTCGAAACGCATGTACGTAGGTATACTCATTCATGACGCAAGCAGTCAAACAGAAACGCGAGTTACACGCAAGAAAGCCCAGAGAGGAAGGGCAAGAAGTTCTGCAAGGCTCCTTACGTTTTTGGTCTATAGAGGTCAACCCACTGCCGCGCAGCCTTGCGCTGTTGCTGTTGGTGCTGTTGATGCCGTTTCTGCTGCTGCTGCTCTTGAATCTGCTGTTGCTGCTCTTTTTGCTGCTGCTGCAGCTCACGTTCCTCCCGCCTTGCGGCCTGACTCTCCATGATTTCCCTGAGGGGCACCCGACGCGCAGCAGCACCCGGGTGCTATCAAAAAAGCCACCATCATCTACACAGAGCCGCAGTTGGGGGCGTGTCTGCATCTCTCTCTCAACGCTCCAAGAAGACGAAGCTTACCTCAGGAGCTCCTCCATAGGCCTCCGAGCCTTGTCGCTGGCACTACTCCTTGCTGCAGCAGCAGCAGCAGCCAGCTGCTGCTGCTGCTCCCTCCTAGACAAGAGCTGAATGTACACCGGGGGCCCCACACTGCCGCCCCCAGCCGAGTGTGGAGGCAGCACCCTTACAGCACCACATGCTACTGCACTGGAAGCAGAGGCCTGCTGTTGCTGCTGCTCACCTGCTTCTGCTGCTTTTGCAGCTGCCTTGGCGAGCAGCGCAGCGGGGAACTTGCGCATCACGTTCGAGCCGTACAAGCAACGCCGCATATAGGCTGTGCAAGGACCGCCTTTCCCATTGTTCGTCTGCTGTGGAAGTGCAGCGGCTTTCCTCGCTGCTTCGTCTCCCGTCTCACAAGGTTTTCCTTTGCTGCTGCCGCTGCTGCCTTCGCCTAACAGGGAAAGCGATGGCAGATGACTGATATCGAAGAATTCCTCGGGGGGACGCAGAGCGGCGGCAGCGGCTGCCAGCTCTCTTTCATCGTCAGTAGGATTGATGTCATCTGCCACTGCAGCTTCCTGCTGCTGTTGCTGCTGCTCTTGTTGCTGTTGCTGCCTTCTCCGCTTGCGTATGGAGGCCGATGTAAGAGGACTACTCCCTGCAGCACAGTCGGGAGCACTCAGTGCGTCTACTCGCTTGGCTGAGCTGTGCCTTCTCTTACCGGTGCCCCACTGCACACCGGTCTCACCCTCAAGTAACTCTAAGGCCTGATCCTCGGAGGCTTCCTCCGGCTGCCCCTGGGAGAATCGCTGAGATTGCAGCGCTCGTAGCTGCTCCTCCAGGGAGAGGGGGCCTCCTTGAGACGCGTCCAACAAGCTATCTTGATCCCAGGCTTTCGCAGGGGCCCCCAAGTCGATTGGGCTTGTGTCTTCCTGGGGCCCCCCGCGATTCGGGGCAGGGGAATTCTTCCATGTAGAAGGAGCATCTAGAGAGGCGGAATCTCCTGCGAACTGCTCTGCCTCAGCAAGAAGGTCCTCAAAGGCGGCCTCCTCAAAGGCCTCCATCGCCAGAACCACATAAATACCCCATAAACCTTCCTGAAGGAGGGAGGGGGCAAGGAAGGGGTGGAGGGAAGGCGGGGAACGGGCACCTTTCGCAGAGGCCGATATATTGCTTAAGAGGAACTGAATAACTGCCTTACAAGCCGAAAGAACATAGATACGAGCCAAAAGCCCTGCACTCGAACCCTATACCCTATGCCCGACACTGGAAGGGGTGTGGTGTGTATATACGGCTCCACAGTTAGAGAACGGGTCAAACTATACATCATAGGCTCAGTAGGAGGGCGCATTATCTTATTACGGAATCTTATTAAAGAAGAGATCCAGGCTCAAGCCATAGGGCTGGGCTCGTCTTCGATGGTGGTGACCGTCGGACGGATCGGTGGGGGCTGGTGGTTGTTCTGAGGGATTTTCAGGTGTCTCGCAGTGACGCCTTCGTAAACCTGCTTTTAGTTGCCTCTCATTATACCAAAGCTAATGGTTCAGGGCTCGTAACGATTGGGCTTCAGTGTCTGAGATCAATCATGTACTCTTTCTTTTGCCATTTTCCATGAGCGGTGGTCAAAATACGATATGCTCTCCTCAGTACCTCTCCAGCACCACATAATCACATCTCTGGCTTAGGAGGCTCCTTCTGGAGCTTTTAAAGTAGAAGCCACCGCTCTAATGGCCGTTCCGTTGCGGTGTGCACGGCGGAGGGCCCTCAGTCATCTGAAGCCACTGGCTAATGGGCTGCAAAAGGCATTACTACATGAAATAAGACTGCAGTGCCCTTTACTCGAGATGCACCGTAGATTTCAGCTTCTCTTCTTTGGCCTTAGGGGCAGCCCTGGTGCCTCATCTGACCAACGGTTTCATGAATGGCAGAGCACCAGGACAAGATCTTAGGAATACGGGGCTTGGCACACAGCCACAGGCCACCCTATGAGATTTCAGCATCTCGAGTGATCTCCAGTGTCGGGGGCTATCTTCATTGCTGTGCATAAGAAGCAACTAGAAGGCATTTACTTGCTTCCGTACGACCGTAGTGTCGCATGCTGAGCGTACAAATCACTAGTCGCCCTGCTGCCTACTTCAGGAGGCCTTAGACCTATAACGCTTCACAGCATTAATCCGATCACACAGCTACAACTGTTCCCCAGATTCCTCTCATTCCCTCCACCCGATCAGCGCTTTAAGGCTGATTTTCGATCCTGAGTGTTAATCTCCATCTAGGGATCTCTGGAGGGATACACTTGATAACGCCAAACTCAAAACAGGCTTGATGGCGATTTGTTGTGTGTCTCTCAAGTCGAAAAAAGCTCGCTTCCTCGCATGCCTGTGCCTCGCAGGATTTCCTGTGCGAGGAGACAGCGGCACAAAGGGTGCGCGTAGTTACACCCTCTGAGCACTCAGAGGTCGTCGCATGCAGCGCATAGCCAGCACAGATAACACTGCGTCTTAACGTATCCAGCTAGCAGTACTCTTAAATTAACGAGATGTACCAGCATTCAATCCAACAAGTAAAGTGTTTGCTGATTCTCGTTGCTTAGTTGTATAGTTGGAAGTGCCTAACGTGGCGTATTGGGTTACACTGAGTGTTTGTTGAGGCTTCACGGTCCAGGATGGAGTGCAGAGTGCCTCTCAAAGGAATGTTCGGTGCTACACTGGCCTCCCTATAAAGCGCCGTAGCCAGAACTGCCTTGTAGGAATCGCCGACAAGGAGTCCTGCGGGAAGCGTTGAGCCCTAGCTTTGCCATCCTGCGGCGAGCTGCACGAAGGTGTAGCTGTGGAACTGTCACTGAACGGGGGCGGCAGAGTAAACCTGGTGCTGGTCAAAAGTATGCATATGACATGTTTTACAAAATTTTCCTAATTCGGACAACTAGGCTAGCATAGTGGCACTGCCGCCCAGCACTAACTCCTGCAAGGGCACACTGGTGCAGGCCAGAGGGGCAAATGCAGAGAACTCAAGGGGTCCTCTTGTAAGGACGCACTAAGAGGGGGAGGCAAGGCAAATCAGACACACACCTGGACGATGCGCGTTTAAGGGAAAAGACAATCTTCGACAAAATGATGCAAGCGACGCTGCATGCGAAATGCAGCGTCTCTTGCCCCAGAGGTACAAATGGGGTACACAGCAAAAAATCGACGTAAGGTCGCCTGCTTCCCTTCTCGAAAGAAACTGTAGTACGTGCCGGTACTTCCTCTGTTGCAACTACCGAGAAAACTCGACTACAGAATTCCTCCAGGCGGGCCTTCCAGGCAGCGCCTGAAAGGCTCCTACATATACGTACAAAAACTTCGAAGGGACTTCAACCTAAGAGGCTTTCCCGCCCTCTCCTCGTGTGAACTGCTCAGAGTAGCTGCTCAAGAAAAAAGGTCCTCCGGAAGCTGCGCAACAACAGGATAGAGGCCCCCGGATACGAAGTATGCCTCTGGATGGGAGGGGCCACCCAAAGAAGGGTGGTCTTCTTGTAGGTAACCTGGCAGGTTCTCCTGCTTTGCCAACCCAGAAGTGTCGCCTGTTGTTGGTGCTGCTGGCCCTGCGTCCTTGGAGGAGGACTCCCGACTAAGCTCGAGCGGAGTATGCGGCAGCATGGCTCGGGGAAGCGAGAAGCCCGACGAGAAAGCAGCAGATGAAATTTCGGAGACAGCCGGCGAGGGTGGCAATGGCAGGCTTCCTGATCCTCCACCGGACGCCTGAAGGAGTGAAAAAGGGAGGACCTCTCTTCTTCTGTGTTCCTCCTGATCCTCTATACCAGGAGCTCCCAAAGGCGGTCTGTTACTCCCCCTGAGGCTGCGCTGAGGCAGACGGGGAGCCCTTTCTACAGACAGATAGTGGGGGCTTCCGTAAACAGCTGGCAGCGCCGGAGACGGCGCATGCGCAGAATAGCCCGCGTACGGCTGTCTCTCCGAAAGCGCTCTGCAGAACTGCTGCTGCTGATCAGGGGAAAGGTCTGCAGCAGCCGTCCTCTGTCTCAGGCCCCCGCCGTCTCTGTGCCCCCGCCTCTGCTGCTGAATGTGCAGCAGCTGCCGCTGCTGCTCCTCGGTGGATTGCAGGGTGGCAATTTCGAGACTCCCTACGAGATCAGCTGGCGGAGGTGGAGGGGGGGGAGGGAGGAGTCTAGGGACGAGGTGCGCAACTTGTTGGGCTGGGGGGCCCCGCAGGCGGGTCACATGGAAGGCTGCAGTTTGGTAGAGAAGAACAAAGAGTCGCTGCAGAGACACTGCACTCCACGGCAGCACGAGGAGATCCAATGCGGCTAAGGAGGCTGCAGGATCCAGCGGCGCGGAACGCAGCAGCCAGCGGAAGCCCTATAAACAAGCAGATACAAAGGCAGACAAACAGACACATTCACAAAGCATGAACCTGAAAGTGCACTGACATCCAGAGCGACAGCAAGCACGGCCAGCAAAAGACACGCCAGCAGAGAAGACACCGGTGTCCTTCCCCCCCCCTCCCCCCACAGCCCGCAAAAAGGCCCCCCAAAGCGATGAGATGCAGACAAATGACTGCCAATCGGCAGCACAAGACATCGGAAACTGAAGGCGCAAGCTCAAGAGGAAAGGAAAAACAAGCCCTCTCCCTCCCTCCCTAGGTGTACGGACAGGGAGAGGGCGGAGCCATCATTGGTTGGGGCAACAGGGAGGCGAAAAAACACTGCGAGACAGCGGCACACTCAGCATGCAGGCCTCACGGCATTCCACAGCTTCCGTAGTCTTGAAATGGGACGGCCTACAATGTCTACTGAAAGGAGCATCTGCAGCCACTGCTGCTGCAGCTGCTGCTGGAAGTGCTGCAGCAGCATTAGCCCAACGACGCGCAGCGGCATCTGCCGCTCCTGAATGCTGAAGGATGGGAATGAAAAGGCCGCTCCCTCAAGAGAAAGAACTCTAAAGAGGCGACTAACAGACAAATGCGCTGATGCTTCCTGCACCCATAGCAGCTCCACATACACCTGCATGCTCTCCTGGAAGCCGCCACCACCCTCGTCGGAGGTGCTCCAAGGGACGCTTAAGCGCAGCAAACGCGCCAGCACCTGCCCTGCTGCCGCTTCTGTTGCCTCTCTGACTCCTCCATCAGCGCTAAATGTTGCGTGTTGTTGTGCTGCCGCTGCTGCCGCCAGAGAAGGCGGACAGGCGAGCGGCGTGCAGCATGCCAGAGAGAAGGAGGAGATGACGGGGGGCAGCAAAAGAGACAAAAAGGAAAAGTCTATGGAGGCCACCAGGGGGCTCACTGAGAGAACCGCCTGGCGCACGCGGTAAACACGAGACCCCAACGCATGCCACTGTTTCCGTTCTTCGCAAAAGGCCGTACTGATCGCCCTTTTTCTGCTTCTAGTACATATGCTGCCCGTCTCACAGCAGCAGCTGCAGCTGCAGCTGCTGCTGCAGGACGCGCCGCGTTTCCTGAGGCTGCTGAGCCACTGCCGCCTTTCAGATGCCGCAAGATCAATGAGTACGTACACTGCAGCGGGAGGAAAGTCAATGGGGTCGTCTTGAGAAATGCTCGAAGACGCTCCAGCATAACGGAGGGACAGCGGCGTGTCATCTGCCGCACTGGCAGCAGGCGTCCTTCCCGCAACCCCGACAGCCGCCGCTGCAGACGACTTGAAGACGTGATAGGCCTTGCCGCCAGCCGCGTCATATGCAAACAGATCTATTCTGTCTAGGGTAAAGAGCAGTCTGTGGGAAGGAGCAGCGCGAGGCCTAAGTGGCCCTCGCAGTACCGCCAACCCCCCAAAAAGAGCACCTAAAGGGCCCCCCAGGCTACTGCCGTCCACTGCTGCTGCGCTGGTGTTAGCAAGGAGAGCAGCAGTGCCAGAAGCAGCAGCTGCCCCCTGTCGATGACTCATAAGTGTCCCGCCTTCTGCAACACCGCGCAAGAAAAAATGGTGCACACGCCCTCCAGGCGTCCCCCGAAACACCACTACCCCTTCCCTCGTCTCACACTGTCCGTTCCTCCTTTAACCATTCCAGTACCATGTGCGCATGCATCTGTCTGCCCCTGCTGCAAATGCTGCTGCCCCCCACCCTGTAGGCCCCCTACGTTCCCGCAAACACGCCATCGCCACCCTGTCACAGCGCCTCTAGCAGGGCCCCTTCCAGTGTGCTCTTACTCCACTCCACGTCTCTCTGCTCTCTAATGCGCGTCACTCTAGCGGCTACCCGATGTTGTTCGTTCGCGCTGTGCACTTGCGCCTATCAGGCTGACAAACTAGGCCCCTGTCTGCCTCTGTGTCGCTCTGCCTTGCTGCCTACTTCCCCGAACGTTTGGTTGGCTCTTTCCCCGCGCTCCCAGGGGCCTTACCGATGCTGTTCTCAACGAAGTAGACATTGCAGGTGGCTCCTGTAAGGAACAGACGCAGCGGCTGTTGCTGCTGCTGCAAATCTTCGACGGCTGTGCTGCTGCTTCGTCGCCGGCTATTGCGTAGGGAGTCCCTGCGCGTCGCCGCTGCTGTTGCTGCTGCCAGTGCTGCAGCTTCTGCCACACTTCTGCTGTTGCTGCCCGAGCTGCTCGAGGCGGGAACCACAGAAAACACTATGCGGTGGATGTACACAGAAAAGGAAGCCCCCACAAGCCCCCTTCTGGGGGTGCCCTGAGTCCCTGTATGCCGAGAAGAGGAATTCCATACGGTCGAAAGGCAACAGCGTCCTCGCTTATCCCATCCTTTAACGAAATCCTCATCAGCGTCTCCTATAAAATCCTCTGCTGCTGAGATCTCCTCGGAACGCCGCCCCTCCGCAGCAGCAGTTGAAGCTCCCTCAACAACAGCAGAGCCTGCTGCTGCTGCAGCCGCTGCTTCTGCTGCTGCTGCTCGACTAGGGCGTACACTGGGCGGACGAAGCTGCTGCAGCTCCCCCCTGAAGTGGAGAGACACTGTCGGGCCGTACATGCGAATCGAAAGGCTGCACGAGTAGCGGCACAGACGAAGCCAGCGCGTTCGGTGCAGCAAGGAGGCTGCCCCTGCAGTTCCTACGGTCTGAACTAACGACCAGACTGAGCTGCCGCCATACGCGGTGTAAAAGCGCGCATCTGTAGCAGCATCAACATCGGAAGCAGGAGCTCCCAATGATGCTGCTGCCTGGACAGATTCCCCGTGACGACAGTCAGAAAGGGTGCTGCTCTCCTCTAAAGCCGCAGTTGTGGCAGAAGCAGCAGTTCGTTGCACCACCACACTGGCTGTCAAATCGTGTGAACAAGGAGCCTTCCTTGCAGACACACCACGCACAGGCCACCCCGTGCTGCCTGTAATCTCTGCAACCTGCTGCAGCTCTTTCTCTTGGTCCTGCTGCAGCTCTTTCTCTTGGTCCTGCTGCTGCTCCTCCGTCTGCTGCTGCTGTTGCTCTCTTTCGTGATGCTGGTGCTGCTCTTCTTCCTGTCCATGTTGCTGCTGCTCTGTTCCTTGCTGCTGCTGGTGCTGGTGCTGCTCTTCTTCCTCTTCATGCTGCGGCTGTTGCTCTTCTTCCTCTTCGTACTGCTGCGGCTCCTGTTCTTGGTTCTCTTGCTGATGTCGTTGCTCTGTATCTTGCTGCTGCTGCTGCTTTTGCTGCTTTTGCATTTTTGCCGGCGGCAGAATCGCCACAAGGAAAAAGAAGGAGATGTCTCCTGCTGTTGTCAACGAGACATCCAGCAGCTGCAAAGGCTCAATGTCAGCCTCCTGCAGGTGCCCTTGTTGCTGCTGTTGCTCCTGTTGCTGTTGAAGCCAGCGGCGTGCAGCGACGCGGAGAATACGCTCCCCCCACGGCGCGTCCAGCGCGATGGGCTGCTGCGAGCATGGAGGCACTTGAGTGAAAAGGCAATACCCTTTTTGCTTGAAGAAGAGAGAAACTCGAAGTTCGTTTCTCACTACCAGTCGAGGAGCCTCAGCGAGTGCAGCAGGGATGCCCTTCTGTCCTTGCACGCTGCAGCGGCAGCAGCAGCTCCCACCGAACGCGCTGCTGCCATATAGGCAGCTTGTCAGAGCAAACGGAGCAGAAAAAACAAGGAAACGGACGCCTTGAACCTCCATGGCTCGCAGTTGCAGAATATCTACCCGAGAGTTGCGTGCCACGTTCCCGCCCCCCTTGCTGCCACGGGTGCTTCGAGCGTCGGAGCAGTGAAGCGCAATTTGTTCGTTTAGGCACTTGAGAGGGTTGAAGGGGACTGTCCACTCGCACTGCAGGCCTGCCAGACGCAGCCCGCAATAGCAGCAGCTGCTTCTGCTGTTGTCGTTGCCACGGCTGCCGCTGCCGCTGCTGCTGCTATTGCCAAACGCTTTAGGAGGAGCAAAGAGAGGGTGAACGCTGCACGGGACTGCTGCGCGCAGGCTCCAAGGCAACGATGAGCAGCGCGCCGCCTCGCAGAAGTTCAGATGATGTCCCCCAAGCGAGAAGAAGCGGCGTAGCTGCAGATGCTGCGTCCCCACTGCTCGGCTCACCTCCACCGTTTCTGTTGGATAGAGAGACAGTGCTGCGCTGTCAGGGCTCCCGATGTACTTCAGCTGCAGCGGGAAGGGGCACGCGTTCAGCACCACCTGAGCAGGTATAAGCAGGCAAGCAGAGGCGGGGAGAAAACAGAAAGATGTGCAGCAGCTGCAGCTCCCAGCGGCAAAATCAGAAGCGGATTCTCAAGTGTCACCGCGAAGAGGCCTGAACAGTAGTAGGGGGGCATGTGCGGGGGGTGGGGGGGTGGTGGGCGTAATAAGCGGCGGCAGCGGCTACGGCACAAAATGAGAAGACGCTTACGAGTTTAGGCCTTAGCACCACCAGCGTGGCCCCCCCAAAGCTCTGTGGGAGGCGTACAGACTGCACAATAAGGTGTAGCCCTTGTGAAACTTGCACCACATCAGGAGCAGGTGCCCCTGTAGCTCCTCCTGCCGCTGCTGCTGCAGCGAAGGGAGCAGCAGCGGCAGCAACAAACGGCGCAGCAGCAGCAGCAGCAGCAGTGCCTGAGGTTCGCAAGAGCACTTCGGGTGAAAAGCGGCGAGATCCCTTCAGCCGGAGTGCAAATGCCGTGTGTGGTGTGCATGTCAGCGCTGGGGAGGCCCCCCACACACCGCGGGGTGTGAAGGGCCCCCATGGCTTTTTTGAGATGTCGCCTGCATGCAGCCCTCCTGCGCGTCTCTTCCTGCTCCCACCACTGCTGCTGTTGCAAGGAGGCAAGTGTACGGGCAGCACGTGCAGCGTGTCACCTGCGGACGGAGGGGGTAGCCTCGGCTGATACTCGAGAGCGTGACTTGTAAGATTTAGCAGCCAAAAGGGGCAACAGCAAGAAATGCTGAGACAAGTTCCATCGAATGAGGCATCCAGTTGGATTTCCTGCTGTTTCTGCTGCTGCTGCCTCTGCTGCTCCTGCTCCTGCTGCTCCTTGTCTTCCTTGTCTTCCTTCTTCTGTTGCGGCTGCATGCAGGTGACAACGAAGGAAGCAGACCACACCGCTTGCGTGGCCACGTCCTCGCCCCTTCCAGCACCAGCAACGTTCCCCTCATCCTCCCTCTCCGTTTCTCGCGAGGCACGTTCCCACTCCCATGACGTTGGCAGTGCGGCTCCAAGCGTGCTGCTGCTGCTGCATGCAACAGCAGCAGCAGCTGCTGCTGCACGCTGCTGCTGCTGCAGCCCGAGCGAGGTGCCTGCAATGCCTCGTGTTGCACCCGCAGCAGCAGCAGCAGCAGCGGGCCGTTGGAGTTCCTCTTCACTCTTGCTGCCGCGTCTCGTCTCGCTGCTGGTAGGAATCTCGACGTCCTGAGCCCTCTGCTCAGCCTCTCTAGAAAGAAGCCCTCCGCTGCCTTTCTCCACGGCGGCAGCAGCAGCAGCGTGAAGGCCGTCTTGCGGAGGAGGGAGCACAGTCACGGGAGCTGACCACGTATCTGATCCCGGCAAGCAAAGACGCAAGGTCAGGGGACGATTCCAGTCAAACAAGGTGAGGCCCTGAGACGTGCCTGGGCTCAGAGTTAGCCTCGCGCTTCGCCGCGGCAGCTCTTGAGCGACGTCTACGTGCAGCGTCCTAAGGAGGACAGTAGTCACACACAGGGAGAAGAGAGAAGTGCACACGTGGCGAGAAGATGAAAACGGCAAAGAATACACAGAAGGAAGCAGGCGCCTAGACATATGTATGTGTATGAATATGGATACGTATATGTGTATGTGTATATGTAGGTGTATCTGTATATATATGTGTATGTATATGTACATGTGTATGTATATGTACATGTGTATGTATAGGTGTATGTATGTGTGTATTTATATGTTTATGTATATGTATGTATATGTGTACGTATATGTATATGTGTATGTATGTGAACATGTATATGTATATGCGTATGTGTATGTATATGCACATATGTATGTATATATGTACGTATATGTGTATGTGTATGTATATGAACATATATATGTATATGCACATGTATATGTATATGTATATGCACATGTATATGTATATGTATATGCACATGTATATGTATATGCACATGTATATGTATATGTATATGCACATGTATATGTATATGCACATGTATATGTGTAGATATGTATATGAATAAATATATACAGATATATATATATATATATATTGTATATATGTCTACACGTACACATACATACATAGATATACATATAGATACATCAATGCTTAACATAGAGAGAGGCACGGCGCACACGCTTCGCCCCGTCTGATGCGAAAAGGGACAGCCTGTCTGTGGAAGTGGACGGATGTGCCGGGAAGACGCATGCACGAGGGTTGCGAGAGATCGAATGGCCAGAGCACAGGCTGATGCGTTGTAGGCGGTGAGCTTTTTCTGGATGCCACGTCTGCTGCCAAAATACGAGATGCGAGACGCTCTACTACACCGGGTAGGTGACATACATGGGAAGAGCATTGGCCAGAGTCAATGGCTCTGAAAGCGTGAGAAGCAAACCAGCGCCTCCAAGGGCAGCTTCCGCCTTGAGCGAGCACACAAAGGTTCTTTGGGGGGAAACAGTGGCAGACAGAAGAAATGTACGGCCTGGAGCTCTAAAAGGAGAAGATGCTGTCCAAACAGGTCCAGCCTCGCTGCGCAGCTTGACAATAACCGACACGGAGGCTGCACCAGGCCATAGAGGCACCGCCTGAGACTCCCCTGGACGCAGCTCGCAACGCCAGTCCTGAAAAAAACGAAGCGCGTAAAGAAGCGCACAAACATATATATGTATAGATGTACGTACATATACATATATGTATACGTGTATACATATATATAGAGACATATACACATACATATAAATATGTACACACATACATATGTATATACATACATTTATATATACACGTACATACACACGTACACACACACATACATACACATATACACATACATACACATATACACGCGTATGTACACGCACATACACACACACATACATCTATATACACATACATACACATATACACACATACATATATATACACATATACACGTATACACACAAATACACGCAAATACATACATCTATATACAGATATACACATATACATACATGTATATACACGCACATATATATAAACGTATACACATACACATATACACACACACATACATATGTACACACATATACATACATATATGCACATATACACACGTATGCACACATACATACACATATAGACACACATATAGACACACATATGTACACATATACACACGTATACATACACATACATACATATACATACACATATACACAGGAGGAGCATTGAAAATTGAGAGACCTAGGATGCCACCAGACCCACGTGCATGCGCTCAGTCACACCGAGGCGTGCATGCGAGGCACTAAGCCAAGCAATCCTAGCAGCACTTTTCAAGCTTGTGCGTGCTGTCTGCCATGCACGAAGACGGCGTGAAAGAAGAAGCCACAAGGAGAGACTGAGAGGTGAGCGGCGAGACGCGTTATGAGAGAGAGCAGCAGGCAATGCAAGGGCCTCTGTGTCCATGCATGCATTTGTGTTGCCCTTGGAAGCTTCCCACGCTGCCGTGAGGAGTAGCCTTACAGCTGTAGAATCCGTCTCTGCAAGGAAGATAAGTTCTACAGGCAATTTAAGGAGACTCCGCACGCGGAGGGGGCACCCCACGTCCACTATGCGCTGGCCTCCTTCCTGCAAGGCCAGAACCGTCAGATCGCCGAACTCTTTTGCTCTTAAACCCTCGGAAAGGGGACCCCCAAGCGACAAAGATCCTGAAGGGGCGGCTGCCAGTGAGGGGCCCCCATCATACTCCGTGCTCTCTCTCGAAATGCCACCTAAACTGTGAGCGCATGCGCTTGCGCTTGCGTGCCTAGAGGCGCATGCACCAACAACGCCGCCTCCCCGCAGCGGCTGCTGCTGCTGCTGAGCGGGTGGGCATAAATCTACAAAAAGAGGTGCTCCCTGGTTAAGAGCAGGAAGATACACGACTCTCCCAACAGGGTGGACAGCATCGAGCACTGCAAGGTGGATTGAGAGCTGCTGCTGATGCTGTTTCAGCAACGCCTCACAACCCGGAGGCAGTATCCCAGTCTGCCACTTGCGGCTTCCCCCTCCCCGACTGCCAACGACTCGGAAGGCTAAGGAGTGACAGCTGCTGTTTCGCAGCCATAGGCAGTCCTACGCACACCCGCAATCAGCGCACACATGAGGGCGGAGACAATCATCCACTCAGGCAAAATATTCACGCTCAACGCACTCCAGCAACCACTTAGGCAAAACATTGTTCAAAAAGATAATAAGAAAAACACATAAGTTAGCAATAGACAAAAGCAGCGTTAAAAATTACTCGAAAGGTATGCTAAGAATACACGAAACGCGCAACCTATATGAAAAGCAAACTTGTCCGTCTTTGACCACTCAAGACGAATCCAAGAGCCAAGAGCATCAGAAAACGGCAGTTCCACAACGGTAGTCGTGGCGAGTGTGCTGAAGAGCCTGTGAGTCCCCGCCGGCTGCCGTCTCAGGCACCTCCCACTATGCCCGCCACGCGAAAATGTCGGTGAATTCTCCCTCTGTGCTGCACATACAGGACGTGCAACGCACCTGTCTATACACCGGAAGCGAATAGCTGGGCAGCTGCCGGCGGTCGTACAGCACTCCATAGCTTGTTTGGCTCAGGCCGTTTGTTTCGTCTTGCGCTGCCTCTGTTTCCGAAAGTGAGGAAACTGAAGCACCGCAGCAGCCTGCAGCATCAGCATCAGCTGCGCCTGTTGCATCCCCCGCGAAGCTGCCCAGTGAGGCCTCCTGCTCGCTGTCCGAGGTGTCGGTACGCTGCTCTTCCGTCAAGGGCTGTTGATGCCGCCATAGCACCTGCTGCTGTGGCTGCCGTAGTTCTGCTGCTGCGGTGCCTGCAGGAGCGAAGGCTCCTCTGTAAGCACCGCTCCAGCTGGACATGTGATAGGGAATGCCAAATGCACGGTGTTGCGTTGCATGGGCAGGCAGATGCGGGGTGTATGGAGACATCGCAAAGACGAGGCGCAGCGCTTCTGCAGAAAGATGGGGGTGGATGTACAGGGCCTCGCAGCTGCTGGTGCTCGCAGACAGATCCGCAAACTGGGTAGCGAGTCTCTTGAAAGCGGGAAAGTGCTTTGGATTCGCTTTCAAGTCGACATCGCCATCGATGCGGACGCTCACAGAGGGTGCCGGCTCCTTGCAAGGCTGCAGCGCTGCAGCTACAGAGACGGGGAGAAGCAAGGGCAGCAACACAGTCTGCTGCTGCTGATGATGATGCCACTGCTGCTGCTGCCAAGGCCGAGCTGGTTGCTGTTGCTGGTGGTGCAACACGCAACTGCCCACAAGCGAAGCCCCGCGCATCTCTGCCACCTGTATGGACACCTGCGACAAAAAGCAGCACAAAAAGACGCAAATGATGCAACCGCAGCCTTCAGTGCAGCAGTTCATCATACGCATGGATTGCGCGATCCCTCCGGAGACAAAAAGCGGAGCGCCTCCGTCTTCGCATGGCTCTACAGAAGGGGGCAAAAAAAGCACCCTTCTTGGAGAGGCCTCATGCGAGGTGTTGTCCCTAACAGAGGGATGCGGGGAGACTCCTAAGGACGACAAGGGGCTTCACAGCGGAGCTGCCTCTGCAGGAGAGCGCTATATATATGCCCTTGACAGCGCAAAGCTTCTATTAGCCGCTGTGAAGGGCATATATATAGCCTTCCACGAGTGCAAGCAAGCCACTGTGATGGAAGCCGCCTTCAGAGCAACCAGCGGCATTTTTACAGCCACAGGTGACAAGCGTCGCATCATGACGAGTCTTCCGGCAACAGCAGACATCTCTCCCCACCATATCGGCAGAGGCCAAGAGGCGACCTCGAAAAAGCGGCACCAAACACGCCGGCAGCAAGGCACCTACCCTTTTTAGCTGTAGCGACACGACGGTGTCTTGAGGCTCTGCGGAGGATCTGACAGCCTGCCCCGAAGCCTCCGTGCAGCTTAATCTGATGAGCGCATCCAGAGCTGGAGAGGCCGCTGCTGTCAGCTGCAGCGCATCGCCCTCTAAAGAGACCTTCCACGTAATGCATGCCTCAGGAGCAGCAAGCTGGAGAGCATCATCATCACCTTCCCCACCTTCCTCGGGAGGGCCATAGCTCCATGGTGAACCTGAGCGTAGACTCTCTGAAGCAGCACATGCCCCCGTTTCGGCTGACAGTGCTCCTCCTGCTGCTCCTGCTGCAGCTGATCCCGCTGCCCCTAGGACTTCAAAAGAAGCTTTCTTTGAAGGCATCTGCACCGCCGTTCTTCGCTTGCACCTACAGCAGAGCCGAGATGCCGCTGCTTCACGGCTAATTGCCGAGGCAGCAAGATAGCTGCGGGCTACAGCGCGGAGTGTGAAGACGTCTGCGGCTGTCAGCAAGAGCAAAACGGGGGAGAGAAAGGCCTCGAGGCGGCATTCACAGTGCTTCTGCTGCTGCTGCTCCTGCAGCGTCTGATGCTGCGGCAGCATCTGCTGCTCCTGCCCTGCAAGGCCCCCCTTCCGCCTCGACGTCAAGATGAAGGAGAAGGTAATGGGTGACTCAACAACAGGATGTACAGATAAGTCGGCGAGTGACACCAACACGCACACCTGGACCTGTCCCCCCCTCTGCCGTTCCTCCTCCTGTTGCTGCTGCAGCATCCACGGATAGCCAGTTTCTGTTACTTCTTCTCCTCCTCCTTCTCTTGTGTAGGACGCCCCTGAAGGGGCGATGCACGTGGGCCTCAAACAGTCGGGGTGCTCCTTTGAATCGCCAACAAAAGGCCCCTTCTCAACAAATCTTGCTCCGTGAAGCTCCGGCACTTGTTCTTGCGCATGTTCTTGCACTTGTTCTTGCGCTTGCGCAAGGCGTACTAAACAATATCTCTGGCTCGGGAAGCTTTGAGCTAGCCGCGAGAGCCGCAGCGCAGTGAAGGCGGGGAGACACACCAGGTAGGCATTCCTCCTTCCGTGCTTATGAGCTCCCGTCTCCAAGTCGCTTCTCGCTGCTGGTGTACCTGCCGCTACGAGGGCAAGAGGACTCGGGGGAATAGCCAATGCGCCTCCTAAAGCGACGCACTTGCGAACCTCCGCGTCTAAGCGCAGCGCAGGTAAGAGCCTGCCTAGCCACAGCTCCAGCTTCCGTAAAGCCGTCCTCTGGCTTCCACTGCTCTTGATGCTGCTCTCCGAGAAGGCCTCTCCATGATCATCGCTGCTCACTGAAGAGGCATCCGAACTATCTCTGTCGCTGCTGCTCAAGCCTGCTGCAGCCGTGCGGCCCCCTCCCGCATCCCTGACACCCCCGTTTCCTGAAAACGCGGTAAAGCCACTGTACGATAGCCTCCTTTTACCCGCTGCTGCTGCTGCTATTCCCTGTCCTGCTGCTGCAGGGGCAGCAGCAGCAGCAGGGGAGAGGAGGATATCATCGGCAACAAGACGCGCATCGACCTCGCAGGAAAGCGCAGCCGCACTGCATTGCAGCGTGTGGGGACACACCCACGCAGGGGCAAGAGGCGCTGGCTGGGGCTTCCTGCCGAGGCCTTCCCGTTTGAGGAGGAGATCGGCTTTTAAGGACGTGCCATTAGCAGCAGCAACAGCTCCGCCTGGTGCTGCTGTTGCTGCTGCTGGCGAGGCCAGCGGGTGGTTCCCCGAGAAGGTACTCGTGGTAAGAACTCTGTTGTAAGCGTGTGTGTAGCCACAACCACAGGCAGGAGCGCGTCGAATACCACCGCACTGTACACCTGACGAACCCCCAAAACACTCAGCAGGCAGAGGGCCTACACACCACACGGAGGCGACATGAATCTTGATGTGCCCCCCTAGCGCAAGCAGCTGCAAGGTTCTCTGCTCCGGGGGACAGCCCTCCGTTCCAAGCGCTCCAGTAGGGCTCATTGTAGAGAGCCACAAGCTGCAGGATGGGTGTTGTTGTTGTTGGTGCTGTTGTTGCTGTTGGCGCTGTTGTTGCTGCCTTGTTGCATGCAACGCTCCTGCTGCACTGGAGAGCGATGGAGCTCCGCCAAGAGTATCGTCCTCCTCGTCAAGAAGGCGTTCCTGTCCAGTGATTTCTTCGTGCTGTGAGGACTGCCGCTTGGCCTCCAACGGCTCAGCAGCTTGCCGCTGCGCCTCTCCTATCAAGTCCACGGGTATCTCGGAAATCCCCCCCTCGCCCCCCCAAAGGAAACTCCCTTCATCTCGACCGCTGCTGCTGAACTCCTCCAGCGAGGCCCCCTGGCTGTACTGCGCAATCGCACCGTTTGCAGCAGCATTTGCAGCGCCTCCGTCTACACCGGTGCCAGCCTCGGACAGCTCTAGGGGGCCCTCGGCAAAAGACGTACCAAGCGACAAAATCGACGCGGATGCGCAAGAGGAGAGCGAGCCTGGGGGAGTCTCTATCAGGCAGCTACTGGCTGCAGCCACGGAGGCCTCCACCTCCCGAAACGCAGCCGCAAAGTCGGCAAGAAGACGCTTCAGCTTCGCCGCTGCTCCTGCTGGAAGCAGCAGCACATGCACTTCGGGTATCACCACCAGACACTGCAGAGACTGACGCACGGGGGGCTGCTGCTGCTGCTGCTGCTGCTGCTGCTGCCGTGGAAGACAGTCCGCAGATCCTCCGCTTCCCACAGCCGCTGCTGTTGCAGACTCCGAGGCCGTCCCCGACGGCGGCAATGGTGGCTGCTGCTGTTGCAGCAGCTCAAACTGCCATGCATTATGCAGCGCGCTTCTCTCTTTCACCTCGTCGAGCCCCTCTCCCGTAACTCTTTCTTCAGCAACAGACGCAGGGTCCAGCCGTCGCTGCTGCTGCGGCTGCTGCTCGCGCTGCTGCGCTTTCTTCCTCTTCTCCTTTTTGGAGAGGTACCCCGTAATAACGCCTCCACTCTCGGAAGCAGCAGCAGCAGCAGACAGAGCAGCCCGCTGGCTGGAAGGGCCTGCAGCTGCTGCTTGCACGGAGGGCTGACGCCTCTGGAGTCCAGCGCCGCCGTTCTGCCGATCCGGATGGCAAACGGGCAGAAACGCGTCTCCGAACGGTCTCCCAGGGGCACCTACGGAGGGCAAAGGGAAGAAGAAGGCTTTTTTCCAAGAACCTCCAAAGCCCAAAGCGTTTCGGGGAAGAAACCGCGGCATCTCGGAGACTTTAGGAGGCCCTGAGGCTCCACAGAGGATCTGATAAATCGTCAACTCGCCGTTGCTGCATGCATCTGCCGCCGTCTTCGCTTGCCTCCGAGGCCATTGATTGGGCTGCTCCAAAGGAGCATGAGCCGCCGCTGCTGCCGCTGCTAAGACGCGCAGATCCTCTACAGACGACCGCATGGCAAGAAGCTGCCCCTCCCGCGTCAGTTTCACGCTGCAGGAGGCCGCAGCGGCTGCTACGATTACCCAGCCGCCACCTTCTTCTCCCGCCTCCGTGGTGCAGCTGCTGCTGCTGCTGCCGCAGCAGCAGGAACAGCAGCAGCGACAGTTCTGCAGGCTGCTGCTGCCCCTGCTGACGGTATCCCCTGGAGCAGCAAGCAGCACCAGGCGGTATATCTGGACTTGAAAGGCACCGAGATGCGCTGAGCGTAAAAGACGGCGAATCGACGTAAGGACGCGACGGGGGCCTCGTGTCGCAAGGGCAGCACCAGCGTCTCTTGCCATGCGCGCACTTCCGTGAAGAGACTTGGAGGCTTCCATGAGGGCTAAGCAGAAGCCGCAGCTCCAGGCACCGAGGAGAGACACACGCGCGGCATCTACGGAAAGACGCAGACCCGACAGCTCCGTCTCGGCATCTCCGCATTGCTCACAAGGATCCGGTGAGCGCAGCTGCTGCTGCTGCTGGTGGTGTTGTTGCTGCTGGTGGGGTGTGAACTCGAGTCGTACCGAGGCCTGAGACTCTGCATTCTGATGCGTCAGAGGCACATAGAGCCGCGCAATGCCTCCAGCCGCTAGAGGCGGCGGAGATCCAACAAAGAAAGAGCCTTTATCCGACACTGGCAGACTGCCAATGTGCAGCTCGAAGCCCTCGGCTACTACCGTTACCCAGCCGTGACTTGCTGAGCCCCTCTGTTGTTGTTGTTGCTGCTGTTGTATCTGTGGCTGTGGCTGTTGCTGCTGCACTGCAGCATCTAGTTGAATAGATACGCAAGGTAGATGCAGAGACAAGCAGAGGACTCCATCTGCAGACGCTGCAATTGTGGTATTCGTCGCACGGACCTCCCGCAATACCAGGGGAATTTCCAGGATAGACTCTAAAAATCCTAAGGGCCTGCTGGAGCGCGATGCAGCAGCATCAGCATTGCCAGCATCCCCTGCCGCTGCGAAAGCACCTGCATGCCATCCGGGGGATGCCGAGGCAGCTGCGCTACGCAAGGCCCCTCGGTGTCCTCCCGCAACAGCCGCAGAAAAAGCGACGGACGAGTCTCCTCCTCCTCCCCCTCTTGCCAAAGCTGCTGCAGCTTTGGTAGCAGCCTTAGTCGAGACAGCGCCGCCCCGTGTGTGCAGAACGTGGGGAGCAGCAGCTGCGTTGGCAGCTGCAGCTCCTGCAGCAGCAGCAGCTGCTGCTGCCTTGCAGCTTCTGCTGCCAAGACGCTTTCCAAACTCCACACTGCCACGCCGTCGAGAGGCCTGCGTCGGCGAGAGGCAACAGCGCCGGATCTCCGCCAAATCCCCTGCTGCCTTGAAGAACCAAGCAGCTGCGCGCACAGCAGTGGAACATGCCAATTGTCTGCATGAAGACAAGATAACCTCACGAAAGGCAGCTCCACAGAGTCCCCTTCTAACGTTGCCTTAACCCGCAAGGCCTTGCCGTCTGAAGACCGCATCTGCCTTGCATGCATGTGTTGAAGCACCGCAGGCTTGCTTGCGCTCTACACAGGGGGGAGGGGCGTTGTCGTATATATATATACATATACGGCTCTATTGCGAGGATTTTCTTTCAGGAAAGTCCTCCGTATGCCTACCTGCGTGGGCAATGAATGCAGCACACAAGTGCCCGCGAAGCGATCCCACAGACAGTGCCAGCTCCACCGGCTCTGGGGAAAGATCCACGCCATAAGCGCAAAACGCTCCCCCGCTGTCACAGAGCTGCTCGTCAGCAGAGGAGGGCGTTGCGAGTAAGCCCTTCTCGGGGAAGGCTTCCGCGGAGGGGGCCTGGCCATGCTGCTCCTGAAGGCCTTGCTCCTGCTTGGATCGCAGACGCAGCAGCAGCGCGAAGCGTCCAGCGGGGAGGCAGGGAGAGGACACCGCCAACACCTCTCTGCGGGGGAGGGGGGGGGCTGTTGCGCTGGTTAAAGGCGCTAAATTCGCACAGCTGCAGGCATGCGGCGGGCATTTCCTGCTGCATGCGGAGGCATACCCATGCTGCTGCTCCTGGCGCAGGGGCGAAGGCATCCGCCTTTCTGGGGATGGATCCGAAGGCGGCTCTAGGGGCAGACAGTCCTCGACATGCATCTCTTTAATGCCGAGCGAAAGATGTTGCAGTTGTGCTGCGGCTGCTGGCGCGCTGCTGGATGGAAGGGGGGGACCAGCATAGACAGCGCACGTGGTGACTGCTGCAAACTGCAAGCTGATGCCCTCTACCGTGGCAACGGCAATATGCCGAGCTGGCACTTGCTGCTGTAGCTGTGCAGAAGAGACTGGCGAGAAAGCAGCGCGGGATGATGCAAAGGGATAGGAGCTGTTTGGATAAGAAGAAGGAGGCCGTTGTGTGGCAGCGGCGCAAGAGAGGGCGGTCCCCTGTAGCGTGGAATTGACAGCAGCAGCACAAGCAGCAGCCGCAGCTGCTGCTGCTGTTGCTGCTGCTTGTGCTGTCAGTTCGCTGCTGCGGTAAGCTGTAGGAGGCGGCTGCAGTAGCACCACACAGCGGAGCTGTCCAATAGATGCATCCATTTCCCACTGCAGCAGCCTGCGTTTCCGCTGGACCGCCTTGTTGCTGAAGGTATTTTTTTGCAGCAGTGCCTCTGACTCTGCTTCTGACTCCTGTTGGGGTTCTGCAGCAGCGAAAGCGGCGTGAGTTCTCCCTCTCCAAAATGCTGCAGGGGATTCTAGTGCTTCTGCCGCTGCCGCATGCAGGCGGACCAGCTGCAGCTGCAACCGCGAGAGAGAAACATCGCCGAGTTCCACATCGATCGTCTGCACTCGCACACTAAGGTGGCGTCGCTCAGCTGAGCGGGCCCTGTTGCTGCTGCTGCTGCTGCTGCTGCTGCTGCTGCTGCTGGCAACCACCTCAGCAGAAGGAACAACTGCTGCAGCACAATCCGCTTGCCCGTTGTCATACCACTGCGCACTGGTGGCTACCGTGCTCTCCGAGACGTTTGTCCGCGCCAGCTCCAAAGAGACAACAACAGCAGGAGTACCCCTTGCGTCTTTTTGGTGTGGCATGCAGCTACAGCTACAGCTGCTGCAACTACAGCTGTCGCTGCTGCACGCCATGACTGGTGCTTCCATGGGGCTTGCTGCAAAGGTGTTGCTACCACAGCTGTCCTGCTGCTGCCTTCCTGCAGCAAATCCAGGCTCGCGAAGAAGTTCAGAGGCCTCCCCACAAACGTTTGCATCCAGCTGCTGAGGCACCGCCCCTACCAGATCCACGAGGGAACACCGGGAGCCTCCGCCACTCGGATGGCACCAATATGCAGAAGAGCAGCTGCAGTTGCTGCAGTTGCTGCCGCCTTGAAACGCTGCTCCACCCCGTTCTCGCAGTCCATCGCTTGCGGCGGCTCTCTCTGGGGAGACGCCCACTGCCCCCTTAGCGGCCTCAACAGCAGCGCACTCCTTCCGCAAAGGAACTACAAATTCGTTGCAGCGAGGGCCTCCTCCAGATTCCCAAACAGAAGCCGACAGAAGCGCCAAACGGCCCGTCTGCAGGCAGACCGCAGGGGGTTCCTCCTGCTGCTCGTCGTGCTGCTGCGGCAGGGATAGACGAAAATTCCCTTCAAGCTGCCGCAGATCAAGGGTGTGCGTGAATCCCACAGCCTCTCTCCCCAGAGGCCTACACAGCGCAACGCTTTCGGCTCGCAAAAGAAGAGATCGCGGCCCTCCAAGTGCCCCCCAGGCAGTGCTCTTTTGCGGGGGGCAGCTCACCAGGCAGCACAGCTGCGATAGCCGCAGCGATACAGACACCTCCTGCAGCCAGGCCTCCAGCCCCCCAAGCAGCGGTGGCAGCAGCCGTCTTCTGTAGCTTTCCAGCGGTGCTGCAAACTGCTTTTCTTCCGGTGAGTCGGTCTCCTTCTCGAAGTCGTACGCCATCGGAGGACAGGCCCCTGCAAGCGCACGCGCGAGAGGATGTGGGCCCTTCCCCCCCGCCTGCACACCATATTCGATGGGGTCGAAGGCGTCGAAGAAGCACTCCCTGCTGCTGCGGCTGCTGCTGCAATCGCAACTGAGCGTCCTCCCGCTGGAGGAGCTCATAGCGTCATCGGAGGAAGGGGGAGACGGCTGCTCGGCTGCCTGCGGCAAACCTCTCTTTGACCCTTCTGGATACAGGGAGCCCTCAGGACACCCGAGGCCGCTGTAAGATTGCTTCTTAAGAAGCGAGGAGTCGTCTGCCGTAAGGCTGTTCCCTCCCCGCGTTGCCTTGCGCCGCAACGCACCACTTTTCTGCCTCTCCTGCTCCTGCAGAAGCAGCAGGTGGCAGGCCGCTGCAAAGGCTGCACAGGCCGACACCCGAAGAGGCCCCAAGAGAAGTGCCATCGGCTTCACAGCCACGGAGACAGAAGCGCAGAGGGGCCCCTGCTGGACCGAAGGGGCAGAAGAGGGGGCCCCCGCTGATAGCCTTCGCGCTAAGAAATCCGCCGCCACAGCGTCGCTCCTGCGGAGCAGCGCAACTGCAGCTTCTCCAGACACTGGCATGAGCACTGGAATCCACCCGCTGCTGCCGTCGGGGGCCTCCCCATTGCTGCCAAGGCTACCACGCGTGAGGCTCAAGAAAATGTCTTCCGTGTCAGGGCTGCTGCTACCATTGCTAGTAGGGCAGCTGCTGCAGCCGCCTGCGCGCGTGTCGAGCCTCAAATGCGTTAGCGTGAGGCTTAACAGAGCAAGAACTTGACTGTCCAAAGCAGCCTCAAGCGAACCCCCTCCTCGACCCCCGCGGCAGCTGCAGCAGCTGCAGCTGCTGCAGCGAGCCGCTTCTCTGCACGTCGCTGCGCGGAGAGGCTGCCGCTGTAAGGCTGTACTAAAAGACGGCGGGGCGTTCCTCCGAAGCGGCCGCTCTTGAAGCCTGCAGCTGAATTTTGAAGATAAAGACTCCTCCCAGCCGCTAGATGAAGGCAGCCCACCCTGTCCGCCATCGCCAACAGGGCTGCACCTGTCTGGTCCCCCCCAGCTGAACGAACCTGAGGGATGCACAAAGTCTGGAAGTCCGCTACTTTTTGCAGGGCCTGTTACGGGGGTGGCAGCAACGCAGTCGCTGCAGCCGCTGCAACAGCAGTTGCTGCTGCCTTCGCGGGGGTGTCTCCACGCATCTCTGCAGCAGATCCTCGGTGGCTGGCGCGGAGTGAACCGAAACTGCGTTCGGCCGCAGCTAATCCTTAGGGCGCCGCCACTTAGCGATGGAGAGGCACGCGAAAACGCAGCCATCCTAGAGAAACTGCTGCGCTGTCTGGCTCTGAAGCTCCTCGAACACCTGCCAGAGCCGAAGGCGCCCTCGACAGCGGCAGCAGCAGACTGCTGCCCTGAGCCCAACGCTGGCTTTGCAGCGTACAGGCACGCAGAAAAAGCCTCAAAAACAACCTCCACACACACTCTCGGTGGCTGCTGCCCTTGCCGCAGCCACAGAGGCCCCTTAGACCCCAAGCGCGGGGAGCCTCCAAGGGGCCCCTCCCCAGCAGGCGGCCCTTTGGCATACTGCAACGCCTTCAAAAACGGTTGCATGCGGCGCACCGAGGCAGACAGAAGACACACATCCCCACACAATGTGGCAGGCGCAATGCGCAGAGAAACACGCGAAGAAAAATCCTCGGACTGCTGCTGCGTTCGCTGCCCCCCGATGTCGCGCCGCTGTCTTGGCTTCGACCCCTCGCCAGCTGCCCTTTTAGGACCAGGGCTTGTCGCTGCTTCGTGGCGTGAAGACGGCAGGGTAGCGGATGCCTTTTGTTCATCATAAAGATCTGCGTGGCTACCCCTGTGCAGCCGAAGGTGCAGCGATGGCGTCAATGTACCTCCTCTCTCCTCGGACAGGAAGTCTAGGAAAGCATGCGCACGGGGGGAAGCACGAGAGCTCGTCGGAGGCGTAGAGGGCGACAGCGAGGGAGGCGATGAGGCACCGCTAGACGCTGCGTCCTTAAAGAGCTCGCGTGGGAGGCTAACAGAATGCACAGAAGCGGACCGGCTAACAGCCGCTGTTGCCACGGATCTGCTGCTGCTGATGCTTCTTCTTCTGCTCCGCAAAGAAGCCTTAGGGCCGAACCATAGAGACAGAGCTCCTGGAGTGCCGCTGCTCTGCATGTTGAGAGAGCACACAGCAAAACTCAGGTACGAGAGCACCAAGGATCGCCCTCCTTCCATGGGCACCTCACTTTTGCACAAACTATGGGCTTCAGCGCGATCGGGTGTCTCTACAGAACCGGCTACCGCAGAAGTCTGAGACATCCCCGATGACGCCACGGCCTCTGCTAGCCCTGCTGCTAACGCTGCTGTTCGCTCTAGCCTCATCACCAAATCCATCCCTCCAAGACGCATCGCGAAGTCTTCTGCTGCTGCGTCCGCTGCCACGGTCTGCAGAGACACCCGAAGCTCAGATCCCGAGAGGCGTCCCCCCAAGGCAGCCAACGAGATGCTGAACTCCCGAGAATCACCAATCCCAAGGGCCTCTGAAGTCTCCCGCTGGCGGAGCTCGACGAGGGCTGGAGGCTGAAGCTTGTAGGCCCCTTCTGCATGCATGACCTGCCGCTCGCTGCTATCGCCGCTGCTGCTGCTGCTGGTATTGCTGCTATTGCTGCTGCTGCAGGAAACGTTGCTGCCTTGCGGCAATGCTGTCTGAGAGCACAGAGGAGGTGGCAGCCACGGAGGACGAGGCGGCAGCAGCACCAGACCCCCATCTGCTGCTGGTGACGCTGCAGCTGCGACGGCAGCGGCTGCTCGAAGAGGCTCTCTCGCTGACGAGGCTGGAAGCGGCACGCTAGAGTGTTGCTGCACTTCCCTTAGCCAGCCGACAAGGGCCGCCGCATCCAAGATGTCCGTCTCCCGCAGCAGCAAGTGCAACGGCGAGAGGGAAGCCTCAAAAGTCACAGAGAGCTGGTACTCTTGCTGTGGCTGCCTCAGGTCAAAGGAGGAACAAATGCCTCGCAGCACACCGCCGCTTCCAGCAGCGGGAGTATCGACGGCAGCAGCAGGCGGAAGGGCTGCCGCGGCATCTTGGGGAAGCCTTAGAGTCCAATGTATGGAGGCACTGAGCTCCAGAGACGCAAGCAGAAGGCTGCAGAAGCAGGAGAGCAGGAGGCAAACGCGCCATGCACAAAGAGACGAGGCGTAAACAGGAAATTTTTCCCCCTTAAAGGTGGTGTACTACGTTCGTTACTACACAGTGTAATGCGATCGCTACGTGCTGCCTGCTCCCTCCTCCCCTTTTTCCTGTGTCGTCTTGATCTGCGCCTTTTGCTGCAGCCAGCGTCGCACAAAGTGACGTCTGCTAAAGGGGCCCCTCCTCACCACTACGTACCTGGCATCCGGATGCTCTTCATGCTGCTGCTTGAACTCGGCAGCAAACGCTGCCGAATTGGGGTGAAGCTGCTGCCGCGTTGTCAGCCGCCACTCGTCGCTTCTCCAGTAGGCAGACAGCCCGCAAAGTTCAACCTCGTGCAACCCCACGAGGCCTAAAGCCGCCTCGCTCTGTAGGGTTCGCGAGGATTGGCGTGATTGCGAAAAAAGCGCACTCCCCAAAGCTTCGTCGGTGCTGCAAGCGCTACTGCCTAAGTACTCAAGAGATTCCCCGCCTAGAGACACCCCTCCGCCGAACTCCCTAGCAATCCTGTCTTCTTCTTCCAAGATGTATCCGCTTGTCCTTCTTGCTGCCGCTTTTACGGCCTCTGCCGCTCTCTCCACGTCCGAATCCGAAAGGCAACTCGACAGCTCCTCAGCCTCCGACTTGGGAAGCTGCTGTCTCTCGGTCCGCATCATCTCGGCAGCTGCCTCAAGTGTGCGTGCTGCTGCGGCGGCAGCGTCTTCAACAAGCGTTTCTGCGGCTTGAGGCAGTTTCAGGGGGTGCTTTTCGGGGTGTCTCGGGAAGGAAGGGGGGAATGAGTGCTGCCTCCTGATGGGATCCCCCAGAGGGGACGCATCTTCTGTGCCTTTTGACGTGCGGTGCAGGCCACTGCTGCTCGCTTCGACTGGCGTTCTCGCTTTTGCGCGGTTCGCAGTTGAACAGGTTGCTGAGAGTCTCCTTCGCCTGCAGCTCCCAGAGCCAACAGCGACACTCAGAGACTCTACGCTGCCATCCCCTGCTGCCGAGGCTGTGCCTGCATCTGACGCGTCCGGCAGTGGTGGAGGTGTTGCACTGGGATTCGCAGAGAAAGAGGCAATCACAAAGCCGCACTGGAGAGGACGAACGACGTCTGCGCAGTCAGGAGGCCCCTTGGCAGCCTCCCGTCTCTCCCTCCAGCACAGCCGCTGCTGCTGCTGCCGCTTTTGGTCAGAGCGATGTTGCGGGTAGCGTGCATTAGCGGCAGCGGCGCATGCCCTGCCAGTCGGATCCTCCAGTCGGAAGTGCACGTCACGTATGGAAAAAAAGACGCTTCGGGAGAAGAATGTCAGCAAGCGCCGCAGCAGCAGAGGCTGGATTGCATTAGCTCCTCCCCTGCCGTTTCCCCTCTTGCTGCTGGGGGATGAACGCTGGGCCGTGGATACGAAACCGCTGACAGCGCGCTGCACAAAAGAAGCCCCTATTGCGGAGAGACGTGACCAGAATCGGCGCTGCTGATGATCCTCGTGCTGCAGCTGTAGCTGCTGTTGCAACTTGAATTCTTCATTGGCAAACTCGCTTTGGGTAGACACCAACGCGTAGACTTGGTGCACGTGCACCTCAATACGGCTGCCGTCCCGGTGCAGTACGAGCTGCTGCAGCAGCTGCCGCCAGGATGCTTTGACGCGCACTTCCCCAATGAAAAGGGAGTGCAGCAGCAAGTCTAAGGAGAGGTGGCGGCATTGTGCCACTAGCCCTTGCAACACGAGGCCGTCCCGAGATCCTCCTACAATGAGGCTCTGCACCTCTATGCCCAAGAGACTCAGCAGTCGCTTGAGTAAGAGCGACACCACCCGTCGAAACATTGTGCACCCTGCTGCTCCAGCTGCATGCTGCTGCCGTGACTGCCGTAGCTGCGAGGAGCACCAGCAGAGGCTCACCCTTAGGGCGAAGGGTGGAGAAAACAGAGGTGCGGCATCTCGCTGGTCACGTGGTCGTGCACTGACGCGGTGCAGATGACGCCTTCCTTCCTCTCTCTCTCTCTCGCTCGCTCTATGGATTTGAACGGGTGCAGCTCTTGCTGTGGACACGCTTCAGCATAGGCCCCGTCCAGTTTCTTTTGCCTCTGGAGCCCCTAGCAAAACGCGGAGGAGGAGCACCTATGGCAGGAACCGTGTTCACAGGACCGCACGGGTGGGAGACTCGGGAAACTCGCCGAAGGCGACAGGGGTTGCCTCTGCAGCGAGCGAATCGGGATAGAGGCGGGTGCCTTCACCTTAGCCCAGGAAGGCGTTAAGGGGCACAGAGCTCCATGACACAGAAAATTAACAATAGAAGTAAGCCGCGAATTGCGGGGTAACAAAGTTCAGGACCGCGCACTGCCCAAAGCCAAGCGCTGTGGGACTATGGCAGAATCGGCTCCAGCCAGGGGCCCTCGCCGAATCGCAGCGTGCACCTATTGATCGCCGACTGCTGCCAGCAGCCGAGCTGGAATTCTTTTTATGAACACTATAGTCACCAGAACACAGGAGAAGACGGTGCAGGTAGGCGCACAAACACCGTCGGCTGTTGAGTCGCAGGGGCTTTCCCGCCAGAACCAGCGAGGGGCGGATGTGCAGGCCGACCCGCCTATTCTGACACTGCCGACGCCAGACGATACCGCCAGCATTTTGAAACAGGCGTTTGTACATGGGGAAGACGGCAGGTGCTTTCACCCCAGCGGGCTGTCACGCATTGTCGCGAGAGCCTCGCCACACAGAGAGAAGCGCAAAAAGCCTGGGCAAGCACTGTAACGCCCTGCAGTCCGATCTCTGCAACAATACCCCAGGCATCTGCAAGGCCAGTTGCCCCAGAAGGTCGGTAGCCACCCTCGCCCTGTCCTCCTAAGAGGCCCCCCTCCCCCCTCTATAAGGGATGTGGAATAAGGGCCTTTTTCAGGTACTCTTTCTTGGGGTGTCGCCTGCCGCCTGTGTAGATACGCCGTCTCAACAGTGCGTTCTTGTAGGATGCGCCAGCAAGCCCAGAACAGAAATGCTGGTTTGCTTTGCTCCCGCAGTAGGCAGCAACGTTCAAGGCTGACGCCGGCCCCTCCCAATAGCGCTATGCCCTACACATCCACCGTGGCACTCGAAATGTTCTGCTAATAGCCCCTCCCCCCCTCCCGCCCCTGACTACCTGCAGGTAATCGTGGGCAGTACGTTGGAGGCGGCCTAGCCCCTTAGTGCCGCCCCCAAGGCGCCTCTGTGGTGAGCTTCGCTGAAACGCAAGCGTTTTAAAGCTGCTCGGGGTCCTCCTTAAGGAGCAATTGTCGCGAGTCGTTACACACAGGCAGGCCTCTAAGGGGGGCCACCCGGAGAGAAAATAAAACGAAACGATTTAGCACACGGTTAGACAAAAACACCCAGTAACGCGGACGGCGCCCGACCACTCGCCATCCGGGGCCTTGCACGCTGCCTTCTACCCCTGCATCACAGGCTACGCAAGTAAGGAACAGAAGCAGCTGCTGCACAAGTCCAGCAGAAGGAGAGACGTGCAACCTGCAAACGATGGAGGGTCCCATCCTCCGCTCGCAGTTGTTTCGTATCAGTAGGCCTTTGCTGCGTCGAGCTTCTTGAGGCACAGCGCAAATACTGCCTCTTTTGAATAACCCCAGAACAAGTGCCTTCTTGTCCCTCAATCAGGAGCCCCTACCGACAGAAGGCGGACCCACACGGCTGCCACCACAAGGGCTACTTTGTGTCACGCCGCCTTCGGCCAGACCCCCCGTTGTTCACTGTGCAAACCAGCCTCCTTTAGTGGTCTCTAGTACACTTAAAGCCCTAAAATGCCACGGCTCAGAGTCCACACCCCTAAGTGAGACGCCCTCTGGAAGCGCAACCGCGTGCGCATCGTGTATCGGGTTATCTGTCCTCACAGAGCGGCGGCGCGTCCGGGAGTGTCGGATTTTGCCAGATGTCAAATCGGCTGATCTTCTTGGGCCTGGGAAGAGGTTTCGTAGGTGGGTTGACGAGCTGTTTAGAAAATACGCGGGTAGCTTTCATCCTGAGGTGGCACAGATGCCGGTTTTCCTCCTTGCTTGCCACGTGCTCCGTCCTGTACCTCCAAAGGTCTTCCCTCAGGAGCTCCTCTCGCGGCTCAGGCAGCACATTGCAGAGCAAATGGTCCTGCTCTACGTCGTGGGTGTACTTGACCCGTCCATGCACTAGCGCAACTAGGGAGGAATCCTTGGCAACCCCCACGTTCTCTCCCGGATACATCTTCCGGTGCCTACCCCGCCGCTTACTCTCGAAACCCCATGCGATGTACCGCCGCTGCTTCACCAGCAGGGCTCCTGGAGTCACATACTCTGCAGAGAGGCGACGCGGGCCTATGTGAGCCTTCTGCGACTGACCTGTGGGGGAGGCTCTGCCTCGCCGATGGTAGGCTGAGGACTTAACCATCTTGTGCCGTACAGCCTGATAGCTGTAAGGGGGAGGGGCGGGGAAGGCAGGAGGGAACACCACCAGGGAGCCACCCGGCAAGGCTCCACTGAGCAACGATGCAGAAAATGGGTGCCAACGGCCCACAGCAGAAGAGGCGGGCGTTAGATGCGAAAGGGGGGCCTCCTGGTGGAACCACGTGTTATGCGGACGAGCGGCAGGGACACGGGAAGACCAATGAAGCGGACGACACACCGACAGATCCTCATCATTGCGACTGCAGACCTGGCAGCTAATACTAGCGTTTCGCAGACCCAGTGTCGAGGGAGAAAGGGCAGTCGCTGCTTTTTGAAAAATGAAGGAATGCCGCAGGGCGCTGCTGCCAGCCCTCAGCGCCCAGCCTGTCGATGCCCGACTGCCCTGCATCGGAGCAAGGCAGAAAAAGCCATGGCAAAACGAAGGCACCAGAGGAAGGCAAGGAAAGTCCTCTTTACGCAGCCAAGCACACCGAGGCAAAACAGCAGCAGCCGGGGCCGTCTTCAGCCTTTATTGGAGTGCCTGGCGTTTATGAGAGCTAAATTGAGCGCCAATTTCGTACAAGGAGATCCAATCGATGCAATGGATTCGGGGAAGCTGAGTTAATGAGCTGAGAATGCTGGGGCTGCGCATGTTTGCAGTCCCTATTCTGCGGTGAGTGTCTCTTCCGCCAGTCTGCCCTTATAGGTGCGCAGCTTTTACCAAGCCGTTCCCTGCACCAAATATAGCGAATTCGCATAACAGAAATGCCACTTTCTACATAATCATGAGTTCGGCAATGCTCTTCCGACTGTTTGCAAAAGTTTCTTCTAAACAGTACCATTCGCTACGGAATGCAACAACGGGTCACACATCGGCCTTACGACACGCCGGTCAACCCCCCAATTAATTGTTGACAAGCTACTCTTCATGAATGAAAACAGCGGATCTGACAAAATAGAGCGCTTTAAGCAAAATGGCAGCCTCGAGGGCCCCAGTTACAGACATTGATCCTGATTCAGATTTGTACCAGGACGCACTCGCACAGGGTGCCATAGCCAGCGCAAGGTTCCAGAAAGAGGAAGACATATCAAGGCACATGAAGAATTTCTTTGATTCCAAATATTCCCCGAATTGGCATTGTGTAGTAGGCAGGGATTTTGCAAATTGCTCCTCCTGTGAGCAAAAGACGAGCATTTTTTTTTATGTGGGGCAAACCGCCATCCTGTTGTACAAACTTGGGTGATTGAAAGGACCATACGGCTACTCCTGTTGTCTCAAACCCTAGAGCGGTTTAACATGTTTTGTCTATGGTGAACTCAAAGTTTATTTTCTGGGCCTCAGTGGCTCTTCAATGACGCAGACACGTCGACAAACGGGGTTCTCGTTGGGTCTAACGCATGGTTGGACAGCTGGGAAGGAGACGCTGAGATGGGGCGTCGCCTAAGGTGGCTCGCTATTTTACCCATGCTTTCCCTGCTGTGGTGTCCGCTTGCAAACTGCTTCGCCATATACCGCGTTTGCGCATGGAGGACATGCACTGGCGTCCCCGTTCCTCTTCTTCAAAGAGGAACTGTTGAACAGCTGGAAATCCAGGCCCGTAATCAGATCTGTATGGGAGGCACAGCATCGCTTCTTATGAAGAAAAAGGATCGGCGAAACCTTGTGGTTTTGGAATGCACGGAAGCGCGAGCAGAGGGCAAGCCTCCATCACGATATACAACGACGAAGAATCGCAAGAACACTCCAGAACCTCTACAACTTCGTAAGTATAATAAGTTCTTGAGACGGCATACACTCCACAAAGAGCTTAAGTGACAAATCACAGAAACACTCTGCCGTCTGCCTATCAGGAAGTCCCAGTGGAAGCCTTGTTTCTCATTCCCATTATGTACAAGGAGGCATTTGCTTTTCACTGTCCATTACATGGCTTTTTAACGAACTGCCCGGACTGTGAATACGGCCTGGGGCACTTTTGTCCAATGCCGTGGTCTACTCTACAGGAAAGGACAGGCCTGTTTACTCACACAAAATATGCACAAGCAACCCACCCTTGCGATAAGGTGCAGATGATCGGCATCCTTTTGCTAAATGAACCAGAATTTTTAAGCAAGCTCGCGTGGCTAGATAGTAGCTGTATTTTGCAGCGACCTTTTAGGATGTTCATTATCTTAGAGAAGTGGAAAGGGGGCTGTACTAAGATTATGATGGTATCATATACGCCAGAATTGCTGATTACAACGAAATGCTTTTCAATAAGCGCATTCGTCTACTTGTAAATGTAGAAAGCAACAAGATCCTTCATGGCCAGTGTATGTGAAATATCTAGTAGCTTTCCAATAGAGAGCGAACTCTAGAATCGTACCGAAAAGTAGCGAGGAAGAATTTAACTCTCCATGGAGCACAAAGAAGTGAATCGTGCCTACTAGAGCCTTGGTGTAAACAACTGAAATGCACGGTTTACCGAACCTTTCCATCTAAGCGGACGATGCCGCCATTTAAAAGAGCAGGCAGGGGAAAGCAACTTTCTTTCACCTAAATCAATCATCGCAATATTAGAAATGATGTAAGCAAGCACTTATGAAAGGGACTTTGCCGCTCTGGTGTATGTACTGCCCATTGGAGCAGAGTGGTGTGTCGCCACCTCAGGTGTCCAATACATATCAGTGAAACGCAACGCTCATTTTTGCGTCATACAGGGAGAGGTGCAAAGTGCAAAGGCCGCGAATTCTTATCAGCAAACGAATGCGCGGCATGATTTTATACTCAGTAGAAGATGCATTTTTATGCGTCTAATACAGCCATATAAGTAATCGTGAATCATGGACTGCAAAGCCGTCTTGACGTCGGAAGGAGTTGTGGAGCCTCTTTTTCAGCTACTGGTGCATAAGGTGACCATTGAGAAATTCGACTTACTTCGGGATCTGGGTATGGCTCCGTTTCCTACGTTCGCTAATACCTGGATAAACATAGACTGACACCAGCAAAGAAGAAAGCACTCCCAGACTGCGCCGAGGACTCGGAAGGTAAATGAGAAGGCTGGAGAGAACATTCGCATTTGAGGCCCTAAGCATACCTTAACAGAGTTTTTTGAGCATGGAACTGTGTTATTTCTGGGCTCCTTTGGTCAGGCAGCGGGACTTGAACTCCAACTTTGGTGAGTCGAACTTTCCAACATTGCGTGTCAACCCTTACATTCGGAACCAATTTTTGAGCAGGCTGTGCCCAAATGGTAACAACATTCCCAAATGGCTTTTGAGCTTGAAGAAAATCTGTCTTAGGCGATAGAGAGGACTGGGATGCCCTCACAATCACAATATCGAATGAAGGTACTTACTATGAAAGCCAACAATCGTACATCTTCATCTTCTGGGTTCGTTCAGGCAGCGAAGGTAGTGGAGCTACATGCACATCCTGTGAAATCTAAGCGCCTAAAAGCAAGGACTGACAGATTTACCAGATGTTACAAAACTGACACTACTTGACGCTCGGGACGAATACAAGGAAATATCTTCCTGCGAAACAGTAGGAATATGCAGGGCCAAGCGAGGATACGTGCGATTCTTTTTTAACTGGACGGATCACAACATCCTTCGAGTCAGTTCTATTATTCCACGTCTTCTGGCACGCAGTCTCAGTTCGCCTCAGGTTGGAAGCCGTTTGGTGCTCAAAGTCGAAATGCGGTTTCTTCGTCGACTTCTACACATAGACGCAGAACCAAATCGGGGCGCGACGACTGGCTCACTCCAATGCGATGTATTCGATTATTTATCTGAAAAGTAAGAAAGTTACATTAGGAAAAGCCAGATGCCGGCGTCATTTGGTGCCTTCAGATACTTCAAGATGGCGAATGGTACGGTGCAAGTCTACCGTAGTGCACAATACGGACGGGTAACGTACGATTAACCGATCCATCTGCAATCAGATCGCGTGCTGGTCCAAGTCGGCTCTCGAAGTACGTTGCCACTTAATCCGATCCACAAAAGTTGTGTGTACGTATTGCCAAAACAGAGATGCTATGCAGCAAGGCTCTTCTTTCTTGCCGCTCGCCAGTGTTTGAAAGCATGTTTTCTGGTACGGTGAAACGATTTTTCGACTAAAGTACTTGTTATCGACAATCCACTAGGCAGCTTCAAAGAAGCTAATTCGAGCTTCATTGCCTTAAAGGACATGGACACTGACGTTGCCGCTATCCTCATTGACTGGATACAGGAAGACAGGTTTGCGAAACTTGCGCGCTTAGATACCTCTAGTCTGAAAAATGCAACTTCATTTGCAGGCTTCCCGAAACATCAGGTCTCAACTGGAGCAAATGCATGCGAGTGCTGATGGCTGCAGATAAGTTTCAAGTCCACACGCTAGTAAGCCCAGCCACGGTTCATCCGAGCAACTTCAGAAAATTTTGATGTCTTGCATTCGAAGGTGGATTACTGTATTTGTCATCTTCGTCGCCTCCTTACCCAAGGCAACGTATCATTCGACGAAATCATTGTGGTTCGGAAGATGTTGCAACAGTGCACAGGATCGAAGATTACTCAACTTGGTAAGTTCCGAACGTTCGCTATAAATGCAGCTTCATTCATACTTCGAGCAGCTAGGGATTGCGAGGCATATGTTGCTGCACGGGCAGCATGTGATCCGTCAAAGATGTGGAGCATCCTCGATTTAGAGATGACACATGATCCACTGCTAAAACCATGCAGGAAGGGAAATGCCATAGATATCTGAGCTCACAAGGCTAAACAAACTAACTTTTGGCGGGCACTAGTTGGAAGACTGCCACTCAAAAGCTAAATCTTGCTCCTCTTCCTAGCGGAGATTCCCAATTACCTTTAAATTTCTACTCAGTGCAGAAAAGTACACAGCTAGTTACTTTATGTCGTAGAAATAGCGGATGTAGGTATCTAATTAAAATTTCTACTATGCCTGGGCTGTCTGAAAGCGCCAATAGCCTAGAAGCGCAACACTTTTTCACGGTTTCAGCATGCCTATAGGGGGCGTGGGGTCGGCATAAGCCACCAGCTCACAGAGTCAAGTTATTGTAGGTTTATCGCCTTGGTACCAAAGCAAAACCTACTCCTCAACTAAAGTGTATTAGCATTATACCCGTCCTGATTCCGCGCCAGTACGCACCAGGGAAATTTCGCTACGCAAAATACGTTCCGTACAGCCCCTTTCGAAGAGAACCGTAGCGAGTTTTGTCTCTCGGCAGAGGCAAAAGCACTCTTCGGCCCAGGACGGGAGGTGGCGAAAGGCAAATCGGCTTCACCTGCTAGGCAGATTGTCCTTCCTTCTGTGCTCCCTGAAAGGCAAAAAAGCACCGTGAACAACAACCTAAATAACTTCATAAATAGAGCACAACCACTTAGAGATGCTGGGGGTTGGATCCTGTAACAGAGCTGGCACGATGTAATGGCCGTGTGGCTGGAACTTTGGTGTATTCATACGTACTTCTTGACTCTGCTGTAGATCAGCAGTTGGAGCTGCTTGTTCACTGCCTTGTCCGGGCTTCTCTGAGGCCGGTTCCTTCGAAGACGCTTGTCCATCGGCATCCGGAGTGGGCTTCTTTCGCACTACCTTCGGGGCTTCGTCCATGTCGATCTCCTCTTCTTCATCACTGGAATTGATGCAGACGTCCCCTGCAGAATGCCAGTCCATATTCCTAGATAGTCAATGAGCACTAATGACTGGTACTAAGCATTAGTGTTACGTTACATGCCTCAGCTGCAAAATATGCATAAATGTGCTACTCCGTGGGGTATGGCGGATGGACACACCAAGCATCTGCTGAAATAGAGTTGGCTCTTCATCCAGTTTGACATCTTCCGGATGCACAAAAACCTCACGCGGCTTCTCCTCAGGCGTATAGGCTGCGCAACCATTCAAGCCACAAGAAGCAAAGCGGTCAGCTGCTATTCTAGCAAGAGCTCTTTAATTTTCGGTGGTATGTCATGCTCGGTATTGCCATACCTCTGAAGTCCACGTCGATTGATGCGTCCACACCAGCATAAGAATCGCATAAGGCAACGACCGTCATTGTGTTCTTTCCTGGCCTTCCCACCCTGAATTGCAAGTTTTCGCGGACTACTCGCTCCAAATTTCTAGACTTCACGAAGTTGATGAGGCGGCCTGCAAAAAATCAACCACCTCGAAAATGCAGTGGAAGTGAAGTGTCCCATTTTGAGGACTGGATGCACATTCAACTTATCTGTAAGACAGGAAACATACCTCCCGCGGGGCCGTCTCCCTTTTCTTTCAAAAAAATCCACCATTCCTCGTATTTAGGCTCGGAAAAGAATGGCGCATGTACTGCTCCAGCAGCCTCTCCTTCCTAAAGCAAGCGGCACATAAAATTGGTCAATCACTGCGTACTTTGAGAAAACACGCTAATGGTCGTATCCTTGGAAATGAAACCCACGGTCCACTCTACGACCCAACAGAACTTCCGCTGCTGCCGCATCCTCTGTGGCTCCCACCTTTAAGTTCTTTCGGGTGAGAATGATGCGACAAGTCGCGATGTCGCCAACAACAATGTCAGCTTCGTCATCCACAACGATTTCTGCTTGAATATCGATGTTTGGAACATGGCTGCTGAAAGCCTGAATGTCCGCCAGCTGCTCAGGCGTCATATCGATGGTGCCTCGCCGTTCATCGCTCTCTTGACGCAAGAAATCTCCCAACTCACGAATAACATTCTTTCCTCTGACCAGATACGCATAGAAAGCGGCGAAAGTGTGAAGCATCTACCACCGTCACAACATGGTTTAGTACGGGATACAAGGCCGCAATATCGATCCCACTTCAGGGACCCTTCAGGTTCGTACCGGTGGCAGTGGCGGATGACATCCTCATCAAAGTGCGGGATTTGCAAAAGTGACTGGGACCTTCCGCTAATAGCTTGAACCAGGCAGCGACGGAATTCTAGAACCGAATCCGCAGTCAGATACCAGTCACTCAAGACAGAGACCTCCATCATGCACTGGGTTATTGGCAGCGAATCCCTGCATCCCGACACCACGCATAAGCACAAAATGGTGGTGCACAAGAGAGACCAGATATTCACCAGCTGACACAATTCCGATACAATCTACTGAAACGCTTAAGCTACCGGCACGTTACCTACTTCAAAAGCTGGTTCAGCTGCTCCCGAAGCCGTTGACTCATCAAGCCATGCAGTCGCTGCATGTGAGCGTTAACAAGGTAGCAGTTCCTGAACAAAAAGGCGCAAATCGTGCAAAACAGAATCCGTGAATCCTTTTAGATGCTTGTGCACTCCACAAATGGGTCGCCGTGAGCGTTAGGTGAATGACCTAGACGAACGCAGCACGTGTATCTCCTGGCAAGCACAGGAATACTGCAGATATGAAGATGTACCTAACAATTACGGGCATTGTGAAAACGCGTTTCTTTGTTTCCACAACGCTATCGCATATCTGTTTCATATCGTTATCGTCTTCGCGTTCAATCTTCATTGCGCGGCTCTCTCCGCTGGCGGCGAGAAGCTCAGGCAGGTTCTTGAGGCGAGTACCTTCCGTCATAACGTGTGTAAGGAATTGTACAGATTCAACCATAACTCCGTTAGCTGCACAGTCCACATGTATCAAGGAAAGAACGATTTTCATGAACACCTGAAATGGAAAATCCGGCCCAAAACACATTCGGCGGGCCTTGAAGGTGTTTCACTGCGGCATGCTGTGCAAGCCCATTAGAAAAGCCAGTCACACGCAGGGCGATCGAGAGTAAATTTGTCTTTTTAGTGCTCGTCTAGGACTTCTGAAAGTATAAAGTGCAAGTATGAGGCCGACAAGGAAGATACTCGCGCCCGCTAGCTCTCACCTACACAACTGAATTCACTGACAGACAGCAGACTCACGTGCATATTTCTTCTGTCGCTGGTAATAGCAAAGAAAGATCATGGGCAAGACAACCAACAGAAAGAGGAAAAAAAAGCAGAGGACGAAGAGCTGATTGCCTTCTTCAACCAGAAAACGAGGAAGCCCGACGCCAATTTTCATACCGCCGGGTCCATCAGGGTTTCCGTACTTTTCATAGTTCTTCTTCGCAACCTACGCCGCAGGCAGGAGAAACAGACGTACACGTGGGTCACCGTGACAGCGGGAGATTGCATGAAAGTGGAAGCAGAGGCACCACCCCCGTCGTAAGACATAACACACAGCCTAGCCCTTTTGAGAAACATGCGCCGCTGACAATAACATTCATTCTATAGTGATTGGGGAAGTTTGTATAATTACCTCGTCAGTAAGTGCCTGGTAGGCCTTCGCTATCATTATAAACCGGGCGCCTTGCGTTGGGTCATTCACATTCTTGTCGGGGTGGTACTTGAGAGACATCAGACGGTAGGCCTTTTTGATTTCTCTCTGAGTAGCTGATGGGCTGACATCTAGAATCTCAAATGGGTCGAACGTCTTTATGCTGTGAACATCTTGCAAGTTGCGGCAAATGAGGATGAAGCCAAGCCAGCACAACAACAGGGCCGTTACCTCTATGAGCCGCCCTTTTGTGAGGAAACGGCTGCGTAGAAGAGAAAGCTCCTTGTGGAGTTCTGCCCGCTGTGCGACGCATGCACTGCACTGGCAGTATCTGAACTTGGAACCCGATGACGACTTTTCTGGGTATTTTCGTCGGTACGCGTTCGACACAGCTAGACATTTCCGCAAGAAAAAGAAGGTCCACGGTATCAGGATACAAACAGTTACGCTACATAAGAAGAACATAAACGCATTGTCATCGTAGTCGAGCAAGTTCTCCCTCTGCTCGTCTTTGGTGAACGTATCCCGAAACTGCGACATTTTCGCAAGCGCTTGTCGCCCGCTGGCTTCCCAGCAGGGCGGAAATTAAATATTAATTGGCTTCTGCTGAAAGAGAGCCTGGTATTGATCAGTTGGCGCTCTGGGCGGCGACAGAAGGGCAAAGTTCAGGGGCTGAGTCATGGGGGATGCTGTGATGGTACCTCAATGCCTGTAATTAAGGGAATTCCAGACACTGTTCCAGCCCCATCACGCTCTCCTAATGCAACAGAGACACGAAATCAACCAAAAGAAGCAACAGCGCGAGTGTTTATTCCAAGGTCCAGAAGCCGCAGTGCACAAGACAGCCGCCAGGCCCAACGTTGTCCGTGCATGTATTTTGGCCAGTAGAAAGTCCCTGGGACAAAAATAGAAAATACATCAGTATATGTTGCATGTTCTACTGACTACAATAGCCAATTGATGCTAACTGTCTAAGGACAGTGTAGAATTCAACCCTACCCGATCACTTCTTATGGTTGTCTTTCTCAGCTGCTGCTCCGCCGTTCGCTTACTACGGAGGGTGAATTCGCCACAACATCCTAATAGAGAATAATATTCCGATCTAAAATATCAAAGGCTCATCCCGCATCATGGACGCGTTTTAATATGCCGCGAATTCTATCTGCGCGCGCGTACACGTCCACCAGCATTTTCATGGTCTACTCCTGTTAGGAGATCCTCCGATGGAATTTGCCGTGGCGCTCACGTTTTTTAAACTTTGACTTCTATTATAGTGACCCCATATAATGCTTTTGTCCGCCTCTAGCTTGGAGAGATCATGCAGAGCAAGAACTCTGTGGAAGAGGAGCAAATTCAGATGACCGAAACAGTACTAGGAAATGCCGTGAAATATAACGCTCTATCTGAGGTCTAAGTAGGGCGGCACTTCACTTAAGTCTCAACGAAAATCAGGAGAAAGGCATTAGGTGTTTCATAAAAGGACTCACGCCTTCTCCAGGCCCCGACCCTCAGGGCTACCAGTGCGAGGGGCGAGGGACACATAGGATGTGCGGAGCTGTACCCTCGAAGCACCCCGAGCATTTAAATCCAGTTTCATATAGCATCGCACACGCAGGCAACAGAACATCTTCTTGTACCGAGCTAACAGTCCACCACACTAAGGCAGGTACACGAATAGACGCGCCAGATAGTTAATTCTTGACCTATGCTCAGTTAAATGAACTGATCTGGTAGAATGTGCTCTGGTATAACTTAATCCCCTGAAGTATCCACGCCGGTGATGCAAAATAAATTTATTCTATGATGTGGAATCTGATCAGCCCGTTTTAGCAGAGACTACATTGAAGCAAACTTTTACTCGTCATCGACTGCACACTTCGCCAAATGCAGGTAACAATTACAAGGAAGTCAGCAGCTCCATATGTTCGCTGCAAATTATCAGCGGCCGGGAACCCAGTCAGCAAGCATGTGCTACCCTAGAACGTTCGTAAACCTTTTTAGTGGCACCAAAGGTAGAAATTGTGCAGCACAGCGGGATGTTCCAGTAGTCAAAAACGGCAAGGTGCCACACTTCAAACTTTCATTCGCCTTCACAACTACACTCTACACCTTATTCCTAATACTGAACACCTTAAGTCAGCAGCTTCTCGTCCTATGTGGGTGAACTTATGCAAAAGCTAGTGCATTTCATGGGCGGTCCCTGCGCTCCCTGGCTTCATCTCGTCCTCGTCCAACACAAACTGCTTCTTTCCAGTCTCTCTGGCGATGTTCTACTCCGTAAGGGCCGAAAAGTGCGACTGGGCCCCCTATACGTGACGACGATAATGCAACACCTTAAACCGCCCACGCCGTTAGGAGCCCCGGTGATGCCATTAAAGGCGAGGATGCCCGGCATATCCTAGATTCCTCTAGTTGTTTGCAGCACGCCTTGGGGAAGGCTTACAGAAGAGTGGCAGTATAATGAGGAGATAGCACTGCGAAGTGAGAATTTTTCGAGTAGACTGCTCCGGGCCGGCGCCCTTCAGCACTTTGCAGTCCGTTGTTGTTACAGACGGTATTTTGGCATGCTCCGCTTCTTTTAGCACTCCTTTGTTGACAATTCGTCTTGGGATGGGGCACTGAAGAATACATTGCTGATCTCCTCGATTTATGGTGTGATATGCCTTACATACGCAGGTCGAAGGCCAAACGGACCTGGCATTCCATTTGCTTCACGTGCGAGACCACGTGTGCAGGGCCAAAAAACACGGTGGTCTGGCGACAGAGGCAACATCCTTTTGTTTCCTTTTTGTATTATAAAAACGTGAGTACTGACATGAACTCAAAGACAATGCTGTGAATCCTGGCCTTAGCACGACGTCGCTCACAAAGGGCTGGCCCGATGACCTGCCCCAGAAGATCAGAAACAAACCAAATTCACTCGAGCAAAAGTGAGTTTCTTAGCCCCTCCCCTGTAGCTGTACATCGGGGGAGCAGCGACAAAATAAATGCGTGCCTGTTCGTAGCAGACAGCGCCTATGCTCAGGTCTCTAGTGCTGTTCTGCCGTCCTGCAAAAGCTTTACTGCCACTACTGAAGCAGCAGTGCCACTGCCAGAGTCAAGGCGACCGAAACACCCGGGCAAAAGGACCAGAGGGAGGCAGCAGATGGCTCTTTGCTCGTTACACATAATGGCGGGGTTGGCACAAACTCCATCTTCCCATCACGCTCCTGGCACATTACTGTATGGTGCCCATACATTGAAAAGCCGGGATTGCATGCATAAGTAACTGTGTCGCCCTGTACAACAAGACCGCATCAGCAAAGACTCCTCATGTATGTCACTAACGCTGAGGCCCTGGAGGTAGCCCAGTACTTATTTAGAACTAGAAATGGACCATTAAGGGGAAGGGCTGGGAGTATGTCAACATTAGAGGAGAACCTACGCACCACGCGCATGTAAGGACCTAGAACCGTATCAGAAAATATGCGAGTTGAGTGTAGCACGAGGGGCGGCTCAATGCAGCCTGAAGTAGCAAAGACAAGACGGGCCATGAAGCTACAGAAAAACTCTGAGGTAGCAACAAAGAAAGCAACCGATACATCTGCCTGTGTCGATATGTTTGCAAGCACACAAGTGCAAACCTCTTAGTAATTTGGCGCAGCCATGTTGTCTCACTCTTATTTTCGCTGTAAACCTTCAGGAAATGAACGATCTCATCCGTACTCGGGCCCTTCCCTGACTTCTGCACCGCAGCCAGCGGAGTTAGCCCTTCCTGAAAAGGCGAAAGCATTGTTTACAATGATTGATAGAGCTGTTCATATTGCTGCTTGCTCTATTATGGGTAAAGATTTTTGTTTACAAATGCACTGCGTGCATGTGTCATTCTTCAATGATCGCTTGTCATAAAGAGCGCTTTTGAACTGCTACACCCTTATCATATTTCCTACTGCACTCAATATGGACGCACCGCGTTCTTCTCTTCAGCAGGGACACTGGCCATGTCCACGAGCCTACGCATGATTTCTACATATCCGCCCGTGGCTGCAAGATGAAGCGGCGTGTTCCCCTCCTTGTCTCTTGCCATGGGGTTCGCGTGGTGCAGCAGAAGCGCCTCAAGGGCTAGAGCTGGCACTATAGACCTTGGCACCGCCTGATACAAAACTGGTGCAGCTGCTAGATGAATTGGGGCCTTTCCTCTGGCGTTCGGCGCATTGATATGCACGCCGATCTCTGCCGTCTCCAGAAGCCTTGTGGTGGAAGTGTAGGCGTTAAATATGGCCGCGTAGTGCAGCGGGGTGTTGCCTTGCACATCGGGGGCTGAGGGATCAGCCCCGTGGTCCAACAGGATCCGCACGACGGGCCAGTTGTCACCAGCCGCCGCATAATGCAGAGCAGTCATACCGGCCTGCACGCATTGTGCTATGCAGTCCGTTGGCCGTACAATGCGGATGACGGGTTTTCACAATGCGCTTGATGTGCAACCTACACAGCAACACGTAGAAGAAAGTGGTAAACGGAGGGCGAACGACAGAGGGCACCAGCGCATTGCATACCTTATCAGTGGCCTTGGCATCTGCGCCTGCGAGGAGTAGGCGCTTGACGAACCCGCTTGATAGAGCCTTTGGATGGTAAGCAGCAAGCATAAGGGGTGTCCTCTCCAAGGTGTCTCTGGTGTCAACTTTAGCGCCGTACTGCATCAGCAGCTCCACCGATTCAATGCTGTCCAAAGACTGAATCGACGCCGCTGCATGCAGCGGCCTGCCATTTGTAGCCTGCGGCAGCATACGAAGACAGCTCGCAGCGCCTTTCACTCGCATGTCTGCAACGTGTTGGAATTTCAAATGCCCACATGCACTCAAGGTACTCAGTGGGCTGAGTTCGTGTCTTTGCTGGTAGCTATGCCTCCCTCAGCCGTGTCCAGCGCACCTCGTAAGTGTTGAGAGCGCTCAGTGGCGATAAAGTGGCGTCAGTTGTCCTCTGATTTTGGGGGATGGAGGGTATATCGGGGAAAGCGCCGAACTGCAGCAGCACTTCCGTCACATGTGGTTTTCTGGCAGCAATAGCCGCATGCAGGATCGAGTCGCCATCTCGCACTCTGGGGGGGCTGCTCGTCTAGAGGCAAACAATACGCACGCATGGCTAGCTTATTTTTCAAGGCGCCGTTCCTGGCTCCTTCGCGGGCAAGGAAAGATAAAAGATATTGCCTTCCACTAATGGCGCTCCTACATCTTTTATTGTGGACACCTCTCTACGGGGGAACTACCCGATCAAAAGTTTCAGGCCAAAGAGCTCTAAGATCCAATCGTACCGCTGTAGCTCGACAATATCTGAAATTTCGGCTACGTGAATTTGCGACGTCCGCAGCCCTCAGCAGCGCAGTGAGTTCGGCAAGAGAGTAAGGCCCATCGATCCGCCGAAAAACTTCATCACAGAACCCCTGATCTGCATCCTGAAAATGGACTGCAGCAGAGGCACCATTACAACGCATCATAAAGCGGCTTCCACACACGAAGCAGCTAGCAGCCAGATAAGCGGACACATTGCGTTTAGCATGACGGGCCAGGATGGTTCCCCTAGGACTCCAAAATTTAGTTTCTGATTATTTTACTCTATGGCTCTTATTTAAGGTTTCGATGTGTCCCCCCGCAGCAGCCGACACCCTATACTCCCTCCCCTTACAGTCAACTCTCTATTTGAGTATTCGCTGATGACTGATGACCGCACTGCGGACGCAGGGAGAGTGTAGGAAACTAAGTAAACCGACAAAGCAGGTCGCACCATTTTCTGCTGCTTTCTTGATGAGCTCGTTCTCCTCCTTTAGGGCCTCCAGTGCAATCTCCGTGTAACACTTTCCCTGTTGCATGTCGACCTTGGCCTCTGCAGTCTGTCCGGTGCTGGCTGCAATACCCTCGGTGCCTTCGAGGTGACTCTCCTCGACAGGCGTCGTAGAACCCCGCGTAGAGTCACCTTGGTCATGGCTCTCAGTTGCACCTATTTGCGCTGGGGACGAAGACTGCTCTCGCTCTTCAGTGCCTTTTGTTGAGGCTGCTGTCTCGTTTTTTCCCTGCGAAGATGTGCTATCGGGTGTTCCCCCGTCATGCGCTTTTATCGCAGCCTCCCCTGCATGCAACTCTTGCACTTGTGATTTTCCAGCAGAGGGGGTTGCCCCTCTAGAGTCCGGAGCCTCCGCAGCCAAATCTACCTGCTCAATGTCGCTCCTTTTCACTGCTTGTGCCTGCCCTTCGGAAGCCCCTGTTCCAGAATCTGCCACTGGTGAGCTTTGATCTTCTGGCTCTTCCGTTGTGGCTGCAGTTTTATTTGTTGGTGACTCCTCGTCCTTGGCGTCTTCAGCAGCCCCTGTTACAGTGTTTGCTTGCTGCGAGGAGGAAGGCTCTGCCTCGTCCTTATCATCAGACGGCACAGCGGCAGTAACCTCCTGAACGCCTGCAGTAGCCCTAGCATGTGGCCGCTCAGAGCTGCTGGCCGATGCCTCAGAGGAAGAATCTTCTGCTTCAGCTTGAGTGCCCTGTTCGGCTTCTTCATTGTTTGACTTGCTGGCCTTGGTTTCACTACTTTCCTCCTCATTATCCTGATTTTCGGTGTAAGATTCGTTCGTCGGCGAGCCCCCCTCTGTTTTCGCCTGAGGGCTGCTGCTGTCATCTCTACTGCTATTCTCCGCTGCTGCTTCTGATTGCTCTCCGGCCTGCCCCTGCTCGCTTTCTTGTGACGCTCCCTCTTTCTGGTCTTCTCCTGCCGACGATTCATCACTCTCCTCAGTAGATTTTCCCGCTTCACTGGCTTTATCATCCTCGTCGGGTTTTTCTTCCTCGGCTTCGCTTTCCGCCTCACTGCTCTGCTTATCCTCTTTCTCAGAAGAGCCACCTACCTGCAGGGCCGAAGCCCCATGATATCCATGAAGGCTAAGCCTCTCCAGCAACGGTGCTTTCTCCTCTCCGCGAGAAAACAGCCGTCTGTCTGCCCTTCTCACCGCACTCCCGTTTATTTCCTCATCAAAAAGAGCTCTATTTGATCCGTTTAATCTCAGATGATTCTCTGCCAAAGTCTCATCCGAGTCCTCGTAGTCTGAAGCCCAAGCACCTTCGTCTATTAAGGAATAAGGGCTAGAGGACGGTGGTCGGCCGGCTGCCGGACTGATGGAAGAAGAAAAGCCGGATGAAGGATGCAAGGAGAGCAAATTTCGTGGAAGAGACAGTGATTGCTCACTCGGAAGGACAGAACTCGCTCCCTTCGCTGCAGCAACGGAGACAACACAAGCACGCACAAGCCGGACAAGATGACTAGAAAGGCAAATGGATTACCTCGAAGGAAAAGGGAGCCAGCAAATGTCGCTTCGTTATAATTTACTGATACTGCAGCAGGACGGATTTCCCCCATTCTGCAAGGACATATAAGCAAGATTCACTATGCGGTCCGTGAAGATGCAAGGACCCATGCCCCAGAGAGGCGACATTGCGGACAGCAGGAACCGACTAAGAGGACACTCTGATGATCATGCATTCAATGGGCGCTGCGTCGCATTTTTCTCCCGCGTACGCATATCTCTGGTCTTAGTGGGTGGTGAGGAACCTTGTTGGCATCAATGAACAGTTTATCCAGCCCCTCAACGAGATGCACCTCTCTCTGTTACCTTACGAGCATTTCAATAAGAATATATAATGGAATAAAGGAGAAAATACAACACTTCTGTTACCCTTCTAAAGCCAGAAAATGCAACGGGCATAACGAGACAAAGACAGCAGGCGCAGCCTTCATGGCTGTTGCGTTCTACGCCTCGAGCTGCTACCTTCCTGGGTGCATCCATCTTACTCATCAAGGTGAAAATGCAAGCAAAAACTGCTGGAGCCGAGCGCCTCCATAGCGCGCCGCCCTCTCCGCCGCCACCCATTCTGCTTCCCCCGAGGGTCTACAGCTGAGGTCTCAGCCGTAAAATGATGCCCTAGGGGTCAGAATCATTGGTCCTATGACAATAAAGTAAAAAACGGCCCAGAATATGCTTTAATACGGCGTAAACTTAGGAGAGGGAAATGAACGGAAGCTTTATGCTCGGGGCCTTAGGCTCGCAGGTCGGCACCGGTTGCATTTTGCAGACTCGAAAGCTACACTGGGCACTTCTCTTCATAGGTCTCGGGAATTTTCAATGTAAACCAATAGCTCAATTGAGGTTCTAGCCTCAACTGGGTTCGTGATGCAGAAGAAGACAAAAAAGCTTCCACTGTTCAAGCGGTGGTTCGTTGATGCGGATTTCACCCTCATGCAAATCAGTCCACCGAGAAGTGACTGAGATGCACTTTGACATAGAATTTTACGCGAAACTTAATATGTTTGAGGACTTGTCAGCGTGTTTGTATTTCGTGCATTCATGCATTGCAAAACTCGTTTCCTGGTGGTACAGCACATAGGCCCGTCGAATTTGTACCACTACTTCCGTCTGCGCACTAAACCCTGGCTGGATGACATGAAACAATCGACCCCAAATAAATATGAGACAGGTAACCGTTGTGGACGTTTTATCTACATTGTCTTCTTTGAGGCGTACCGGCAGAAGGGGACCGATGGCCACAGAGATTCTGCACCGCAAAATGAAAGTTCAACATCCTGATCTCCGTAACTTAAGCTTGAGTATGATCTGAACTTGAAAATCTTACATCTAAAGATGTAGTGGCCAGATCTCCAGGTATAGGTGCTCACCTTTTCATCATAGTACTCCGGCAATTCTGTGCACTCCACAAGTGCTGAGCATGAAACCTCAGATGGCTAAAAGACAGAGTTTATCACGCGAACACCGTCTGTTTGTGTAGTGTAGCACAATGTGTTGCATGGTCCTGCTGTGGTCTAGTTAAACACACAGGAGAGCATGTTAATGGGTCAGAAGTAGTGGAAAACGGCAAATCGAATAATGGTTTCAAAGGAGACTGTGATACTACTCTACGGTGATGAAGAAACACCCTTACAGAAGGAATAACTTTTTTACCGAGCTCAGCCTAATATTTGCAGTCATATGACTACCGTCTAGAAACCAGTTAATCAACCATTGCCTTCAAAGGCTTTCTCTGTCGTGCATTGCAACAGGCAATGTTCACCACGACAACTTGTACGTGTGTAGATTTTTATGAAGGCACGGCAGAACAGGCCAGTAAACTTATGATGCCTATCCAAAACGATACTTCTGGAGAATCATTGAAGCATCAAGACCTGAGTCAAGTGTAATTAAACGACGTTGTGAGCAGTGACACAGTTGGAGCAAGGGATGAAGCGGCAAATTTGCTCAGTCCGTCGGCAGAGACATAGATGCCATCCTGACCCTGGGCCTCCGGCGATGCGACAATAAAGCCTATGATGATATCCACCAAAAGTGCTTCAGGAAAGCTTTGCAAAAGGCCGCGTTCAAAGAATTGTGCGGCTTCAGCTGCGGACGCTGTGGGCATGTTTTACCGTTCACCGCCGCGCATCCTAGGCCACTAAAGAGGCATTAAGAGTTTGCCCATCCTAATGATTGCCACCATGGTCAAAACCAACATGATCATGTGCTTTGCACAAAGCATCAGGGCGGAGCGAAGTCGAAGTGTACAGGTGACGGAGCCCCTGCTTTGTTTCGCGCCACAGTAGGCCATCCTCTACGTGATAGTGCTTTACCTGCTTACCATTTTACAGAGCGTGCGAATGAGCATCGAACGCATGAAACTCACTCCCTGTCGATAGAAACTTGAATCACCACAGACAAGGGCGGATCAAAAGGACAATGGCGAATCGCTGGGGCATCGAAAGAGCGCTTTGGGCACCAAGCTGATAATGTCGTTGTATACTCCACCCCAAAGTCGCGCTGTAGGAGGCACCCAAGCCAGCAGACAACTCCAGCTTTATCAAACTTATGAAAGCTCTGCGCAAGGTGCACCAAATGCTGTTACTTTCTCTTAACAGTATTCTGATGCCCATAAAAATAGTGGTATTTTCGGGTCCTACCACACCCCATTAACTTTCTTGTCTCGCAGGGACGTCACAACTCGGTTGTGGTGATGCAATACGAATAACGAGCGGCAATTTGGTGTTTTGAAGCACCCGCAGCCTGTTGAAAGAGTATAAGACTCATCACCACTCTACTAAGATTGGTCATTAGGTAGAAAGGACGCTTACAACTGTGCAGCGCAAGCACCGGAGAAAATAAAAAATGTAGGACAGCCGATAATCGCCCTTGCTGCGGCACCAGCCTTCTCTGTGCAGGAAACAGACCGTATTTTGTAAGGTGAATCAACCAAGGAAGCATTGACTCTAGCGAAGTCAGGAAATCGGACTCGGCAAGAAGATGGAAGCCCATAGATAAAGCTTTGCACGTCGTTGCGGGTGCGCTACGGTAAAGACTGCACTTCGATTGTTTAGTTTTGCCGGATCTACCCTATGCATCTGAAGCATTAAATTACGAAAGGCAATTGTTTTCATGAAAGGCGAATTTGGCATACCTTCCCATACCAGCAGTTGTCCCGCAACAGCTGCATAATAAAGAAAGCAGTTGCAAAGCCATTCTGGCGAAATGCATCCTCCAGCCCATCTTCTTTCACTGCGCTGCTGCGCTGCCCACACGGAGGCGCTGCCTCACCTTGTTGAGGTACCAACACCACCTCTTTCCGCGTAGATGGGACAAGCCTCGTTAATAAGACCATGGGTTACTTCCACAATGTTCTTCCTGGTACACGGACCGGCACAGCACGCAGCTATGGCCGCTTGTGCGCCTTCCAGTGGGTCACCCACGGCATACGTATGATGGTCTGAGCATTGTCAAGCAACATTATGATGGACCCGATTTGGGGGGTGCAGCATGTAACCGCAGGAGCCTGGTAAGTCCCTGCGTTACGCCGCCTGTCCGCACACATGAGCGATGGGGACTGCGCAAACGAGTTAAGTGGCAACTGCACTTCTACATTATCTCCTCAACTAACAACTTTCTTCTAATCCAGTGTCTAGTAACTCTAGAAACTCCTCATTACAAATGTGGTCTGTTACCAATGCATAATTGAGCCATGGTGAATCGTCACTGGCAGCTCGGTCCTCTGTAGCCCGCATGACTGCCCCGCAGCTTGTGTGGGGTTTCCATTTATCTCAAGGGCCTTCTTTGCTTGCCAAGCAGCCTGCTTCCTCTTGATTAAGTCCCTTTGTTCAAGTGAATCTTCTTGTGCTAGGAGCAAGAGAGGTGTTGGTGTGCTTCCCGGGGCTGCGCATGGGCGACGTCTCGCCCTGGCGTGTCTTTTCCTTGCACATGTATTGCAGGCTAGGGCCGTTTGACACAACGCTGACAGCCAGACCTTCCACATCTAGATTCGGCTCATCCTCTCAGCCAAAAGATAAGGGGGGTGAGTTTATTTGCTCCTGAACCCTCAGGGAGTTCAGCGTTTGTTAAAGCTCCACCGCAGAGCTGTTGAGATGCTAGTCCGCTGCCCATCCTGCGGCCATCTGAAGCTACGCTGTGCGTAGACCGCGAAATAAACCACTGGTACAGCGGTCGCTCTTCTACGTAGTGTTATATGTCTATGTACTGATCTAAGGCAAGTCTCCGCTTCAGCTTGTTCAATTCTCCCATAGTATGCTGTTCAGCTGATCTTGCCATAAACCAATGAGTCAGTGTTTGTGTGGGGGCTTGAGGTGTAGTGATCTTAGCGGGCAAGCAAATTCCTCCTTATGAATAGAGCCACCATTCAGGCGTTTTCCCTTTCAATATACATGCCTCTAAAAATACCCGTTTCTCTTTATTTTGGAATTACAAAGTGAGGCACGTCTCCAATCACCATATGAAGGTTTCGAGTAATAAGCCATGGTTTTAAGGCCTTTTTCCTTTTTCTGGTCGACGCACATCGACACAGGCATAGACAGTTTACTGACTGAAAAATCGTGCTTGTCTACTGGTTGTGTAGTTACTGCGTTCACACCAGCTGGCAGGCTGGCCGTTGCCGCCCCAAGGGTCGTTGTACCACTGCCTATTTCCAGAGCAGAAGGGTTGTGTCACAGGCTACTGCCAACGAGAATAAACTTACTGACTACCACATTACGTTGACCCGAAGCGGAGAGCTGTTATAGGGAGACTTGACATACCAATACATCCACAGTCAGTGGATGAGCAGGCAATAGCTGCATCGAACCCAGTGGTGATAACACCTGGAACTCTCCATTTAGCACCTTTGTGAAAAAAACTTTAACTCCACACTGTCTGCAAGTTTATTAAATTGTTACTGCGTGTTTTGCAAAAACACTCTTGCGTTCCTTTGCCCACGCCGCTCAGCATTTTGGTTCGAGGGAAGGGGAATACGTAGGGGATGCTCGGCTGCATTCTCTAGGCACTCTTAGCATCCACAAATTATTGCATACAAAATCCACAGCATACCCACACAGCAGTTGCCTTCTTGTATCGAGCAAGCAGTACTCTGCAATAGGTAGGATCGACGAACAGACGAGCCACTCAGTCAGTTCCTTACGAATTCTAAAGCAAAATAAATCTAGTGTAGTAGAAAGTGTGCAAACGTAGCTCAGTCCCCTACACCGAACGTTGAAGTGGCCTTTGTTTTTATCGTTGGCGCCAAGTCAACTCTGTAGAATGGGTCTGCATCGATTATAGTTGTTTTGCGCTTCGTTTACACGCCCCCTATCGAGATGCAAAAATAGAGGACAGTCCGGGAGCGAGGGCTGCTGCTGCAGGCCATCCTTAGGACTCATAGAAAATGCACGTTGTGTGCTACGCGCAATAGTCCTGCAGGGCCTTCCTGCCGCTGCTTTTGATATAGCGGCTGCGACCGTCAGGGCGAGAGTTGTTGCCAAGCCAGTTTACCCATATAGGGCTTATTTGCTGGGAGTCTCACCGCCGCATGTGCCCTGCTCTTCGGAGGGCCTTTAGATTGCCATGAGGTTTAGGCGCGCATGGACATTGAGTCACTAGGTCACTTTGCTGCCCATGAGGAAACCCCTTTTTCTAGCGAAATAGGTAGAGGCCAGAGTGGCAATAGGGGGCCTTAGCAGCCCATAATATTTTCAGACAGGGAGGCGCAATAGCTGAAACGCACAAACTGTCTGCCCCGGGCGCGTCAAGGTCTCGTACCAAAGGGTCCCTCCAAACCAGCACCAACAAGCTAGAAGCCCCCTGAAGCAGCAGATGCCATGGCCTCGGCTCGTGCTGCACTCGTAGACGCGAAGGTATGCGTTGCCACTGCAGAGGAAACATCCTATGCACTGTCATTCCCAGTAGGCACTTCAGCACTAGCATCGACAGACGCTGCCGGTGCTTTTGATTCGTCTGCCTCTGCTGGCACTTCTGCTTCTGCTGGCGCTTCGTCCTCTGGAGGGGCTCCTCCCACCAAGCCATAAGCCTCTGGATTTTCGACGTACGCTGCAGGCAGCAAAAGCGACAACGGCAGCAAGCAGTCCCTTTGAAACGGCAGCCGCAGCTCGAACAGACGCGACTGCAGCGCTCGCCACATCAGCAAAATGAGGGCCGTGTTGGTTCAGCGTAGCCTCTCACAGGTAGCGGAAGCAAGGGCCTCAGCAGCCGTCATGTCCTGCTGTAGGTACTGGTCGTAAAAGTACTGAAGCAGAAGCGAAAACACGCACAATACTCCACTAAACCCCGGCCCTCGATACCACGCACAGAAAAATCCCGAATAAGGGATGCCTTAGCCCCAGACCCCAAACTCTAGACCGCGCACCTCGATAAGATCCCGCTTGCTCCATCCCTCAAGGTAGGCATCGGAGGCAAGGAACTCCGGGGCCTTTGAATTAAAGTATTCCATCAGGACGGTCTCCTGCTCGGTTGTTCGTTCCCATCCCCCACCAGCAGCACCCTCGTCTTCGTCCCCCTCTTGGTGTTGCTGCTCAGCATCAACTTCCTCCGGTGCTTGATGCTGGTGCTGCTGGGGAGGACCTGCCCCTCCGGCGGCCCCTGCAGAGGCCTCTTTGCTAGGGCCTGATGAGACCCCCTCCCCAGCCTCTCCGTCCCCGTGCGGTACACCCTCTTGCTGCTGCGGCTGAGGTTGCAGGCTTTGCATCCCTTGCTGCTGCTGCAGCAACAGCTGCTGCTGCTTCCTCTGCTTCTTGGCCTTCGCCTTACTCGCCGAGGACTTCCGCTTCTTAGGGGGTACAGCGCCTAGCATGAGAGCACCTGGGACCCCTGGAAGCCCCATCGCGGGATGCCGGAAGGGTGGCGGAGGGGGGCCCCCTGGATACCACGGTGCACAAATTCCTCTGGGAGGCTCTGGAGGCGGTGGCTTTGGGACGTCTCCTGAGGGCCCCTGTAACGGGGGGCCCTGCATGGGCCTTGGGGTGCGCAATATGAAGGGAGGGGGCCCCTCTGGATGGGGGCCCCCTGGACCTCCTGGCCGCCTTCCCCTGGGGCCTCCAGGAGGTCCATAGCCCCCCTCAAGGACTCCGAAGGGGTGACTTCGGGGCCCTCCCGGAGGAGATCCATACACCTGGGGATACGCTTGCATATCGGGGCCCCCTCCCAGCGGCGGGCTTGCGTACGGGGGCCCCATGGGGGGCCCTGACGCGCAGTGGGGCCCCCGGAATGTGGGGCCCCCAAACGGCTGATGAGGATTTGGGGCTCCCAAAGGATGGGGAAGAGGGGGAGCCCCTGCTCGCGTGGGAGGAGGAGGGGGTCCTGGCTGCATCTGCTGTCTCTGTGGGGCCCTCTGTTGCTGCTGGTCATACAGTTGTTGCTGCTGCTGAATCTGCTGCTGATTCTGCTGTTTAAGGGGTGCATCGGCGGCGAAGCGCCGCCGCAGCTCGGGAGCCTCGGAGAGGAATGAACCCAGCAGCATGAGTGTATGGGGGTTGAATTTATGGTACTCCTGGGGTGGAATGTGCAGATCCTCGCATGCGGGGCCTCTGGAGCAACGGCCTCCCAGAAGGAACTCTTTGCACGCTCGTGGAGGAGGGCCGCCTCCAGAGGATCCCGAGGAAGCCCCCGAGGTACTGCTTCCAACTGCGCTTCCCCCCTGAGGAGGCACTGCAGATACACCACTCCTCACAGTCTTGTGCAGGGGGGCAGGGCCTCCCCCACCGCTGGGAGCGGCCTCTCCCTGCGGTTGCTGCTGTTGGTATTGCTGCTGCAGCTGCTGCTGGGGGTGATGCTGCGAGTACTCATCAGGGGGGCCCCTCGGCCCGCCGTATGGCCCCACCTGAGGCCACGGCGCAGGCATGAAGCCTTCATCCCTGGGGCCCCGCCACATGCAACCGCCGTACTGTCGCTGCTGCTGCTGCTGCTCTTGCTGCCAGCAAGCAGGCGACATCCCGGGAGGAGGATAGTGAGGCACTCCCTGAGGCGGGAAGGGATGCGCCCCCTGCAGCGCGTAGGTGCCTGCAGGGGGCCCCTCCTGGTCACAGCCCCTCCTCTTACCCCTTAATGTGGGCCCTTGGGCGCTGTAAAAGCCCTCAGGGGCCATTAGGTGTGGGTGCTGCTGCATCATCTGTGGGGTGCACGTCCCAGGGGGCCCCCACCCATACCCCGCTGCGTGCTGCTGCTGCTGGTGCTGTTGCTGGTGTTGCTGTTGCTGCCAGTCCGCTGACGCCGTACTCGCGGATCCCACTCCGCCCGCTGTTGCTGGGGCCCTCTCTGCAGTTGCTGCAGCGGGAGCAGGGGCTGATCCGTTGGTGGCCCCCCGCAGCCTGCGCTGCAGCTCTTCTCTGCGGTGTTTCCAGCGCTCTCTCTCCTCGTTGGGGCCCCCCACTTCTTTGGAGCTCCCGCTGCTCTCCTTAGGGGAGAGCCCCTCCCGAGGAGGGCCCCCCCCCCTAGATCCAGAAGGCCTCGATTCAAAAGAGTCCCTACGGGAGCGTTCGTACCGCAAGCTGGAGCTTCGCCTCTCTCTACAGCCTCGGCTGCTACTGCGTCTACTATGGTTGCTGCGGCTGCGGCGTCCCCCTTCTCGCCCTCTCGAAGTGTGTCTCAGAGGCCCCTCCTCCTTCCACTGGCTGCTGCTCCGCCTACTGCTTCCACTGCTACTGTGACGACGCCTCCTACTGTAGACCTTGCTGCTGCTGCGCGAGAGCCTCCGCGAGGAAGAGTGGGCATCCCGGTGCCTCCCCCACCTTTCCCTGGGAGAGCTGGAATCCCTGGGCCCCCAGGGGGGCCCCGAGGGCCCCCCTGGAGCCTCCCTGGAGGGGCCATGGTGCACTCTGCGAGGCTCGCGATAGAAGGGAGAGGGCGATCGCGGGGAGGGAGACCTATAGCGTGGAGGGGCCCTGTGGGTGCCCTCCGCATGAGGGCCGCCCCAGTCCCCCCGCTGGTGTCGAGGAGGACTACAAGGCTCTGGGAAGGAGTCCCTTCGTCTTGAGGGGCCCCCTTCTCCGAAGGAATCCCTGCTGTCGATCCGCCTGCGTCTGCTGCGTCTGTCATGGGGCCCTCCATAGTGGCGGGGGGAACCCTCTTCCTGAGTCACGCACCTATCTCTTGAGGCGACTCCACTGGGAATATCCTCAGAAGGTCGCGTCCCCCTGCAGGGAGCCTGCAGCTCCTCATAGTGCCTTTGGCGGTGCTCAGGGGGGGTCCTGAGCACTCGCTGATCCGGCGAAAGGCCTCTCCTCCTCCCCGCCGATTTCTCCCACCTTGAGGGGCCCTCAGGGCCCCAGTCTCCCTGCTCTGCAGGAGAGGAGTACCGGGGGCCTGGCGGGGGGGGGGCCCCCCTATCCCCATCTCTCCACTCGACGTAGGAGCTCCTGTGCGGTGAGCTCCTCTCTCTGAGCTCTTCAGGCCCATACCGGTGCGCGGATCCCCTGGAGGTGGCCACATAACCATCGGGGCCTCTACTGTGGTGCCGGGGGCCCCCCTCACTTGCGTGCTCGTGGGAGGGCCCTCTGGGGGCCCCAGGAGAGCGAGAGGGCCTCTCCCTCAGGTGCGGCGTGCGAGAGACATGAACAGGATACTGACGACTCTCGGGAGACACTCTACTGACTCTTTGCACGCCGCCTTCGCGAGCGTCTTGGGGGCCGCCACTGACCTCCCGCACGCGCCGGTGCTCTCCAGCGGGGGCCCCTGAAGGGATTACCCGGAGGGGGGCCCTCTCGGACCCGAAGAGAGCATTCCGAGCCAACCCCTGCTGTGTCTGATTCTGATTCTGCTGCTGATGTTGTCTCGTTGGCGAGGAGGAACTGTCTTGCGGCTGCAGCAGCTGAGGCCACACACGTTTGCACACAGGAGCACCACGATAGGACACGCACTGTGCCCAGGGGCCCCACCCCCCGCCCCCCAATAAAACTCTCAAAGAACAAATACAGCACCCAACCAACCGCTGTGCATCACACATGCCTGTGATCACTGCCGCTGCCGCTCCATCCGCTACTTGAGCGGCGCAAACCGCCGCAAGTCCAGGAAATGCAGCACTCACGACAGAAAAAGCTGCTGGTGAAAAACACCCAAGCAGGATGTGCACCAATAGTATGCTCTAAAGGATAGCCAATACAAAAAATTCACACTCGCTTCAGCACGCGCTGCTCATGCAGACGTCACGCATTCCCCAACAACGTGGCACTGCGGGGGAGCCTCGAACTCCGTCCAACAACTCGAACCGCCGCAACAAACACACAACCAAACACTTCCCGAAGCCCCCCGAGGTCTTTCAACGACAAAATCCCAGAGATCCTGAGATAATCCTCGAGAAAGGCTCCCGCCAATGCTCTCCACAGGAGGCCGAGCACCCGCGTCTTCACCCCGTTCCCTCACCTCCATGCCTGTCCCACCGTAGCCAACTACATAGACCTGCTACCCCACGTATTGAAGCCTCCTGTGCCGCCCCTCCATACACACATATGCATAGATATAACTCACTTTTTCCTTTCGGTGTTGCTGCCTAATGATGTCGCTAAGAGCCATGAAAGGGAGCTTCCGTACACCCCCCGAGCTTGCACCCGCGTGCACTTCTGAATCTGGAGGAGGGCCCTTGCGCGGATTGAGTATGGGGGAGCTACCAGCCGGTCTAGGAACAAATCCTCCAGGCCCAGGGGAGTCCAGTGTACCGCCCCTGCGGGCACTCGAACCCATAACAAGTACAGTCCGTCTAGCGCCATCCCTTGGGGCCCCATCCCTCCCGCTGTGCCATTCCTCGTCCCATGGGCCCCCTGGGCTCTCCTGAGCCCCGCCCTTGTTGATACGTCTGCTCATTTGCCGCTATTTAGCTTCCTGCACGCTGAGGGGCCCCCTGGGAGGGGCCCACCCTCTCTGAGGAGAGGCCCTGGGGGATGCCTCAGGCCCCTCCGCACCCACAGAAAGAGAACTCTACGCCACTCTTGGTATCTGCTTCTACGAGAGTCCTGCCGTAGACATCAGAGCCCCACACGCAACAGAGACCCACCACCGGCAGCAGCAGCTGCTGCTGCCGCTGAAAGGTGGAAATGGGGCACCGAGATGGCAGCCTGCAGGAGGTGGAAGCCCCATGCAGCGCAGAACAAAGGACAAAACAACAATCGAATACAAACACACAAATACTATCAATGGGAGGGAAGCAAACTGCAACAACTGCAGCAGCTACACTAGCAGCGGCAGCAGCAGCAGCGGCCGTTGGCGCTGCGGAGACAGCCCCGTACAGAAGCCGTCTAGCGTAGCAATTCGTATCAAAGGGTGGGGGCCACAGGCCTTCCTGAGCATAATAAACCACTTCTAGTGAAAAGAGATGCCCCAAGCAAAGCACAGTCAGCACAACAACAGGGGCAGCACCGCACCTTCCGCGAAAACTACCGAGCAACCCTCAGGCATACAAGGACCTCTTACTGGTAAAAGAGACAGAGACAAGGCTCTGGAAGGGCCCCAAAGGCCTCCTGTGCTGCTTTCGCATTGTTTCTGGCTTGGGGGCCCTATGGTCGTACAATTTTAGGAGTATTACTACCAGCTGCCGTGCATGCGCCAATCAGTACACAAGCCTCAATCTTCTTGTGAGCAGGCTTATTGCCAGCTCTAGGCACTCCCGACTGACCACGGATACATGCCATATTAAGCGGTGTTCTGTGTGCCTTACGAGCCCTTTCCTCCAAAGGTGGAAAACCGTGGTTGCACAGGGCTAATCCAACACTCCATTGAAGGTCTTTCTAGAAAAACATCTGACTCCAGCATCAATGCGCCCTTAATGGAAAGTTGTTGAGCGTCTGAGTATATAACGGAAGACCGCTGCCTTCCCGCTGCCAGCGCTTCTAATAGTTCTCGACCAGAAGGAAGAGCTAAGGCTATTGTAACGGGCTATGCTACACCTAAGCACTGTCTGCTACACTTTTAATACTTTGCTATTGAATAGTGAAGAATTGAGTGGCCGGTTCGTCTGTTCGTGTATCCTTTTATCTCAGAGTACTAGTTGAGCAATACAAATAGGAGAAATGGTGCGTGGGCGTACGATGGATGCTATGTCGAACTGCCTGCAAATGCTTGCAGTGCTTCTTAGAGGGTGCTGCAACACGCCACCCGGTGGCCCCTCTCCCCTCAGGTCGGAATGGGTTTGGGCGGGGGAAGGGGAAGACGGTAATTCTCTGAAGAGCACTTCCGCTCTGCGAGGCTTGTATTGAGTCTTGAATGCTTCCCTAAGGAGAACTTAGATGGAGCACTACTGTCTATGGCACTGCCTGGTTGGATGCAGCTGTGTAGTTGCTCATCCAACGGTGGTGAATGTAGTGGCGTATCAGGTTTACCAGTAGCAGCTGTCTGGTTTCGATCAATCTGTTGTAAAAGTCAACTAAATAGTTGGTTCGGTGGGACTACTGCATTTCAAGCTTCCATACAAGCGTTGACACATCTGTTTATGTCAAAGTTAGCTCATCGGCAAGCTCTGCGGGTTTTGAGAAAGCAGAAGCATGGATATTGGACGATTGAGTGGTAGATCAAAAATCATAAGATTTTGCGTCGCAGCAGCCACAGCGGAGACGAATAGCTGCTTTATCAGCGACTTGTTTTGGGTCGACACAAAAGTGTCACGTCAGATGGCTGCAGCATGAGCAGTGATTTAGTGACTAAACAGCTGATTAATGGGGCTTTAACTAACGATGGACTAGTCGAAGGTTCAGGAGCAAATGAGCTCGCTTTCTACGTCTTCGGCTGAAGAGGATCAGTATGCTCGAGCATTGGAACCTATGGATATCCAGGCGTGTCAGCTGGCCTTAGCCTACGATCTAAGGTACACAATGAAAGCACGCCTAACCGAAGTTCAGCTCAGAAGGAGGTCGCAGACAGCCCCCTGAAAATGCACCTGCGTCTAGTGTGGAAACATAAGCCACATAGTCCGAAAGTGCAGGCGCATGGAGCAAGTCAATGAGCTTAGGCAATGCAACCAGTCCTAGCAAAAACAGGCCGCAGGGGGGCAAAGAAGGCGATTAGAAAACGAAAAGCCCCCAGCAAGCTGCGGCGCTGTCAAGGGAACTATAGAGGGTCCCGTGGCCGGTGACAGCTCATCGCTGGTCAATTCTGCACCAGCAACAGTTTTCAGTAGTGACGAGAAGTTTTTGGCGTTGCTGGACCCTGGACCTAAAGTAGATCTGTTAGCTGAGAAGAGAGTGCAAAAGTGCAATCTGCCACTTCACTCGTTTGCGCAGTCCCCAACACTTATGGGTGCTGACGGGCGGCAAAACACAGGGACTGGCAAAGCCACTGCGGTTAAATGCCGCTTACAATTAAAATCAGATCCATCAGAATGTTCCTTGACACCCATCGTGGACCCTTGCATCAGGAAGTAATTCTAGGTATGTCATGGTGGAGGGAGGAAGGTGAGCGGGGGGAACGCGCTCAAGCGGCCACAGTTGAGTGCTGTGAAGATTTGTCTATCAGGAGAATCTATAAAGCAGCAGCTCCTGGCTTCTTCATCAAGGATCACGTCATCTTTGGGGAGCGGGGTAGAGATGGTATCTCAACGAGGCAAGGCGATGCCTTGTTGCGGGCAACTCAGCAGCACAGTGACAAAAGACGGTTCTGAGCATGCATTTCGCCTTAATGCAACTGCAACTAGTTCTTAGTCAGGTAATTCAATCGTGCTTTTGGCGTAGGAATCGGGCGAGCGCCATTCGGAATTTGCGGACGTCCTAAATAAAAACGGGCTGCCAGCACGGGACCAACCTGCGGTTCGTCGAGAGCACCTTATAAAGTTGATCGCCGTATCACAGCCAAGCTTGTTCCACGGTAGTTAAATCCATCACTGCACTAAGATGATGTTATGTAGGCAGATGATTTGCTGGAATAAAGCGAAACGCACGAATCGTTCATCGCTCTTGGGATGATCCAAAGCTGGTGCCGAGAAAAACCGGAGGTGACACGGGCAAGCTAATTTCGTGACCCTTAACACGAATATTGTAAAGCAAGAAGCCTTGATCACTCGTTTTGGCTTCCACTTGGCAGATTACAAGGATCAACAGCCTGGCCGACATTTGACACCACAGAATCGTACTAACAAATCTCCATTCAACCTGATCAATGGCACAAAACGGCCTTCTACATACATACTCACAAGCTCCCATACAACCGTATGCCCTTTGCATTTATTAATGCCCCACATGAAATGCAGTGGCAAGCTAAACAAAACTTTATCAGCCCGCAGAGGAAGGCTGGATGGTTGTATACTCGGGGAATGCCCTAGTATTCAACCGAAACGTTCAAGTGGATCCACAGCAACTTCGGCGTGTGCCTCAGCTGTTACAGGACAAGCAATGGTATGTGAAGATACGCAAGAGCTCGCTTCTTATTGAAAGAATTGCTTTTTAGGTTTTCATGCTTCAGATGCACGGGAAAGATCCGGCAAAAATTGGAACACTCAAGGTGTGGCCTTTACCATCACGCACCCGCAACGACGTTGCAAAGCTCTATGACCATCCACCATATTACCGAGCTTGCTTTCCTGGAGTCGCTAGACTCGCGGCTTCCTTGTTTGATCTACCTAAGAAAATACAGTCTGTTCCCCGCACAGAGAAGGCTGGTGCCGCCGCATGGGCGCTTATCGGCCGTCTTCCATTTTCTCTGGTACGTACGCTGCCCAATTGCATGCGTCCTTACTACCTAACGACTTATTTTAGAGAACTGGCGGCAAGTCTTACACCCTTTCAACGGGCTTCGGGTGCTCCGAAACAATCATCAAAGTGCTGCTCGATATTCTCATTGCGCCACCACAACCGACTTGTGGCATTCACTGAAGACAAGAAACTCAATGGGGTGTCTTGGGGGGGCCGAGAAAAAGCACTATTTATATGGTCATCAGCACACTTTTCAAAGGAAATAACAGCATTTGGTGCATCTTGCGAAGAGCTTTTAGGAACTTGAGAAAGTTGGAGTTGTTAGCTGGCTTGGGTGCTCAGGGTCCTGATAACGAGGCTCTAGGAGGGGCGCTATACAACTCATTTTGGGTAGTGAAATTGCCTAGGATAGACCCCGGAAAGCTATAAGGAAACGCGCGGAGAATTAAAAATTTCGCCCATAATCACGAGGAACAAGGAATTAGGGCGCGCCAGAAGGGTGACGGTACACAGGGACAGGTGTATCTACACGGGTACAGCTTTCGCCGTTGGGCAAGCAGCTGCAATCCCACACTTGAGTAAATGGCCAAACGAAGAACAGATAATAATGTTGTGTGCCTGTGCTCTTGTAGCACACCAAGGCCCTTAAGTACTATCAGAACTGCTGTAAAGGTAAGCAGCGATCCAAACAAGGGTAAAAAGGGGGTGGTGATGCAATTGGCTACCTCAGTGGTCTCTACAGGCAAGGCCTGGGACGGCCCAAGCAAACATGTAACCCCAAGGATGACCAGAAAAGAGAGTGCAATGGCAATCGCTGCATCGAGGAAGCACACACTTTGCCGAAAACGATATTCACCCTTGTGTTCTGTGACTTTCTGATTCCGGTTTCTGAAAAAAGTAGCGAGTGCTTATTCCCAAGGTCGCTCTCTTCATTCAATAAACAGCAGGTACTTGAGGAGTGCGTACCTGCAGTCCCTGAAAAACTTGGCCACTTTTGCCTCTGATCTACCAATTGAGGGGGCTCAAAGTCTTTTGAGAAAGCGTGTCGACATTCCCTAGGGCCCCACGGTTGAAGTAAGGAAATTGGCCCTTGCCCAGCACAGATTATGTTAAATTAATAGCGGGGTTTCTGGTTGCAGCCACGAGCCGGCAGGATGTATGTGCAGTCCATGTGCACAAGGAGAGAAGCGCGTGCGCGTATAGTGCAGACAGACCGAGTGACCAAATCCAACGTTCAGAGGTATGTATATTGGGCGGTCAAGAAGGAACTGCAGCAGGCCTCAGCTTATTCACTCAAAGACAACGTTCCGTTCATCGAACTGCCACACTGATGGCTACCTGGCGACTGTCACAGTTTTGTGGTTTGCTCTTCGGAGCAGTGGCTGAAGGCCCAATGTCATGCCCAGCTAAGAAAGCCCGGCAGGAAGATCTGCTATGAGCACCTACTCATAGAAGGCAAGGGATGCAAGGGATATGAGCCTCAACCAGGTGAGCTGCCCCAGCTAGTTAGATCATTTCCTGGCTACTCATATCGATAGGCACATTTCTCTTTTGTTGTTACCTAATGGAGCGATAAGTCACAAACAGCTCAGTGATACCTGGCCAGGCTTTCGCAACATACAAAGGTTTACACAAAAAAGTTTCCTATCCACGAATGCACACTCCTACCCGTTAAACACCGCAGATAAGCAGCCAGCGGAAGAGCCGTGCAATTAGTTTGACCAAATAAATTCATGCTTGGAGCACCAGAAGGGTCCACTGGATTTCAACATGGAGACGGCGGGCGCACAATGACGCTCTACCATCCGTGGGTGCTCGTAGCATATGTTTTTGCTGGGCATAACATTGGGCCTTCAGCCACTGACTGCTCCGAAGAGCCAAATACAAAAGTTTGACACGACACTAAACATTTTATTTGCTTGATGACCTTATAGGATGTTCGCTGGCTTGATTTTTTGGGCTCCCTATGGCTCTCTGCCTAGCCTTACGGACAGAGGGGCTCTACGATGTTCTAGTAAGCCGCCTTTTTGCAGCCTCATCATCAAAGCTCCGCTCTGCCGGCAGTTTGGGCTTGATAGGAGAAACAGTTTCTCCTCACTGAGGTGTTTGTACCCAGAGGACACTGCAATAAAGATCCAGCGGGAAGGCCCATGTAGCGGTCAATTGCTCACTGAGCCTACGCCAAGTTTTCTTGCGGTTGATATGAAAATATACTGGCCATCTTTCTGCCTGTAATTTTGGGAAATGGATGACTGAACCTTGTAGCATTCCCGCTAGTCCTGAGTCCGGGAGCGAAAAAGGACATCGGTGAAGGCGTCTCGCGCAACAACTGACCTTTCGAGTGTACGGGACGTTTCTCCAGGTGTATGCCCATCTTAGTACGCTTTTATTTGTCAAAGTACGAAGACATACTTTAAGGAAATCCAATAGATGAAAAGAAGGGAGTGGAGGCTGCGAGGGGGTAGAGCACAGAGCAAGAGGAGGTGAAGATAAAGCTGGTTGGCGGCTGGCAGTAGGTCTGTTTGTCGGCTTCCAATCGATTCAATCACTTTCGGAGGTGGCTGTGGCAGCTCTCCGCTTTTCTTCAGTTTATCGTAGCCACCTTCCTTTTTGAGTAAACTAGTTATTATTTTATGCTTTTCCCTCCACCAAAGAGTCCGCACACTGAAAGCCTTCAGTGGCGAGCCTTGCAGGGCGCTTTACCGTTGACTGACCAGAGCCGCGCGCTGTCCTACTAATGACACACACCTAAGCCGAATCCGGAGCCCAAGGCCCTTCGTAGTGCTCTCATATTTGGAGAAGTTCTCTTGTCCGTCCCCTCGGAATGCAGCATAGTTTCGCATGCAGTCCCGAAGCTCGAATCGGACCAGATGCCTTCGCGCCTGAGAACCACTGCACATAGAGCTGAGGCTTTGCGCGGGGTGCTGGTGGCTTTGTTTGCCCAGGGTGGCAGTTGAAAGGGTGGCGGTGAAGCTGCAGAGAGCGACTGAAGACGGCGCTGCGAGAACGGGAGGGAGGAGGGTAGTGCGCGTCAGAGCGTAGCGGAGTTGCAACGCATGTGATCCACGAAGATGGCCAGGCGGAGGGAATCGGGGGCTGGGCCCCACGATGACTCAATGTTGATGATTCCTCCCCCAGGATTCAAATTTATTCCTAGATATGAAACGGTCTGTAACGGCCTGGCGCGTCGACCCTCGGAGGCCGATATTTGACTCTCCTGCACCTTTGTCCGATACGGTGAAGGAAGCAGCAAAGGGATGTTTCCTGCTGAGCATCGGCTCATGTGTGAGGAGCTTGTGGTCTGCGCATCTATCTGTGCAGGTATGCGGGAAGCCGGGTTGTTTCGAGTGCTTCGACATTTACTGTGAGAGATGCGAGTCAAAGGACAGACGGATAATTGAGCTGGAGATGAGGAACAATGACCTCGCCAAGTACATTACACAACTGCAAGCCAGAGTCTTTGGACCCTCCAAACTAACCGCAGCACAAGCGCAAGGTCCCGCCCTCAAGTCGCCGCACTTCACGCAGCAGCAGCAGCCCTTAAATCCTCAACATCACGTGCAGGCAAATGGCGGTGACATGAGGCAAACTGCCCCACTAGGAACTTCTGCGGTATACCCCCAGCCCGGTAGTCAGGGTACGAGTTAGGCCCTATATATGTTTTCGTATCTCTAGATGCTGACATTCAGATAGGTATATATTGATCCAGAAGTGCAGTTGTTTGCGCATGCGCCTGCTTGCGCACCAATAGGTATGAAAAGTTCCTTCTGTTTCTAGCGAGACTGCGGCCTGTGCCTCGGCCCTCTCTATTTTGTTGCGCATGTGGGGCAGTCCTTTGGTTTCATTGTTCCTCTTTCAACGGCGTGCCTTTGCTTGTCTGCAGAACCGTTCGCGTATATTCAATCTCCAGTCCTCTTCGATCCAACACTTAACCTCTCCTATGTTGCCACCACTTCCTTCGCGCCAGCGAAACCGTAGCCCTTTACCACCCAGGGGGGTTTTACTTCCTGTGTATTGAACTCCCCCCAAGGAGCTCTCCTCATGGGCTTCTCTCGCGTTGCAGGAAGAGGGCCGTTCTCCAATTGCTTTTTGACCCTTTTATCCAAAGAGAATTGGAGGCGGGGGAGAGCAGCAGCGAAGGAGCCTGCACACTGCGGTATTTCCTGTGCTTGCATGTCCTCGGTTTCCTTGGTATGAGGGCCACTTCAGTACAGCGGAGGCAGGGGGCTCCTTTGCTCTGGTAGAGAGGGAGGTGGGGGTGAGGTCTACGGAAGAAGGAGTACTTCTCTAGCCGAGAACGAACCGAATCCATCACGGGTTAAGGGGCCTGCAACCCCACAACTTGTGGGGGATTCATCAAATGATGGTGTTGCCGTATACGGAATCCGTCGGCGCTATAGCAGTCCGCCGTTCGCGGCTGGCGCGAACACAGTGCAATAGCGTAAACCTTGTGTATAGTGTCAACTGGATATTTGTTTCTGTCTGCTAGTGGAGACTGACGGGAGCCTGTAGGATGTGCATTCTTGAGTTTCCTGCTCGAGTCTTATTCACTTTGCGCCCCACAAAGCGCTGCAAGGCTTTCCATATGCATGTAGAGATGCAGCATTAGAGCGGCAGCCAAGCGCAGAATGCTTTAGGCTACTGCTTTACTTTTCCAAGACGTTTAACTAGAAAGAGTTCGTTATGCGCCTTATCGTACGGCTTGTTGGGGGCCTGCGAAGCGTCGAGTAGACTGGGAGAGTGTACGGAGGTAATCAACATCGATCAAAAAAAATCAGGGCGTCCCCCTTCTTTGTTCTGCGTTAGTACAATTGGGGCTCCTGGTGGTTGAGGCAACGGGGATATCGTATACCGGTGCAGCACCAACTGCTGCTGCAGCTGGAGCGGGGTCGGCTGGGCGACCCACATGCCCGGTATTTGCTGGTGGTGCTGTATCCCCCTTGCATCAGCAGCAGCAGGGAAAGTATTTCTTGGCGTCGCTCTGCTAGTAGCAAGAAAAACAGGAGAGGGGCCCCCTTGGAGAGCCCCTGGGGCTGCTGTAAGGGTCTGCTGCGCACTTGCTGGAGCAGCAGCGGGAAGGCTCTCCCTCAGCCTCTGAAGTGGCAGCTGCGCGGGAGACCCCCTTTCAAGCACTGGCCACCCCGGCACCCTGGGGCCCAATGCCTGAGTGGCGGGCCACTGGACAAAAACTCTGTTAGCGGTGCTACTGTGCTGTTGCTCCTCTTCCTGCAGCTGTTTCAGCATTAGCAGCTGCCCTCTCTGCTGCAGCTCTCTTGAAGGAGCTGACGCCTGCTGTTGTTGCTGCTGCGGCGTCTCTGCTGACTGCGTTTCCAGCGGAATCTCTTCTGGGCTGCTCGGCGGTTGTTGCTGCTGCTTGCTTGTTGTGACGTGGGTGTTTTCTTGGGCTTGAGGGAGGTGTGCGTGCTCCTCATCTGCATGTAGTGGAGTGGGCACGGGCATTGGCCTCTGCACTGTTGTTCTTGTTCCAAGATGCTCTATTCGGGGCTCGGAATTGGCAGTTTTCTCCGTCTTGGTGCAAAATCTCGCCGTTTGGTTTCCCTTTGTGTATTCTGCCGGTCCTTCCTTCAAACGATCCGGCGATGAGCCACAATGGAGGGGAAGCTTGGCCTGCTGGCTGTCGAAGCAACTGGAGCCTATTCGTCCCTGTATGAGTGGTAAGGGAAGAGGCTGTACACTCATTGGAAGCCGATGTAGCTGCTGCTGCTGGGGGTTTACTTGTTTCAGGGTTTGCTCCTCCACCTGTCCGAGGCGTGCCACTACCTGCTGCTTTCCATGCGGCTGATGCGGTTGCATTATCTGCTGGTGGCTTTCTACGTGATGCGGTTGCTGCTGGTCCTGCTGTGACTGCGGAGAAGCCAATATGAGGGTTGGCTCATGCTGTTGGTGCAACAGCAGTGCCGCTTGCTGCTGCAGTTGCGGTTGATGGCAGTGTGAGGTGGCTGAATACTGAGGCAATACAAGCAAAGGGGTACGCGGACTGGGTAGCAGCACACGCGCATGAGCTGGTGGTACTTGCTGCACTTGCATTTGCATCTGCTGCTCCAGTGCTTCCTGCAGCTCCCCTGAGGCACAAAGGAGTTGCTGGTGCTGGTGCTGCTCCTGGTGTGTCCCTGGAAAGGTCGGTGGCATGCACGGTGGCTGAATCATAGTTGGACCCTTTTGCTGAACGCAATATGCTGATGGGCCTGGCTGCTGCTGCTGTGCTTGCTGCTGCACTTGCTGCCATCGAAGCAGTTGAGTGGGATAAAGCGGAGGCTTGCAAAGGGTGACGGATGGCAAGGACGTGAGTACTTGGCTCTGCTGCTCTTTCGAAGGAGACAACCACTCTGCCTGCCGCTGAATCTGCTGCATCTGCTGCTGTTGCTGGTTGGGTGAGCTCAACGAGTGTTGCTCCTGTAGACGGTTGCCCAACGGCTCGTGCGCCACCTTGGGAGTAGGAACGGAGAGGCAATCAGGTTGGGGAGAGCAGAGTCCCTCGTGAACAACAGGGCTCCCTTGTGCAAGCCCGCAGTCGGAGGAATCCTCCGCGGTTTCCTGCCGCAAAGGGTCTTCCTGCTGCTCCACCTTCGCCCCGTCTGAAGCTGCTGCGAGAGGGTGTGCAGCAAATGAATGCAGAAGTGTAATTGTACGGTTGAGCTGCACCTACATTCTTTGTGTGCTGCCCCGTTCCCTTTTAATTCTCTCGAATGTAATTTAGGACCGTACAATGGCAAACTCTCCGTCTACCCCTTTCGTCACTATTGCCTGCCTCACCTAAATTCTTGTAAGGCTCTTCCAAGGACCACGTTGCTTTCTTGTGGCCCCCGAGTAGTTGTTGCGGGGTCCTTGGGGTGGTGGCACGTCCACTGACAACTCCGCGAGCCTTTAACGCTCTCTGTGGGGCTGAAGGGCCCCCTTTTCTGTCTCCTCGAGGCCTCGCCTCTACTTCTCCTCTACGGGTGGTGCTGCTCTTCAGAGCCTTTCCCTTGCTTGACTGGACTGCAGACCGTAACTCTCCCTTTGGCTTGGCCTCTCTACCTTCCAAAGTCAGCGGCAGATCCCTGCGGACCTCCGCTGCCGGTGTAGCTGAGGGGTTCTGCTTCCTTGATGGGAGGGTAGCGAGTGGCGCATGCGCAAACCCTGCAGGTTCCTTTTCTCGACGTTGCGTAGTGAAGGAATTGTCAGGACAGCAAGCCCAAAACCTAAAGAGCTCTTTTGATGCCTGCGAAGTAGGGCGGGGGCTGACGCTGCTCGCATCTTCAGCACCAAAGGCGAGATTGCAGGAACCCTCCTCTTCAGGCCCCCCGCTGCTGCTCTGGGGGCCTCCCTTGTTCTCTACCCATCCGTCGTGGGGAGGGCCTGCAGACGCGTGAGAGGGAGAAGATCTACCAAGCCCCAAATCACAAGAAGGAAGCAAGGATTCCAGTGACGCGTACCTGAGGTGTACGTACATGCGCAATGCACACGCATACATACACACAACCACATACATATATATATACACATACACCCCACGGCAGTTTGAAGATGATCATCGATGCATTCCCGCATTTGCATGACCCTAAACCAAAATCATCATATGGAGCTGCAGCCCCCCCCGTTCTGCTTGCGTCTCCTTTTATCCCATGGTAGTTGGCTACAGAAGGAGGCAGGGGAATATAGGGAGGCGCTACGCGGTGTAGGCAAATGCAGAGTGCCGCAGACCAATCACTCTGCTTGAGCCTTTTCCAGCAACCTATCTCAAAATCGCCTTTATTTTCCTGAAAAAGAGTCAGACCAAGTATCCCACATCGCACGCGCTCTCTCTCTCTCTGCCTGCCTCCCTGCACGTTGTTTGGCGGTGTGGCTGCAAGCGCCTGGTTTCCTTCGTGCTTAACAGCTATTTAGTAGCTGTCTCTTTCAGGGTACCGATCTTTGCTGTGCCCCTCTGGTGTACCGTCGGCACGTCTTTCTCAATTGCTCGGAACTTCGCTTCTAGCCTACAAAAAAGGAAAGCAACGCATGCACAACAGAAGAAAGAGGCCTCCCCCGTCTCAGCCAGTATTTTACTACAGAAAACGCGGATAATTGGCTGTTAAAGGAGTGTTTACAGGCGCTAGAGCGGCGGCAGGGGGTATGCGCAGCCAGAAAACTGTCAGAAAGTAGCTGGAAAGATACACAAGCATCGCAACATCAATCGTACTAGTAGGAAATCACCGCAGTCACGGTAACACTGGCACTAAGTACATTCGCCTGGTATATTTCTTCATTACCTGCAGAGTTCGTGAAGAACATTAAGGCGCTGCAGCTGCAGAAAGAGAAGTGGCAACAGGAACAGGAAGCCGTAATCCTTAGCTCAGTACACTGGTCATGGCATACACAGATGGCAAGATGTGCTGCCCCTGCAAGTGTATGAAAAGCCCATTTGCAGTGTTTGTGTATAGACAGCAGCTGTGCAGGATCTCTTTGCTTGTATGAAACGAACATTATGAACACATAGTGCCACCTCTTTCATGTCAAAGCACGGGGAGTTCAGGAACGGGTGTGCCCAGAATTCATACAGCCAAATGTTATGCCCTGCACGTAGATGGTTAAGGGATCAAAGGTGTTGATTCACAGTAAATTTGAGCTGATGGGCTCCGCTGAGCTCATTGAATACTTTGTGCAGCTTTTTCCTGAGGAGCTCCTCGTTCGTGCGAGCAAAATCGTGGCGCGCCTCTTCCTCTGCCCGCTCAACGTCCAACCCTTCGGCGGCGAGAAACGGCACCAAAAAAACATCAAACTAAGTGATACTTAAAGGGCGCTAGCAAATGCAGCTACTACTGGGTGCCCCTCTGCATGTCCATGCATTCTATCATCAGGCCTCATTGGATTCAGCAGCGTGGGCTTTGAGTTTTTTTGTCTTATTCTGAGGTTTTCAGTGTGCAAAGAGCGACGCCACGAGCTCTGCTGCCGCCTATCTTCTAAGTTGCTGTTAAAAAGCGGAGAACGATGCTAAAATTGGCTTACAGCCCGAAGGGGGCACAAAGAAGCAAGGGAGGAGGCACGGGAACGAGAATATCCGACAGAGACTCTAGAAGAAAACGGGGGCCAGCTGCCAAGGAAAGGAAGGGGAGAGCAGGAGCAGGGCAGCACTTCAATATACACAGGCGAAATGGGGCAAGAAATGTGCTAGCGGTGACTGACCAGGGTTGAGCTGCAGGTAGTTATTTGTGTGCTCATAAAACACGCGCTTCCCGGGTGGCCTGCATCAGTAGAAGAATCCCTGCAGTTCCATGTTTAAGAGAGGTAAGCCAACAACCACGTCAAATCAATATGTCAAAGTGTCACTATAGAACAAGTTTGTCTCTTCATTAATTTTGTATTACCAGACAGAGATGCTGAACTGGTGGTAACAGAAGGAAGGACCTCTGGCTAGCCATGCCCCATCACCTGGCTAGTCGAGACAGGAATGTAAAAACTAAAGACAACTGAACTGCTGAGGAGGAGTCGTATGCACCAATAGTTTGCTTTCTCCCTCTCTCTGTGGCCTGGCGGCCTCTGCTACTGCTTCTACACCTGCGGTGTCGTTCACCAGGGCACCAGCTTGTGACAAGTCTCACGTGTCCAAGAAGTATTCCACGCATTTCCTGTTTTCTCGAAGATACGAGCTCAGTAAACGGCGGAACTCAACCTTCAAAGCCAAAACAAGCATGAAAACACTCTTCAATGCCCCTACCACCGAATAGCTTCCCTTTTGCCCGCAAATCTAGAACGTCCCGTATCGCTGTGCCTTGGCAGTCTGCGTTTGTGTATGATGAAGCATCAGCATCGTGAGCTAAGGCATAAATATTACGCTATGTGGAAGTGTGCCAAGTCGTGATGACAAATAGGAATGGCCAGCGATAGAGAATAAGCATAAACCTTCATGGCAAGGTTTCTTTTGGGGGCTGCTCATCGCGTCTAAGAACTGGCGCAAGCCTCCCAATATCGTCTAATTGTTTTTCCTGTTAGCTGCCGAGCATCAAGTGTTTTTTAAATAGTTTTTTAGCATTCTTCATTAAGCAGAATACTGAGCAGGTGCCCTGTGTGCCCAAAGATCTGCACCTGCAATTTTCTTCGTGCTTCGCGCTGCTCCCTGTCGATGACTTCCAACTGTCGGAGACACTCTGCAGCACCAACACCTCACTGCCCCTCGCTCCACATTCGGCATCTACTTTCGCGAGCTCCTTCCTGGGCTATGGCTTGCAAATCATCCGTGCTTCTGCCTGTGAGTGTCTCATTTGCTATTCAACGATGGCGCACGCCGCCAGCTCTCGCATGGTTTTTTGAGATACATCAGAAACAAGAAGAACCTCAGAGGAATCTGCTTAGTCCTTAGAGAGGCATGGGGTCACTGTTTTAGTGTTTCGAGAGACTAGCCTGTCTGGGAACTCGTCAGCGCTCTCAGCTTGGATACGGCAGAGGGGCTGAAGGTGGAGGGGCACCTCATACGCATGCATTGTCAGTGTTTCTCTATGTAATTGTACTGTCTACCCCTAAATGTGCCTCTTTTCTTAATGTGGCTGCTTCGTGTGAGTCCCTAGAGGGTCCACCGAGGCCGAATGTGGCTAGGCAAACGTGGAATCCAGGCCAACCTGCGGAGCCTATGGGCACCCGGTGCTGGAGGAATCCTGGCATCAGCGGCAGCAGCAATCACAGGAATTTCATGCGTCAATAATGGTAACCGAGTAGAAATACGCATGTGGGTCTAGAGTTCGCCTGAAGCATATTACCCTGTACTAAAAACCCGTTTAGGGAGACCAAAACGCTGGCGGCATACCGAGAGGGCTCGGACGCTGTGAAGCTTTTCATTATACTCCAAGAAGGAGAAGGATCATTACGAACGGCATGGAGCTATACTTCTTGGGACGGCCAAAGGGGTGGGCGACAGAATTAAGCGCTCTCAGGGTCGCTGTACAGTACGGAGAGGCACTAGCAAGAGGAATAAAGAGAACAGGAGAAAATACATGACTATCGCTAGAATTTGAAGAATAAAATACAAAACTTACAATAGTGCTGGCTCTACCTGGCCGATTTAGGGCTCTAACTACAGCTGTTTGTTGTGGTTGCCGCTCCAAAAGACCCAGCAGACGTGCATACTGGAGGAGGAGGATGCTCTGCGACCGCTCTTCTTTTCTATGTAATCCAGAGGATCAATGACTACGGCATATAACCGATAAATTTTGGAAGAGAAAGGATGAAACAAAAGAATGTTGACCCGGAGACAGGCAGGCAGACACCCACCAACCCAGTATTCGTTCTCTATACATGCTCGGCTTTCTCATCTATTTAAAGCCACTTCAGAACCCTCCCCACAATGCAGCGCCCACAAATTCAAGCTGTCATTGCAAGAAAGACCTCTTTTGCTGCAGCTTTTCGATAGAAAAATTCGCATGACATTGTGTGTGCATGTGGTCGTCGCGACAATCACACAGGGTCACTCCTCTTCGGGCCTGCCCTGGTTCCATCTTTTGTGAATCTGAGGCAAAACGTACATCAAATATTGCTTCATTGAGCTGTATATAAGTGGCTTTTAAGGCCAAGACGTGATTTTCTAGTCTGCGTGACGCTCCTTTTGTGCGTGCGCTTTGCCCACCACTGCAATGCATGACCTCAACCTAGGACATGTGCAAGTTTCTGAATCAACAAGTCACAAATATCACCTAGAGTCGCTTTTACAATGTGTAAATATTTATTGCTGCAAATTTTAGGTTTCTACCCCCTACTAGCGGCTTCAAGGATCGCGTAGATCCTCCCTGGGCAGCCGACTATCTGATTTCTCTAAGCACAAGCTTGGTATCGCCTCTGTTCAAACTCACAAGAGATCTATGCTGCTGGGCTGCAAAATAGGTACCAATACTGTAGAAATCCTCATGATTCGATTATGCAGAATGATCCGTTCGTTTCTATTTAGCAGCCACCAATCTAGGGCTATGCTGTCCGGGCACCCGCGTCGGCATTATGTATACCTTCACTCCTCCTTGGATATATTATTTCATACTATTCGTACGTTTTCATCCAAAGCAAACAAATGAGTTGCTTTTTGCCCTTCTGTTGCCTTAGTGCATGCCAGAGTAAAGCGAGGGGACGTGGTGTGGGTGTATGCAGGAAGCATGGTGGGAAAGTTCCCCCTTTTAAACATGCCTATGCATATTCATGGTGAAATTCCCCTCAAAAACACGGGTCTTATCAAGCAGCACGTCCTTATGCTCATTCATTCCCAATGCGGGAACGCCTCCGCCACATAAGAAAATTTCAATGAATAGCCTCTCTGGCTACCTGCAAACAGTGGCCACGACCGTTGGGGTTTATACGCCTCAGTGCACTTTGATGTTTCATTTCGTTGCTGCCTTCGCTTTTTGCTATATCGTACGGAATAAGCGCACTAAGAAGCAGCTAGGCCCCCCCGATGCTTTGTATGCTGCTGAAGCAAGAAGTCCAGCTGTTAATACATCCCACAGAAGTTGTCTAGGCCACAGTCCTTTAAACAACTGATGAATGTCTCGGCCTGAATCGGACCTGCAGTGCCACAAGCAAGAAATGACACAAGTTTCTACACACAGTGATACGGTTTTCCCATGAATGACCCAACCATGGATCCCTGCCCCTCTGCATCTGTGGCCATGTGCTTTGATTCCCTTGCCTAGTTGCCAGCCAACATATCCTCTGCCTCTCTGTAGCTGCCACTACCAGGAGTGTCCGCACTGCAGAGTCTGCGCGTGAACATCGTGCGCCTTTCTGCCACCCGAGACGCAACCGTGAGGTTTTGGGAAAAGTATTTCATCATACAGGAGACAACAACCACTTCCTCTGCCCCTCCCTGCTCGCTCGAACGGCACCGGGCTTCACGAACTGCCCAAGCCGTGCACGCGTCTTGCCTGGTTTGCACTTCTCCGCGGCCATTTCAGTGACCATCAGAAGCTGCTTGATGGGAATCGTCTCTAAATCCCCTGACATGCAAACCTGCAGATGAACGCAGGCAAAAGCGTAAACAATGCGTATGAGTGCACCTGATCGCACTTCTAGGGTAACTTGGCGCATTGAATGCAGGTCACCCATTAACTCAATAACGGACAGTGCCACATTGAGCGGCATTGCACCTTGCCGGTGGATGTGCTGCCGTGCAATTCCACCTGGTTACGCTCTTACGTCACCCCCAAACCGAATATCCACTGAACAATACGTACTAAAATGGTTTGTCAAGCAACTTTCTGTGCCTCACATGCCCATGAGGGTTTTGCTTATGCACTGGGCACCTTGCTGGGTCGATAAGAACGAGAGATCATTTAGCGAGGCGGTGCACGAATACAAGGGGTTCAAGAGATCCACGAACAAACTTGGAGGCGTTTACAAACTTTAAAACATTTTCTTTGGACGTGTTGACATGAAACTGTGTACCAGTTCCAAAATTTCCTTCCCTCCCCTTCCCTCCCCACCTGCTCGATCTCTGCCTCTGGAAAACAATAGCGGTCTGCGCTGTGGTCTCTTAAAGCCGCTCCAATTTGCTTGGGCCCCCGTACGGGTGGTACCTCCAGGCAAACGTTGAAGGCCTTTGCTATCCCAGACTCCTGAGGTAAGAAACAAACAGGCAGACACCCAGGGGTAGGGCCAGCACCACATAGGCACGGCGAGGCTGCACGACCGGTAGTCCATAACCATCACCCTTATCAGTAACGAGCCCCAGCAATTGAATAATAGGTAAATAGACTGGAGCAGAGCCAAAAGAGGATGACAAATCCGATACAAGGCAGCCTGGAAAACCCGAAAAAATGAATCAGATAGAGTGGTGGCAGACAGGGCGGTGCAGTGTCCCGAAGGCATCAATTCCAGCTCAGCCGAACTGCTGCCGTAAGGGGGCGCTGCAGCACCAGGGCCGGTAACAATCGTATTCTAAACAGCAGCAGCAGTAAAAGAAGACCCCGTGCAGCAGACTTTGATGAATTCTGGCTCTGAGGTGGTTCCAATGATCATCAGCTTGCCGTCTTCCCGGGGAGGCTGCTTTTTGACAAGGACAACCAGAGCCTGCAGTGCCGCATTAGAGAACCTGCAAATATAACGAGAGCGAGGCGGACGCAGCATGGGACAGAAACACTAGTACATTTAATTTCGTGTGTCGGCATGGTGCGTGCCATCCCTGCCCCCCAACAAAACCACCTCTGCCCCTCTGTGCCTTTAGGTTCTTTATTGGGGTTTGAGAGAGAAAGGGGCAGCTTCTTGAGGTGTGCAGTACTCTGCTAGGGGTACGCAGGGGGTGGAGGTGTCAAGGTGGCAATGCTGCTGCTGCTGCTGTAAAAGTAGGATGCTGGTCCACAACACCCAGCCATTGTCAGGGGAATTACAAGGGCTGCTGTACGAGCGTGCAGTGGTTCCGATGTGCATAATGGACCCAGTTAATCTGATGTACGTATGTATATGCGTGAGTGTTTGAATTTATACATGCGCTTTTCCCCCATTTTCCAACCACACTTCCTTGTCTTTCCCAGCCCCCTTCCCCCTCCCCGCCGGCAGCGCTCCTGGTTTTCCCTACCTGGGTCCAATTGGCGTGTAGTCCACAAGTCTCTCCAGATCGTCTAGAAGGACCAAGGACATGTCTGACTTGTAGGCGTCCTGGAAGGCCTTGTTCAACAAGTTGACTCTTGCCGACTCGGGCAGGCCCACCCAAGACTCGGCTGTCACGAGCTTCGTGAATGGGAACCCCAACAGCTTTGCAACCGACGCGGCAAGCGCTGTTTTTCCGCTGCCGGGAGGGCCATGCAGGAGCAAGGAAAGAACTGGAGTGTGCGGGCTGTCCCTCGCCTGAGCCCCCAATGTAAGGCATGTTTGCTGCAGTCGTTTGCAGTCTTCGCTGAAGCAGATGATCCCGTTTCGCGTGCACCTCGAAAGGCTTTCGTTGTGCGATCCGAAAGCAGGCTTCACTTCTTCTAGCGCGTTCTCGAAGTCCTGCATCGTGATCTTGATAGCTGAGGCGTCTGCGGGCTTGGAGAGATCCTTCAGATCAACGGCCCGCTGGAAGGCGAAGGAGGCCGCGGATCGGACGAGGCCCTCCAACTCTGCGCCAGAGAAGTTTCTCGTAATCTCCGCCAAGACCGCTAAATCGACTGAAGGATCCAGTCTCTTGGCCTCCTGCATGGCCTGCGTGTGGATCATTAAAATCTGTTGTCGCCCCTTCTCGTCGGGAAGGCCGATTTCGATGAGCACCTCGAAACGCCCTGGCCGCAGCAGTGCCTCATCGATCAAGTCGATTCGATTGGTCATGCCAATCAGCAAAATGTTGTTCAAGGCGTTCACTCCGTCAATCTTGGAGAGCAGCTGGTTCACAACGGAGTCCGTGACCCCTGCGCCTCCGGGGTTGGCTCCCCTCTGCTTGCAGATGGCATCCAACTCATCAAAGATGAGGATATGCAGTCCAGATTCGGCGCCCTTCTTCTTCTCTTCCTCCTCAGCCTCCTTGAACAGCGCCCTCACATTCTCTTCGGACTGCCCAACAAACTTGTTCAGGATCTCGGGGCCGTTCACAACCTTCGGCTCTCGAGCCTTGAGGGCCCTCCCAATCTGGCGAGCAATCAAGGTCTTACCAGTACCCGGAGGCCCGTACAGCATGAGGCCCTTGACGTGCTTAAGACCCAACTCCTCCACCAAGTGAGGGGGAAACACTCGGCTTGAAAAGGCTCGCCGGAAGATCTCCGAGAATTGCCGGTCCAGGCCACCGATTCCTAATTTCTGAAATGAGAAGTCTGGGGCGACGAGAGGAGATGGGAGGACCTTTTTCGACTGGACGTACACCCGACCCTCCGAATCACCAGCGAATACCAGCTCACTGTTCTCCGACAATTCGGCAAAGGAGCTCACTGGCGCTGCAGCAAGAGGAGGATGCGCAAGAGAGACGCCAGTGGAACCGAGACAGACAGCTTAATAGGTACACAAAGAGATGCTTACATATGCATGCACATATATACCCACGACTGCACACACACACACCTACGTGAGGCCCGCACTTAAATGGCACGCATGCTTTGTAAGGGGCTCCTTTGCAGGGGTCTGAGAATTGCGTGCGGCACATAGAGAGTACAACCCCTTGAGAACGGCCATGGGCGCAGGACAGCCTTAGGCATGGAGCATTCGGAAAACAATATATCTAGAGTTCTAGAGTCTCCCAGTGCGTTAGCCTCTGTCCTAGCCTCCGTCTCAGAGGACCCCCACAAGGCTGGTGCTCCCCGTGACAAAACACGCATCAACCTGGCAGTCTTCAGCTGGCCAAGGTGTGGGTCTCTTCACTAGCTCTACTACCCACCCATCCTCTTGTCGCCTGTTGTCTCTACTGGAATCATCTGCAGAACGCTGGAAAGAGAAACGCAGCCACAGCAGCAAGACGCAAAGAGAACCGCTGCAACAACAGGGCATGGGGGCCCAGCATGGGGCGTCCTCTCCCCAAAGCGCCTATGAGACACGCCATCACCGCCACTACTGCCCTAGATCGGCTGTATCCTATGCCAGGCAGGAGGGAGCCTCGTGGACCTGCAGAGGATACCCTACAGGTGCAGTGGCAAGGGCCCTCGTCTCAGAAGAGTTACGAAAAGCCTGCCACGTGCCCGCATCCTTGGTAGTGCAAAGCCTTCTTAGTTCAAGTTGCTCCCACGCCCTTCCCCGCACATCGTCTCCCCTCTTGCTCGCGTTTCTTTCTTGATGCGATGCGTGCGCTTGGGCCTCTGCGCCTGGCTTCCAGGCATCTACCATAACTCACGTCAGCTTAAGCGTCTCCTTCCCAAGCCGTCTCGCCATCGACTGACCCACGGTAAAATTTTGGCCGCAAAAAGACGTGCGGAAATCTTCCTCGATGACATCATCCTTGACGCAAATCCGCTCGGCTGGCAGCACTCGCAGCACAAATACACGCAAAAAGCGGCTAGAACGCTCGCAGCTGTCGCACCGAGAGGCAAGCAAGCAGCAAGCAGCCTCTGCATTACGTGGAGGGCTCGACGAACCCCCGTTGAGAAGGAGGCTACAACTTCTGTGCCGCGCGAGCACTATGCACGCAGGAGGCACAGACGGAAGGCACAGGCGCAAGAAAGCGCTAGGCTGCAGGAAAGCGCGTAGAGAAGCAGAGGGGGAGAGACTAGAAAGGCCAACTTACCGGGTTTGAGGTATGTGGACACCTCGATCTGCATGAGGCCTATGATCGGTTTGGGGGTCGGCGGGATGAAAACGCGAACGTGAACGGCATCTCCCAACTGCAGGCGCGTACTGTCCCGATGACAAGTGCTGAGCCCTATATCCCCCTTCTGCAGCAAGGGCTCCGGCCTGAGCGAAAAGTACACACAAAATGTGCGTTGTGTTTAGAGGCCATCCCACAGAACTATCAGCTGCCGGCCGCGTAGACACGCAGCGCAGCACCAGGTGGCTGCCCAGCGGGCAGCAAAGAGAGCTGCAGCCACCGCCCCTCCCCCTCAGGAGCTTCCTTGCTCGCGCTATACTGATGCATGTGCAGTTCGTTTGCCGCTGCTTTGCCGCTTTAAAGGTAATTGTTTGTGCGCACATTACTCCAAGGACGATTGAACCGACATGGCACTGCACGGGACGCAGCGCTTGCCCTGGCGAACGCCGGCTCCCATGCCCACTATGCGTCAAAAGCTCCTCATACACCTCAGGATGCACGTAGGCCTGAAGCAGTAAGAGGCGTTTGAGAAAGCAGTGGAGCACCAGTGGAGGAGAACTAAAGGCCAGAGGGGGCGCCCCTGGCTTTTGTGTGAGCTTTGCCCATCTGACGGAGGCAGTCCCCCAGAAGGGCCTCAGATACGACAAACCGGAATAAAATTGAGCACCACTTCAATTAACAGTGCTGTAGGGGGTCCGGAAGGCGCAAATGCTTGGAGCACGCCCTTCTTACCAGGTTTGTGAAGGCCAAACCGGGCGCCGACAGTTTGGTGGCTCTGAGGATATGTGTCATCTTCTTTGTGCCTTTTGAGGGAGGCTGCCCTCTTGAATTCTCTGGTAGTGTCGTCCTATTATCTGGTCAGGAAGTTTTTTGCTTCGGAGTTTGCACGGGAAGGAGGAACAGCTCGTGCGCGGTAGAGGGATCTGCCGGGAAGTCACAGCTCAATAGACAGGAAAAAAAGCGTCCGGGCGACTCAAATCAAGCTGAACTTGTGATTTCTGCTTTCTGCCATAAAAGGAAGTGAGTAAACAGCCATGGCTATTCGCAGTAACGGCGTTGCATTTTTGGCAGGTCATGGGTCAAGACTCTCACTATAAAGAAGCTCCAGGAAGACAAGGGTAAAATCATGAGGACTTTGTATGAATTAGAGTCACAAAAATTATAGAAAGATGGAAGACGGCTGCGAAAACACAAGAGATCGTCATCTCTCTCCCTCACCTGCATGCGCTCTAGAGCAGCTGTCGGCAGCGGTGCAGCAGACCTACCTCCGTGCAATCAGGACTAGCAGCTCGTGTCTCAAACCAGCTATGAGTTTTACGCACTAACTGCGTATATGCATTAGGATACTAAGGTAAACTCGAGAAAGACACACCTGCTTGCACCATCCCCAGAATACTTTCCAGTAGAGCGCTGGATTCAGCCTAATGCTGTGCCAGTTCATGCATGCAAACAACAGCAAACAAAACGGCGTACATGCATGCCCACGAATTGTGATTACAATACGTATATCTTAAAGCAATCTTAAGAAACTGAACAGTTTCACATGTCGCACTTCATGCGCAGATAAGGAGCCCTTCGTCTGGGCTTCTACTAAAAACTAAGCCCTAGACTTCGAAAACCCATTTCGCTTTCACCACAAAGGGAGGCAAGGAGCGGCTACACGAAGCGAACGACTGACGAAGAGCTAACGCCAAACACCAGGCCATATGCTCTCAAGGCTGCACTCTTTTCCTGACATTGTTGAGGCGAACTGCAGTTCTGCACGGTGCAATCTGCCCTCAAATTATTCCCTTTGCTTCCCTTCCCCGTACACCGCTGGGCAAAGTCTTCCTTTCCAGCGACGACGCTTGGGTTTGTCCTGTTAGGGTGCACCCAGCCAGCGCTGGAGAACGAGCGTATACATAGCTACAAATGAGAGGACTGAGGCTGGAGGGACTTACGAATACCCTCGGTCTGTAACTGTGCTTCGATCCGCCCAACCGCTGTGCTTGTACTGGCGAGATATTGCCTACCCACCAGAACAGCAGGAAGAAGAGGTAAAGACAGCAATACCGCTCGCCTGTTGTCTTTTCTTTCCTTTGCCGTACGATGCAACAAACCCACTTATCATCAAGACAGAATAGACTTGCTCATTGGAAGGAAGCTGTTAATAAAAATATTCCGGCCTGCTGTGGCTGCGGGTTCTCGTAGTGGAATGGTATCTCGCACAAAGGGTACTCGTACAGCAAAAGTACAGTTTGGATGATTGACCACCTTCAATTGGTTTTATCTTCTGTCCTTTCTGTTCTTTCTTTGCGTCATCCTGCATTTCTGCCTTTCTGCTACATGCAATTTCATGGTTGTCTACAGCTGTTGTGGTGACTGGCTCATGAGACCGGAGGCGTAGAGGTGGACCTTGACGATTACATGTCATTTGCAAGCTACATAGCTTGTCATTGCCGTTTTAGTTATTTGCGTGCTTCTGGAGGGACTCGGTTCTGACCCAAATCTCCGATCCTTCTCAGTTTTTCAGAAGCATGAACCACTGACTCGAACAGAGTACATAATTCATGAAACGGCCAACTTGCCCTGTCTTTAAGCCGTTGTGTAGCGGGCTCGCCCAGAATAATGTTTATATGCTGGATCTATCCTTACAAGCGAAGGCGTCGCGCAATCATCTCTCCTGGATCTGCAGGTGCGCTCTTGCAGCACGCAGGGAGCGGGAGCTGCTGTCCTCTATCACATGAAACTTGCTGGCGCTACTGCTTAATAGCGGAGCTGATCTGACCGCTCTTGATGAGAAAGGAAAGTTGGCTCTCACTGTCACACTTTGGAACAAAAGGATTGAGCAAGTCAGTTCTACGGCGTCTGGGCTGCACCTCGGCGCTTGCCGAAGTACGAAAAAGGGGTTAGAACTGAGGGTTTTAAGCTTCATTCAGGTCCCTGACTTGCTACATAAAGAAAAATCATCTTCCGTGCCCTGTAACACATCTAACTTCCTTAAACTCCCTCCTTTTGTCGATTGGGCTGCTGGCTTGTCCCTCTGAGTAGCATCTTTGCTGTTCTGTGTACACCTTTACTCAGCTGACGGGGTGCTGCTTGGCGCCGTTGAGCCTCGGATACTTTTCGACGTAAGGGAGCAGAGCTGTACGCTCTTGTCTAACGCTCTGGAAAAAAGAAAGGGCAATAGTGGCATCATTCCATCTGCGGCGTTTTCGGAGATCCTCTGCCCATCATATCAAGTGGCATATAAAGAGGTTATCCAAAACCCGAATATTCAGGGGATGATCAAAGTGCACAAAAATTGCAAAAGGCTACTGGGCAGAACGAGTAGGCGTAACTACTGGAGCAAGCAATAGTTGAGGAGGGAGAGGAAGGAGAGATTGGGGGATTTGGTGCCGAATAGGAATAGCTATGTGATATACTGTCAGGAAAAACGCAGAGCGCGGAAGAAAACGGATAGGGTAAACCTCCAGAACATATGCATGCTTACGGTCTTCCAAAGGGGTCAGGCGGGGGTTCAAGTCTGATGCGCCGTGAGTTTTAGGTTATAAATGAGCTGACTCCTGCTGCAAGAATCGAGCCACACATTGGGTGCAGCAGTCCAACCAAAAGGCTTTTTGGATAAAGGACGAAGGTACGAAGAGACAGAGTCAAGCAGTTCAAATGGATGACATGGAAGGGGCAACGATGGAAATAGGCCCACATGAGGCCGAGACAGTGCCAGAAGAAGGAAGTGATTTCCCGATCCAGGATGTCTCGGGGAATTTGCAGGGCTATGAGGAAATGGAAGAAAGAAAAGAAAGCATGTCTGCAGAGGACAGCCGCTTGATGGAGGAACAGCTGCCCGCAGCTGCTGCAGAAGAGGAGCAGGAGGCTGGGAAAGCAATTACGGCAGAGGGGGAAGAGGAACAGGCAAAGGCAGATGTATGCCCATCAAATGGAGAAGCCGACGACGCAGTGGCCTGCAGCGAAGTGGAACCAACTAGTGCGCATACGCAGGATGAGAACAAGGCATACCTCAGCACATCTCTCTATAGTGAACCGCGATGCTCTGAGGCGGGGCTCGACTTCGTTACCCCTCCCTCCCTAGTCCACAATAGCTCATGCAAGTCAGGAGAAGGCTTCCTGATGGAAGGACATGGGATGGAGCAATCTCGGGGCCTGCAAGAGGCAACAGGGGACGACACAGATCTTCTAGAGACCACTTCCCCACCTAACATGGGAGAGATAGGTTCGGCTATTAATACGCAACGAGACAATGTGAACAGCTCGGCAAGCAATTCATCAGTAAGATGGCAGAAGCAGTCTAAAGACTTGAAATTCTAGCCACAAAGCGTGACACTGGGCGTCATGGTTGCTTAAGTTTGTCGTACAGCGTAGCCAGCAGCCCTCAGGCACTACCCATGCTGCCTTATCTGCTATACAGTAAATAAGGCAATAAAAGGCCGTCTAACCTTGAGCCAGATAGCCATCGGGCTTCCTCTCGTGGTCATTTGCTCATTACACAGAAGAACAGCTTCAATGTCGGGCCCCCTCATATTGCCTTTTCTTAGTATTGAGTCAGCATTATGCTTGGTAGAAAAGCTTGAGGAAATGCAATGAGTTGATGCGGGTGAAGTTGTTCACAGCGAGAGGAGCTAAGCACTGCTCGCTTGCTGCTTAACGAGTTAAGACAAGAAGAGCAGTTAGCTGTTGAGCTAGAGCACGCAGCTGATGAGGCGTCTACAGCCCTGGAGGAGGCGGAAGCTGCAAATTCCAAGGTGTTGACTAGAGTAGCAAGCCTACTAACGGCATCAGTAAAGCCAATCAGTGGGAGGGAGTACGGCCAGTTCCAGGTCCCAATGTATCTGCAACAAGACTGTGACATTGAAACACAGATCACCCAGGAAGGATACGAGGCGGCGCTATTGCAAGCAGCCAAGCTTGAGGAACAGCTTGATATCCTACAAAAAGATCTGCAGCAGATAATGCAAAGAAAGGCTGAACAAGAAAACGCCTGTCAGCACAAAGTGATCGAGTGCAAGCGCGCATTCGGGTACTTCCCACGTGTACATGCAGAGTAGCCTCAGCCAGCATTAAAATTCTTAGTGGTCCGAGTCATCCAACGAACAGTTTGTGGTTCTTCACGTTGTCGAAAGCTGAATGAACGCTGCTTCCTCATACGATAGCGGCTTCAACATCGAAGGGCCGTAGAACGGCTGCCCCTGCCTTCGCAAGGCATACCGTCTGTAAATTGTGCTTTATGGTTTGGGGTTTGTTGCCATTTGTCTTTGCGGCATTAATGTGTGTAGGGAGTTTGTGCAGCAAGTAGCAAAAAACTCTTTCATGCCAAAGGGCGGAAAGAGTGTCTCTGTCAATCAGGTTGCGAAGTTGTTACAGGAGGAGCAGGAAGGGATGCAGCGGGTTACCTCTTTGCGGCAGCAGTTGCTGGAGATCGAAAGCAAGCAATGGATGCAGGCTGCTCAGCGCTCCCACAACTGCAGCTGGCAAGAAGAGGACGGCAAATCTTTTCACATGATGGACTTTGAACAACTAAAAGTGGAAAACCAAACCCTCAATGAGAGACTAGTGGAAAAACAGGAGGAAGCAAAGAAGCTAATGACCGCAGCTAAAACCGCCTCGCAAGTTAGAAACTTAGACACCACAGGAAATAGGATGCACACATACTCACGCATTCACACAAGTAGGCACCTACGAAGCGGTGGGGGTGGAACGGCAAGGAGAAAGAATCAACATCGAGGGGGAGTAGTATTGCACAGAAGAGGAAACCAATAGAGATTGCAGCTTTGGAAGTACAGCTTTATAGCTGTGACACAGCTTAATAGACGCGGAAACACGGCGGCAGGTCGAACCAGAGAAATTGCAACGAGGACACTAGGTTCCTGGTATTCGAGCATTGCCAGGGTTTTCAGACTAACTTCAGCTGCACAAGGGAAGCAGTTGTATGTATGAATCTAAAGAAAGTCCTGCATGTCTCCTTTTTATACTCTCTGCAGCTCCTGACACACTGGCGAGAAAAGTTAGCGTTTCAGGAGAAGCGAAATGCGGCCGCTGCTGCCGAGCTTGCAGAGTTGGACACTCAGCTTGCGAAACAACGAGAACTGTCTGCACAGCTTAAGAGGGAAAGAGCCGAGTACAGGATGCAGAATGACCGCATTAAGTGCCAAACGGATGTCATCAACTCTGAACTCCTCTCGGCAGACTGGGAAGCTACACAGGAAAAACTTAGGGAAACAGATGCAAAGGTAAAGGCAGATTTCTTGATTTCGACTTGCACCCAAACGCGGCCCAGCTGCAACCGACGTGCAGTGTTATGTTCATATGGCTTTGAATTTTGCTGCCTTTTTATTGGACTGGAACCCTGTGAGCAACAAAGCCTAAATCGTTCTCAGTATCTAAAAGTGCTTCATATTCTTGCAGGCTTTGAATTCAAACCGCATAATTGCAACTTTTAACACTTTTCTTCATGCCTTGTTTTTCTGGGAGCTAGCCTAGTAGCTCAAATTGTGTATTTTGTTTGCTTTGATGTTTCCGTGTTCTTCTCCCTTCTTTGTTCCTATTGTGCTGTTCTTTCTATCATTCACTTTGAATTTTCTCCGCTCACTGCGTGCGCCATTTCGTTAGATAGGTACTCTCCGACGTCGCCATTCTCACTTGACGGCTTTTGTGGCCAACTCTGTAAAAAGGAGAGATAGGAGAACCACCAGACTGACACTTCAGGCTTCGAAGCTGTTGACGCGGCACTTAAAAACTCTGGAAATTCAGGAGGAGACTTGCCCTGAAGTGCCAAATTCATTATTCAGCAGTACAGGGGCTGCATAACAGTTGAAAGGAAAAATTATTCAGGCGTAAAGATGCACTAATTTCTGCCAATAATAGTAGTGCACCGTCAAAGTATGCCTGCAAAGTAAAAGAGAAGTAAAGCTAATTGTTTTTAGTCTGGCGTACTTATTTCTTTATTTGCAGTTACTTCTAGTTTAATTCGTTTAGCAAGCGCATGGAGACCCTGCAATTTTCCGCCGATCTAGATTGGTGCATTGAGAATAGCCAAGAACCGGGCTAACACCGGCAGTGGCTCAGGCGTATCTTACTCCCTCAAACGGTATAGTACTTTTTGGAGACTCTAGCAGGAATGGAGATACGAGCATTTCGGCTGAGTCTGGAAGCGGATATCTCCGCATTACTGCAGGGGCTGCCGCTGTGTGCTCCGCTATCTTTTCCATCGGCGCGCTGCCTCACAAAAATGATAAGAGAAGGCGCTGCTTGCTTATTCTCTTCAGTTCCATTACACGCCTGAATACCTCCGTGAGACGCCGGTCTATTCCATGTCCTTTCTGCCAGACAACCGAAGTAAAAGGCCTCCTTGACAGAAAGTAACACCACTTCAATCAAAACACCAAAATAGGTGTGATACATATAATTGGTATACATGCTATTTGCGTTTTGTAATTAGCCGATGCTCAGTTCAGTCTTACTTACGCAACCCAACAAACGCCGTGCAGCTGCGATTTAAATGTGGTTAATGGAATACCCACTACGGGCTTCTCTGCCTGGAAACCCATGCAAGCACAAGAAAAAGTTCCTAATTGTTCCTTCAAGGTCTTCTTCCGTGTTCTCATCTTAGAGGGTTTTTGCACACAGGAAGAAAGCGCATCAGGACTGAGATTAGCAGCAGCCTGCGGTGACGTGAGGCATGCACACTGACGGGGACTACCCTAGACTCCTCAAACACACTGTAGTGCACTAGTTTTGTTCTGCATAGAAACAATAAGCAATCACTAGTTGGTTTTCTGTTCGCATGTCGAAGTGTATCCAGAGTACTGTTAAAGCGGTTGAAGAAGGCACAATGCACTATTCATGCGCACTAGCTACTGTGTGCACCAGGCGGGTGCCCGGAATATTTTGAGGCAGCTATGCGCACCCTAGCTACCCTTCTCCCCTAATGCTGGAAACTTCAAGGAAAGCAAAAAAGGGGAAGAATAGAGTCCTTCCATACACTTCGTAGCTTCCTGCAAAGCTGGTTTTCTGTATGGATTAGAATCTCTTTTACGGACACCATCGATGGAGCTCTCCAGTTGGTAGCATTGCACACTTCGAAGCACTTGTTCCTTGCTAATCTACTGGCTGTGGATACGGAGGGATGTTCCGCTTGACTACATTTTTTTGTTTTGAGCAAGCTATTCGATAGCTCGAAATTTTGCATTTTTGGCGACAGACTGGAGAAAGCCCGCCGGCGATGCAAGATTTGACAGTGGCACAGCGCCTGTATGGGGGCAAGAGGCCGGCTTGTAAGCTGACCTGACTGCAGTAACGCGAAAGATGGGCATGATCTGCCAGCTCATGAAATGTCAATGAATGTGTCAATGAGGATATGCCGACCACAAGAGTATAGCATCTGTGGGGATAGGCAAGAGCGCAACGATCGTATAGGCAGTTTGGAGGTGTCCTTCGCTCTGTACCTCCATGATGAAGAGAGACAAGTGCTCCATGCGGAATGAGAGTTTTGTAGAGAACAAAATTAATGGTGGCTGTTATCGTGCCGAATAATGCATAAAAGAATATGTACCGTGGGCGGCTTTACAAGTAAGCCCTGACTCATCGGCATATGCCAGGATCAGCCCGACATCCAGCGTTGGGGCAAATGGGAACTCTCGAGCAAAGGGATCTAGCCATACATCGATATATCGAGAAGCATGAAGCTTTGCTCTGCAAAAGGCGCAACTTAGACGATCAGCTGCATAAGTGGCGGTTTATTTAGGGTCTACCCGAAGTGTCACGTCAGGAGGTCACAGGATGGGCAGTGGCTCACCGTAACAAACCCAACCATTAAAGCTTCCACAAATTATGGACTACTCAAGGTTCCAGTGACAACTGAGTGCGTGTCATGCAACTCTGGCCAAAGGGAAAGAGGCAAATTGACTTTAGGGCCGGGGGACGTCCGGGCTGTGTCCATCGGCCCTAGCCTGCAATCCATGATAAACGATGGAGGAAAACCGGCCCGGCTCTTCATCAAGTCCAGACAGCCCCCCAACAACCGACCTGGTCCTGTCGTAATTAAAAGGTACTTATATTTTGGAAGTCCAATCGCATGCACGGAAAAAATGCTTGAACAGTGGGACTGGGCCTGGCGCGAGCAGGCTGCTTGCTGAACAAAGAAGATGCGTCGAGGAGATAGAAAATTCGACATATAGATTGTGGCGGAATACAGAGGGTCCTGGTGGACTGAGCCGCAGCTGGGGATCCACTACGGGCTACTTTTGTCCTGACATCGGCTCATAATAGTGTTCAAGAGTTGCTGGCGTGCGTTGACATAGGAGATAGGCTTCTAGGTAACGGAGTTCCCAAGGCCCAGGCTTGGTTGAGGACAAAAGCCCTCGAAGATTGGCAGGACTACGACCTTTAAATGTTGGTTCAAGTCGGGATTGGGCATTGTCAGCTCTGTCAAATACGTCTTTGTTGGACTCCTGCACGTAATGCAATCCTGGGCTTGCCATGAGTGACCCAAGGAAAAACGCGCATGCTGCCACAGTTGCGCGTTGTGGAGGTCAGTGTTCCAGGAGCAAGAGTCTAACGGGCATATCACTTCATATTTACGCCCGCTTGAAAAGCACCATTTACTGTTTTGCTAAGAACAAAATGGCGTCCTACACTCAGTCTGGCAAACTTGATTAAAACTGCTGGCTGTTTAAACGTGCTTTTGCTCCAGTTAAACTGAACCGGCAAGGTAATCGCAAATTCGATGAGCCAATCAAGGATGGGCGAACGGCTGCCTGCACGGAGGAAGTCTTCGTATCCAGCTATTCCAAAAAGAACAAGTGCGCCTTTAGCGTGCACCTCCGTTTTACTGAAAACACTCAGTGCTGTGTAAAGGCAAGCGGCGATTTTGTTTTAGTGTGAACAACCATTTTTTATGGAGTCCGTTTTCTGAGTGCAAGAATTGAGCCAAATCAGGCATAACATTGAAGCAATCCAGTTGCAGCCTTTACCCCTCAGTACCAGCAATGGTCTCTGGGCTTTCCATTCCAAGCCTTGCTTGGATTGCTAGTCCTTCCATCGACCTACTTTTGAACAAGCAGCACAGAGGAACAGGATGCTGCAGCAAGGACGCTACCAGCCTCCTCACAACAGCTCCGGTACTTGCATCGATTTCAAGCGTCATTTCATCCTAACTACTAATGCTAGTGACGCAGTGGTGGCTGCTACGCTCTTCAAACAGACAACGTGACTTCGAAAAAGCAAAGCATTGCTTGTTGTTATCGTATTCTTACCGAAAACGAGTATCGGCATTTAGTGGTGTGGTGTACGGGAAACGGAAAGCTATGCGGTTTGGTAGGGCAACAAAAGTGCCTGAATAATTTATTGGGGGGCCAACTGACCGTTAAGATCGACCGATATTTTAAACATGTCTCGCAGAGAATTTTCAGGACTTTGATAATCCTGGAGTTGTTCACTGACTTCGGCACTTCCCTCAGTACGACTTTCCATTGGAGCATGCTAGGCATCATTCAAGTGGTGACCAACGTGCTCTAGGGACGTCCAAGCGATTCAACATTGGGAACACGACCGATATGATCGGTGGTGATCAAAGGTCTATACGGATATTGTGAGGGTCCTAGCTCTTTAACCACCTCTTCCTAAGCTGCAATTGCCAAAAACCGTAATGGTGAAAGGGTGGAGCGCTACCACGCTGAGAATGATATACTAAGGTTCAAAACAAAGCAGGAATACGTCGTTGTACACCCTGACTCTATCCTGCAGGTCTGCTTTCTGCAAAGCAAATGAATATGTTGTCTTGGGCCGTGGTGAGCCAAACTACAGCTGAAGAACTTTCATAATCGTTTTGGTGGTCTGATATGCTTCATAAGGCCGAGGATTGCACTGGCACGTCCAGATATTCAGCAACCAAAGCCACAGCTCTCCTTATTTCTAGTACCTGCAAAACCTTAAGCTTCTTGAGAGGCTCTGTACAGGGCTGACTATGGGCTTTGTTGTCGAACTGCCGGAGGCCCAGGGTGAAGAAATCTCCTACAGACACAGCGAAAATGCCCTTTCCGATCCTTGCTCCAGCTTTGTTACGGCTTAGGAACTTCCGTTGCTCATGCCCAGAAGCATTATAGAGGTACCAAAAGTATCATTAAGGCTAGGAATCCGAAACTTTTCGTTGCATTCTGGCGTGTATTCGTGGCACGGCTACAAATTTGCCACAAAACAAGCCTTCTGAAGCACCAAGAGCGGATGAACACACAAAACCAACCAACCGCACTATTCTGCAGTATGCCCAACTCAGTGCTCACAGAAATTTAGTTGTTTGGCTTCGTTGTCTTGCTGGTGCTGAGTGGGGCTACGGTTGACCAGCACACTCATCCATGCGGTGCTCTTCCGCACCTTTGGTCAGCACCGAGGAGCTCCTCTTCTATCGGAGCCTCGACATGCTGTTTCAAAGTTTGCATTTGGCCACCCTTCGCAGCAGGGTATCTAGAGGACAGTTGACCAGTGCACGCGAATGCGTGTGCACAGCTCAAATAGACAAGCATGGAACCATGGTAACCGGCGGTTGGCTCTGTGTATTTCGAGGGAGCACAGTGAGTCCTGGTATATCAGAATGCTCTGCGAGGTATATTAAAGGTGACCAACGTACAGAGTTGCGGGGCGGCTAAGTTCATCTGCCATCCTCTAACCATTTTACCACTCTTGCTTTCTACATGTATTCCCTTAAACGTTGAAGGTGGCAAATAGTTCTAGGCATCATACATAATAATCAAAGCACCTGAATTTTTCGCAAATTTTCTGGCTCAGGCAAATTACCTATATGCAGGCGGACGATTCACAGGGAGCTGTACAGGTGTTGGAATCTCAGATTCGTGCGCATCAACAACCCCAAACGGGATTTCCTAGTGAATTAGTGTGGAGAACAGCAACGTCAGTAGTTGACATAGAATCAGTTCCCAGCGGGTTTCACCTGCGAGGAGATCTGCGGCTTCGTTGAGTTCACTATGGTAGTTGCTATGGACGAAACTTCTCGTGTTTCATGGTAACTGTCTCCACGGAGCGTTCTCTGGCTGAAATCCAAATCTTCATGAATGAGTATTGGTGGAACGCTCCCGTTTATTATTGCTCATGTGTACTCTACTCGTTATGTGGCGGTACACTCTAGTATGTTGCCTTCACATTCTTTTCCCTGCCTCTTTTGGGAATTTGAAGTTGACTATGCTGCATGCACTGTCTGCATTTGCACGCAACCATTGCCCTCTGAGGCACAGGGACAATGCTGAAGTATTGCATATGTTGAACCCCTTCACAAATTTTAATTGCTTTCCGTTTCCACACATGGATGACGCTCATACACTTCAGCGTTCAGTCGACTGCGAGCCATCGCGCCGCCGCGGTCGAGTCTGCTTAGTCCCTCGTTAGTTGCTGGCTGCTATGGCTATTATTCTTCCTGTTTATTTCGCTTTAACGCTTTGTGCAAACAATTCACCTTTACATTTTTAGTGTTTTGAGTTGATTCTTGCCTGTGGAATGGCAAAGAGGCTGTAGCTCTTCCGCTGTCCAGCAAGCAATCGGTTCATCCACTGGTACGGAACCCATGGCCCTGTGCTCTGAAGTGAGAGAATACGTACTGGCGAAGTTGCGCTTCTTCACTTTCTATTGCACTAGGTATCTTGCTCTGAAAACTAGTAATGGAGTGAATAATGTGCTCAATGCATAATGATTCAATATTGTGTACGTGTGCGCTAGGTGGGTGTTATGTGATGCTGGCTGGGAATGACTGCATGTCTTCGAGAGTGTAGTAACGGCACACCCAACGTCTCCCTCTTTCATGATTGCGGAACCTTGAGGGTCGGCCAGGGAAAAGGGTAGGGGTGCCTTCTGAGTCACTTGGCTTTCTGGTAGGTTTCTATTAGAAGTGTGGACTTAGATGTCTGCCTGCAGCGACCATAAAGGGAGCGTGTAATCATAGTCTTCGCTTTGCAAAGCATCTTCCCTCTACTCCATGCCGTCAGCAACTAAACCACCCGGCCACTCTAGAGCTTGACGTCACGTGTGCAGCACTAAATACTCTGCCAAACTGCCAAATTCTTTGGATGGCGCCTAGTAACCCCAACTGTTGAATAGCCTGACAAACTGGAAGTCCGTTGGCACGCACAGTGCGCATGGGCCATTTAGATAGCTCAAGAAATTTACGACAAAGGCTCCGCAACCCACAAGCTTCCCCATATAGTTGCGTATACTGCTTCGCTTTCAATTGTCGCGGGCGCGCGCAACCCACTACCTCTGTTAAGATATACACGGGGGGCTGGTACCTGCAGTGAAAGACTGGCAGCCCTTTGACGGATCAGATCCTTCGGAGCGCGCACAGGAAGGTGTGAACCAGCGGGCGCATGGCAATTCATGAGCAACCCCCAAGCGCCTTGCGTCCTGAAGCTAACAGCCTGCCAGCAGCGGGGAGGGCAGGGGAATGGAAGGGTAGGAGAAGGGGAGGGCCACTCGCTAGGGTTGAGTGCCCTTGAGGAGGTTTGGGCATGGGGGCTCTTGGCCAAGCGCCTCGCGCAGCACCAGCAGTCTCCCAAAAATTATACAACAAAACCTTCACACTCTGCTTATCTGTGTGAATCGCATGACTCGGCAGCGCAACCTCTACTTCTATGGCTTTGAATCCCTTGAGAACAGCACCCTCCATGCCGAGTACCTCTCAATTAGGCCGCTTCTAACCTGTCAGTAACCACATACTCGCTAGGACTACGTAAGGGCCCAAGGACCGTCAAAGGCGCCCCGAGTCACATGACCGTGCAGCACCAGATTTTGCCACTTATCCTTAAGCTGTGCATTTGTACGACCCCCTAGCTTTTGCCCAAAGGCCTTCTCAATCGCCCTCCAGTTGCCTGCACCCATCAGATTGACCGCCTCGACGAACGCCGCTGTCTCCTCAGACGACCAGCGACTCCGGCTTCTGAATCACATCATACGCGGAATTTCAAATAGCAAAGCCTCGCATTAAGCGACCCAGCACAAAAGCTGCAGGGGTGCACGACGGCGAGAGGCAACTTCCTCTCTGCTGGCCAAAAGCTCGCTTGTGGTGCTGGTCGTGCTTGAAGCAGCACGGTCCTCTTGGCGCTACCTATTGTATACAGCCTCATTGTGCCGTTCTCGAATAACTAGAGAGTACTCAGATTCGCCGACAGAGACTGCAAATAGGGTTCAGAGATTCGAGTGGGGAGCTCCTACGGTCGGCCTTGGATGACATGGATGCCTTCGGATGCCCGCAGGCGCTTCACGCGCTCCCCTGATTCGGCCACATTTCCGAAGGCAGCGCAATTCGCTGGACCTGCAGCTGCTCGCCCCGGTGACACAGAGGCTGGGGAAAACATTTCCTGGAGAGGTACGCGCTGAAGCCATCCGGAATCTAATACTCGGAGATTCCGGTGCGTATGTCCCTCGGCGCTTCTGCTGCAGCACAGGCTCATGGAGCAGCACCCCCAACGTCTGCCTACGGCAGGATCGTTCCCCAGCGCAAAGGCTGATGCACAACCCAAAGACTCTCGTCAAACAGCCCTGGCCCGAGGGTGGCAGACGAGAGCAGGCAGAAGCAGGCGCGCGAGGGAGGGAGAGGGTACAACGCCGGCGATTTCTCGCGGATACACTGTTTGGACCACCCAGCAACAGGTTACCCCCTTGCCCCCCCCTCCTTCCCCACGAACCAGAAGAAGAACAAGGATACGGTTAAAATCAGCAGAGAGAGAGAGCGCCACTGCGAACCCAGAGAGACACAAGACAGGATTTTTCCTCCAGAAAAAGCGGGGAATAAGCAGCAACTCGTGCCCTGGAGGGCCCTCACCCAGAATCGAAGGCAGCGTCCGTGGATCTTTCCGCAGTTCCCGTACTGCAAGTCGGGGAAGACGCGAGCTGCTGCTGTTGCGCAGCCTGTTTGGCAGACGCCAGCGAGTCTCTGCGCTGCAGCCCGAGAAGCCCTGGTGCATCTGCGGCTTGCTGCTCTGCCGGGGGCTGCCGCTGTGCCGCCTCCCCTTGACGGCTGGCTGTTTGTCTCACGAAGGGCCCCCTATTGGGAGCTTGGGGGGCCCCAAAGATGGCGCTGCGAGATGCTGCCGCTACAACAGTCCACGCCCTCGGCAGCGCACTCCGCACAGCGGATGGGCCCCCGGGAGACTCAGGGGGCCCCGGCGGATTTGCCCCTCTTCGCGGGCTCTGTCCTGCGGGGGCCCCCTGCTGCTGCAGTTCACTCGCTGCCACCTGAACTCCCGCCGACGATGCCGCTGCCCCTGTTGCCACGTGCTTCTTGCGTCTGGACTCCTCGTAGGCTATTTGTGCCGCCAGGGCAGCGGGAACGTGGGGGGCCCCCCCCGCGAGCTCCTCTCTTGCCGCCGTGCGCTGTATCTGCTGCTGCCGTCCCTGCTGCTGCAAGTGCGCCTGCAGCAGAACCTCCGCCTGAGTCCGCTGCGCCACCCAAGTGGAGTGCCACAGCAGCAAATGGGGGGGTGGCAAGGCGGCGAACGCAGCGTGCACGAAGCGGCAGACTAAGTCTTGGACCGTAAGGGCCTGCGCTTGCACCAAAGAGTTCGCCAGCGGCTTCCCCAGGGGGCTTTCCACGCAAGCAGACACGGGAGCCATCGTATCATCCTTAGAATACCGCTGCGCCAACGAATCTGCAGCAGCACCAGCAGCAGCCTCACTCGGTGTCGCTACAGCTACAGTTTCCGCCGGTGCTGCTCCTGCGTCGGATGCTTCTGAAGCCCATGGCCCCGAGGGTGCCACCCGTGCCTCTGCATGAGCTGCCGCCGCTGGAGCCTCGAATGACGCTGCGTTTGCTGGCGATGCCTCCACTTGATGCTCAGCACTCACAGACGGCGAGGCGGCTGATCTTTCCGCCGCTAAGACGGCGCCCTCATGGTGCTGCATCTTCTTCCACAGCTTCTGAAGGAGTCCCTCTGACTTTTGCTGCTGCTGCTCGTCTGCGTGCGCTGCACCCATGCGAGCTCCAACATTCTCAGGCGCCCCGAGGAGGCCATCCGTGAAGTTGCGAGGGGCCGGCAAGGCAGGGGAGAAGGGCCCCCAACCTGAAGGGGGGCCCTCTGCAGCTGACGCCGATGCAACGCCGGCTGCAGAGTCTCTTACAGTGTCAATCACCGAGGAAACAGCAGCGTGAGCGGACTGCGCATCTTCCTGCGCAGTCGCTGGCTCAGGTGCTTCGCTGCCCGCAAGGGGGGGGGCACAAATTGTTGCACAAGCAGGGACTGCAGCAGCAGGTGCCTCACTGGCTACGGCTGCTGCAGTAGCAGAAAGCGCGTCCCCTGGAGTAGATGCGGCTGAAGAAGCGCGTCCTTCAAGAGAACCAGAAGACGCAGAAGTGCAGCTGCAGCACCTTGCTGAGGAGCAGCAGGTGCTGCACACCAAGTGGCTGGGGTAAGCGTCCCTCAGTTGCAGCGCCAAGCACGATAGACTCTTATCTGCTGTTTCCGCAGTAGCAATGGCTGCTGCTGTGGCTGCCTCTGCATCGTGCGTCTCAGTAGAAGACGAACACCAACCCTGCAAAGCCGTAGGCCACCGCACGCCTTACACCGATCTTCGTCAGAAGCAGCACCAACAGCAACAGCAGCAGCACCAACAGCAACAGCAGCGGCACCAACAGCAACAGCAACAGCAGCACCAACAGCAACAGCACCAACAGCAACAGCAGCAGCACCAACAGCAACAGCAACAGCACCAACAGTAACAGCAGCAACAGCAACAGCGACAGCAACACCAACGGCAGCAGCACCAACAGCACCAACAGCAGCAGCACCAACAGCAACAGCAGCAGCACCAACAGCAGCACCAACAGCAGCAGCGACAGCAGCACCAACAGCAGCAGCACCAACACCAACAGCAGCAGCATCACCAACAGCAACAGCAGCACCAACAGCAACAGCAGTAGCACCAACAGCAACAGCAACAGCAGCACCAACAGCAACAGCAACAGCAGCACCAACAGCAGCACCAACAGCAACAGCAGCACCAACAGCAGCAGCACCAGCAGCAACAGCAGCAGCAGCAACAACAGCAACAGCAGCGGCAGCAACAGCAGCAACAACAACAGCACCAACAACAACAGCAGCAGCAACAACACAAACAACCGCAGCAGCACTGGCAGCAACAGCAGCAGCCCCACCACAATCCGTCCTTCCACTAGCTGCTACTGCACAAATGCCTATATCAACGATCACCAAC